AAGCACTTTCAACAAACTAAAGACATTGATCAACAGCTGCCGCCTACGCTCACTCTATACTGAAGATCAGATGGCCAGAACAGAATAATAAGAATAAGCAACAAGGAACTCTGGCTGGCTGGCAATGATCCAACCAAGAACCCATCGCTCAAAAAATACGCATAAGGAAGTGGAGATGGACTGGGCATACACCGAGAAGGCCGACTGGGGACATCATGCGCTAGGCCAGGCTGTCGATTGGAACCCAGAGGGGAAAACATGAGTTGGGCGTCCGAGTGTGACATGGAGTAGATCATGTAAAGAAGAAATGAAAGGTTGTGGGCAGTCGTGGAGCCAGGTTCAAAAGACTGCAGAGAAGGGAGAGCAATGGAGATGTGCTACTGAAGCTCTATGTTCGACTAAGAACCCAAAGGAAAAATAATAATAATATTCTCTAACGTGAAGTTATACGTCAGTCTGAGTTGATTTTTGAGTATTATTTTTAATTTATAACATCCTGGTTGGTCCGTACTGGTTGATGAGACTAACTGAGTTAGCTGCTGTTAAGCTGATTAGTGTTTATACTACGGTATAATAGGTAATGGTGAACTAAAAACTTGCATCTGTGCGGGATTCTAACCAGCAGCCTTCAAACGGCCGTCTTGGTTCTCTATCAACTGAGCCACAATGCCTAAATGTTGGTGAGATACTAACTACCCTTCAGTCACCAGAGATTTTGACTAGCTGGTATGTAAATGTATGATGTATAACTGTACGTTCATGGTCATCACACTGTCTGTCTAACTATATCTTCCTGGTACAATCTTAATCGCTCTGAATCAAGGACGGCGAGCATGGGATCGATTATTGGATAGGGCTATGATTTTCTAGACTATTAACATATGAAAAACGGCGATGACTATTTGAAACATTCAAAAAAAGTTTTTGTCCTTCCTTTTTACCCTAAGTTTGACTAAATCTGAGCACTTTAACTTCAGTTAATTTCTGTAAAATTGGAGACAGGAAGCTATGATTGTTGATTATTCCTTCAAGAAAGAATTCTATACCAAGAAAATCACATGTCATCTTTAATTCAAGTTCACCATGGCACTGAAAAGTAAAAAAAACGGTCACAAAAGGTAAATCAGAGTAAAGATGAGATGAATAAACTCCGCAGAAAGTCTTGAAGCCTCATTGGTTGTCTTACGCTTTACTTCATATACCACTTGATGAAACGTTTAGTTATAAACCCACGCCCATCAATGCGTAGATTTTATAAAGCTGGTCAAACTTATCTAAACATTGGACTAATATTTTCCTTGTTTGAGACGAAATCTATCGGTACTTTACCCAATCAAAGTAGGGTTGTGGAAGAACTAGACTGTTCAAATAGTCTGAATATGACTACTTTGTCACATCAATAATTTTCAATGAATGATTCAACCCACTAACATAACAGCTGGGAATTAAACGGAATCAACACCTGTAAGAATTCTTATCATGAACCATTCGGTCTACAAACTATTGAGCTTGAACTGTTCTCTGAGCAGTAGTTTTAGTTGGCGAACGTTTCAGTATCATGCTAGACTCGATAACGTGTTCACATTTAAATCAAGCTGTCTTGCTTGACTTCAACCTGATTGGGTGTTTAGTGACTGTACGAATGTGTGTTGAATCTGACTAGTTGAAATTTTATCAACCGAAATTTCAGCCAAGTTGACAAATCAATTCGGATACCCACATCTTGAGCTACGAATATTCTTCGAAAATTTACAAACTATTCGCCGAATTGTTTTCCTTTAAAGTGGGACATTCAAAGATGAAAAAAATGTAATTCGTTCCTCCAGAACTTCTACTGCTAGTATGTCCGCTTGAATTAATTTTTCCAGAGACATTGCATTACATACTACTTCTGTGTGTCCTTATAAGTAGTAAACATAGCATATATAATTCAGGATGTAAGTGTTTAGGTAGTTGTGTTCTACAAAATCGAAGTGTTTCAGATATGTGACCTGTTTATTTTTTTTGACCTATTCGTCATCATATTTTCGTGATACACACTTGATTACACAATCCACAGTATTTCGCCGTTTCACCATAGAATATTCAATTTGATGGATGATGTAGTGTTGACCTATTAGCTAATAATAAACTGACGTCCAGTGCTGCCCAGTGCTCCCAGATTTTTAATGGTCCCCCAACTGATGTTAACCCATGATGAATACTACATCCAAATTAAAAATCCCCATCCATCTCTGTTATTACGATAAATACGAATGGTTGTAAAGGTAGTAAAAATGATTCACTGAAAAAAATCTCTTCATTGAACTTCTTTATGTTTTTGAATGACTGAATGGGAATTTTCGGGACGACATTAAAAGCCACGCTATCAAATAACCAATCAGGTTACAGTATTTCGGTTAGGAATACAATTTTTCATAGAATAGGGGGACGTGATAGGTTGTTTCATCATTTGTTAGGATGGTCTTTTAATTCGCTCAATTTTTTACTGATATGTGAAATACTTTGACTTGAGTGAGTTGTGATCATTGAGTGGAAAAAAATGAAAGTTGATTTATTTTAAAGTCAACAATCCCAAGTATTACATAAACACATTTCCTTTGATAACCATTTAAAAGACCAAGAACAAATATTGAAGCAGAATAATATGGATCGATTTCATTATTTCGATGATTCTTATCAGCTGTTTACAATCTAGGATATTTAGACACTTTAGTCTAGTGAGTACAGTCAAAATGGGACAACGACACTAAGAAGTAAGGGAACTTTCGAAACTGAAATGAAATCATAATGTTATATAATGATGTGATAAATATATATTTCGTTAGGATGAAAGTTATCATGAACACAAGATCAGAGTAGCAAAAAATGATTGTTGTGGAACTTAGAACAAGAAATTGTTTAAGTAGACAAGTTAGTAGTAATCAAAAAGCGAAATTCAATAGGACATAATGAGTAGAACTCGATAGGTTAAGATTGGACCTTAGTGTGAAGTGAAAATACGATGACAGGAAAATAATATGATCGAATTGTTCCTCCAACTGATGTCAGTCTACGATGAATAACAACTTGAAATAATTCCAAATCTCCACAATTCCCTCAAAATTTAATTGAACTGATGCTCATTGGTGACTAGCTTCGAGAAGTATTCCCGAAGTTGCAGTGAGAAGTCATGACCGGTAGAGTCAAAGCCTGATGGCGATGAGGACAGATACTCAGCGTTGACATTGGGTGGCGGTTTGCGCTATATCGTGAGCTAACAGAAGTTGAAAATATGGAGCATTGGATTGTGACCCAGTGGCTCAATGGTAAGGCGCTGGCCGCGGAACTTGAAGGTGGCGGGTTCGATCTCTGCTGGTGTGGGGTCGTGGGTGCGCGGTGCTGAGGAGTCCCATACTAGGACGAAGCAGCTGTCCAGTGCTCCCAGGTTTCCTTTGTTCCTCCAACTGATGTCAGTCTACGATGAATAACAACTTGAAATAATTCCAAATCTCCACAACTCCCTCAGAATGAGTGGAAAGTTAAGAAATTTAGCTACTGGAGTAGTTGAAGATTGATGATATATCCTCTCTGAATATATAAATCTTGTTTCAGCAATTTCTCCTTCAAATAAGATTCAAGTTCTTGAAATCATTCGATTTTATTGAAATGAAAAAACATAAACTAGAAATACCAATGAAAAGTTTGAATTTTCTGAAAGGTATACATTCATGTTTCAATTGAACAATGAATGTGTGTACTGTAAACAAAGGATTAACTTGAGAGTGATAAAATACGTATTACTAATACTTGAAGTAAGGTCGACTCGAAAAAAAACAAACAATGACACCATTGAAACATTGAAAATGGATTACTTAACAAGCAGTTAATCACAATAAATGCTATGATTGTTTTTTTTTGGCAGGGTTTAAAGTATACACATCATGAATCATCAAAATGTTTTAATTTTCAAGAAAATGTTTCTCAGGTTTATTTTCAAGTATACCTTATTACAAATATGTATATTACATGTCTATCAAAAGTGTCTACAACTTAGACAAAGACTATCTAAGCATCTATTAGCTGTTTCGCCTTTTTCTCACTGGATTCGCCTACTGATGTCTGGAGAGTTAGATAGTATTATAAGCGTAGCTCATCACCTCTTTCATGGTTGACGCTTCAATTAATTGCATCATTGATACCTAGGACTGCGTGTTCTGCAAAGAAATGATGCTGTGATCACCAGAGATAGTCTTAATGAAGACAGTTTCCTTTTTGAGTAAACTAGTTTGGATAGTGTTAGCTGATATGAAGACATTAAACTGAAAAAGTTTTGGATACCAATCAGTTAATGTCATTCCGTGATAAAAAGTGCACGGAAGTTACTCTTGATAGATGAAGATCTGTCAGTCAGTCAGTCAACCAGAGGAAAGTTAGGGAAAGGAAGAAAAATGTGTAATTAAAGGTCGTAAAGTATCATTAAGAGAAATGAAGAGGGAAAGAGACAATAAATTAACGCGATATGACAATTAGAACAAAGGTAATGTGAGACTACATTTCTTCAACTAAGATTGACCTGAAGATATCACCAAGAGTATCCTACTATGGATTTCAGATACAACATGGACCTCAAGGTTGAAGTTTTTCACAGTTCAGATCGGCAACCACAGATTCGATGGGTTGATGTCCGATGGTATTCTGTCAGGTTCTGACCTACCAGCTTATTCCTACTTGAGATTCCTTTGTGTGTCAATGTATATAGTCACTAGATTAGTTGAGGTTGAAGAAACAGTTCGCAGTCAGTACGTACACAAAATCGAACTCAAATCAGGAATAATCCTCTGTTGAGTACTGACAAACATTTAAGACCAGATAAAAAATATACTACAAAGTTAATCAGCCAACTAACTTCCAGATCGAGAACTCAACAATATGAAATTATTCAGCAACCAGTTTAATTTATTCGTCTGTCGGTAAACCTTTGTTTGATTATTATGAACATATTTCTTTTATAATTGTAGATGGAGTAAGTGGATCTTTACAGGATACGTTAAATTTGTCCATTTCTTCGACAGAGTTACAAAGGAATCACTCTGTGTCTCAAATGACACCACTGAAAGATGACATTATCTTGTCAGAAGATGAGGAGAAGAGGATTGCAAGTATTGATCATTCGGAGAATGAAGATTCGTATACAACAACTTTGTTAGCTGACGACAACATGAAAGAGATAACACAGTTGACGAATATGTTTGAAGGCAATAAATTAGTGGCAAAAATTGGTAGAGAATTAGATGATTTATACGATGAAAGTAGTAATTCTATCTCAGAACAATTCCATGATGAAACAACAGAAACGACTTTAGAAATATCAAGTGAAGATCATTCTATCAACAACGGTAAGTTGATGATTTCTGTTAAATATACCAACAGTTGAACAACACTATAGTCGAGTTATAAATACATCCATTTCACAAGGTAGCAGTTAAATTTATAATTCACAGAGATGAGTTTGATAGGATAAATATGGATTTCAAGTTGTTGATTATACAACGAGATAACCAGTATGGATTACTGAGGAATTGTAAAATTGAGAAGGAACATCACAATGTGATCGAGCATACTACTGGTTAGTCAGTTATTATTCAATCTCAAACAAATCCCTATAGAATCCTCAGTCCAACTCGAAATGTGATAAGGTCCTAGCTAATTTCATCTGAACAATGTCAGTCTAATCTGAAAGCTTGTCTGAAGATATGTAATATATACATCTTTGAAACTGTATCTCAAGATACTACTTATAAGAGCAAGTTTCTGAGAGATTTCGAGAGGTTTTTTCAAAGATACTTATCAATCTTGTTTAAGATTAGTCGAAAAATATCACCTGTTGTACTTGCACCCATACATACACATGTAGAATAATTTCTACAGATTTCATCGATGGTTAAAATAAGCTCACTAATAATTGTTTGTTTAGAATTAGTCACTGAACATTTTGTTCTAGCCTGAAACTTCACACTGTGCAGAGTCGAACACGGAATATTCACCTCTTCTGGATAGGAAATTATTACTCACTAAGTCATTTGCTGAATATCTGTCCATTGGCATTGTCTAACTTATATTGTTTCATTTCCAAGACGGTTTCATCAAAGCAGCGTAAAACTGGGAGCAAACGCCACTTGTCTCTTCGTAGGTGTTAACTTCTCAGTAGTGCTCGCGAATGACCCCCATCACGAACCGAGCCCAAGACTGTTATTTGTTGTCGTTAGCACGTAACCATCTAACCACCGAGATAGCCTCCAATAATCCATTGTTCTTCACTTCTGTGAATAAGCGATTTAGTATAACTCTCATGCAATGTAGCTGATCAGTAAGTTTCTGCACTTCCCATATGATCAACCCACAGGTTATGACTTCATGTTAGAACTTAGCGAAATGCATCTCGTTGAGATATCTCACGGTACTGGATTTAATCTCGTTTTAGGTTGTCAGCATACACTGCTGAGAAAACAGAAACTACAGTGAAACAACTGTCGCGTACTTGGGAGTTATCAAACACTTACGGATTAGCACCACCTCACGATGAAAACGTCTTTGAAATCAATAAATCCCCCCACAAACTATCAAATGAATTTCACTAGTTGCCGAAAAGAACATGGTCATTATTCAATAGTATCAAAAGGTGGGTGGGTGGTTGAGCGATTAGGGTAGTGCTAGAGAATTTCAAACTGGCACTGTAACTGATGTGAGTAGATTAAAAAGGGAAGCACTTTCGAGATACTACAGACTTCCAGTTCATGATGAGCACGTTAAATGTATGCTGTCTTCTGAGCTAAGAATTCTGTTGTTGAAGTTTTCATCACCAAGCTGAGAGACTTCATTGAAACCTACTTCACAAAAAAAGAAACATTCTTAGGTTGCACAAATGTTCATGAAGGTTGATCTACGCTGTTGATTTGATAATAAGGACAGGTTACTCCTACCCAAAACCCAATAGCATACAAGGTTGGCAAATATCCTTGGAAACGTTTCACTTCTTTATGAATTAACTGCTGATGACGTCACTTGGTTTGGTGGTGAAACACTCAAGAACAAACCTTAAAGATCATAGAGCACTAGACGATTGGAAACCATTATTCTAATGATTAGTAAGTCATTGGTTAAGTAGTATTTAGTAATTACTTCCTTCAGAATGAAAGTTTGGCTGTCTGAAAATCGAAATCACGATCAAAAAAAGGCTAGCCAAGGTCACAGTAAGAGTGAAGATATATAAGTAGCATTGGAAGATTATCATAATATACCGCAAATCCACATAGTAAAGTACTGGTAACCTAGATTACGATCATTTATTTGAATGGTTGAATGAATTTGCGTTGTCTGAGAGTCTTTTTCTCAATCATAAGCAGGTTTATGGTTATTTATACACTATTGAAGAAGAATAAAATAGGAGAAAATACTTTCTAAACAATTTGCCCCATTACATTCATCATCCAGTTCATGGCGAGACTTGTCCTCGAATTATGTTTTCGCTAACTGAGTGATAATATGGATGAAAAAATAGAAAGGTGATAAAAGTATAGATAAATGCCTAAGAAAACTTGAATTAAATCATAATCTATTTCTTACCAGTGACTGATATCGAGATAGATTCCATGAAGTTGTAATGTGAAGCTATTACTTGTCAGGCTAATCAAGATGAGAACGAGAACTGAAGCCTATTGATGAAGTCTGGTTACAATCTCGCCATATTAAAGACTAGTTGAAATTGTAATGAGTAAACCGTTGGAGTCCAACTCAGTGGATAAATAATAACATACAACCACCAGTATCTGGTAATTTTGTGTCTTATATCTCTAAAACATTCATACTGTAATATCATATGATTAGACCGAACAGATGTCAGTTGAAATGTAAAGTAAATTTCCGAATAATCCAGAAAAAGTATGTATTTAACCACTCTCACGTTAATCTTTCGACAATTCAAATGCAAGCCCTATCGCTGGGCTCAAAGTTTTGCAGCAGTGCATCCAAGGTTAACAGATTACATACCCAAGTACAATTTGAAAATTTAATCAGCCAGATTGTCGGTCTTACGCCTGCATCGCCGCAAGAATTCCAGCATTTCAAGTCCACTGTTCTAGATTGCTGTCACCAATTTACCAACTCCAAAATCAGTTCTAGCTCTTTATTAACCAAGGACCATATACAACAGCTAAAACTAATCAAAGATAACAGGGATATTATCATAAGCCGTCCTGATAAGGGAGGAGGCATTGTCCTAATGAATCGTCAGGAGTATACTGATAAACTTTCCGTAATCCTCTCTGATCCCACTAAGTTTAGTAAACCCGAAGGTGAGCCCAATAAGACACATATAATTGAAACACAACTCACAAATGTCTTAAAAAACATGAGGGATAAATCAATAATTGATCCTGATTTATATGAACGTATCCGACCGGTTGGCTCTATAATCCCACGTCTATATGGACTACCGAAGATACATAAACGGGATTACCTCTTCGTCCGATCCTCGATATGGCTGGTTCTCCCTATCACCGAACTGCTCAATGGTTAGCTGAAATTCTGGAACCTGTTAGAAGGCAAGTATCGAGTTTTTCTATCCGTGATACATTTCAGTTTGTTGAGGGTATTAAGGATTTTAATGCTCTAAACAAGATGATGTTTTCATTAGACGTCACTTCATTGTTCACGAGTGTGCCACTCACCGAAACTGTCTGTTATGTATGTGACTATATTGATGCACATAATTTAGACGTAGGACTACCAACGAGCTGCTTGAAAGAGCTTTTGTTGAGGTGCACATTTAATGTCCAATTCAGTTTCAATAATGAAATCTATAGACAGAAAGATGGAATTGCGATGGGGTCACCATTGGGACCACTGCTAGCAGATTTCTTCATGTCGAAACTGGAAAATTCACAACTTCGTCAAACTATTGATAGCTTTGACTTTTATAGAAGATATATGGACGACACGTTTGTTATTTGCGACAAAAATGTAGACCTCGACGACGTGCTTCGTTCATTCAATGAATGTCATCAAGCCCTCAAGTTTACTATAGAGAAGGAATCAGAATCAACTATTCCTTTTCTTGATGTGCTTCTCACCCGACGTCAGAATGGATACCTTAAAAGATCCATCTACAGAAAACCAACGTGGAACGGACAACTAACTAATTTTTATAGTTGGGTGCCCATCAACAGAAAAAGAAATCTTATTCACTCTCTTTGCTATCGAATAAGAAGTATCTGTAGTGACGATTGTATCGAGAAGAGCTATCTTTTTAAAAAGCATACTTGTCGAAAACGGTTACCCTAGCCGTTTTATTGATAAAAATATGCGGGAAAGAAACACTAAACCAGTCATCCACTCGGTCTCAAAGAAAAGATTGTTTATGAGCCTAGAGTTTAAAGGAGACCTAGCATCGGATGTACTGAAGAATCGTCTTACCAGATCAATCAATAGGACTTTCTTCGCAGCAAGACTCCAGTTGACTTTTACCAGCCGCAACCTATTCTCCACCTGCGTTAAAGACAAGCTTCCTCGTTTGGCCGCCTCTATGTGCATCTACCAGTTCACCTGCTCTGTGGAGCAAGGTACATCGGCCGTAGCCAGAGAATGCTTTCTACACGTATACGAGAACATGTTCCTGCTTGGTTTTATAAAGGTGAAAGAAAGTCTGTTAGAAGTTCGATTCTAGAACATTTGATTGACTTCCATCACACAACAAATCCAGACGATGACTTTGAAATTATTTATCGAATTCGCCCAAACCTCCCACGTTCTCTTCGTTTTCAACTCCTTAAAACAGCGGAGGCTTTAGCTATTCATGAACTAAGACCTGATCTGTGTGTACAAAAGAAGTATGTGCAGTCACTGTCTTTATCATGGCCATAACATTTTCCCACCCCATTAGCTCCCCCTCCCACTTTGTTAATTTAACCTTTGTATCCTTCCTTTATCACTATTATTGTTATTATAATCGCCTTCACTTCAACTAGTTTCCGGTGTTGTTTCACTTAATTGTCTTAATCCTTTTAGAAAACATTGACTTCATCTTGTCCAATTTGTCTAATGCCATTACACAATACTTAATTGATTAAGAACAAGATATTCAGCGAAGAGACTCTTTTCAACGAATTTATTTTCAAGCTGTACAATCGTATATATATGGTATTTGGAAAAAATTATATCCTGTGAGGAAAACTAAACACTATATGGTGATGACAGTAATAATAGAGCGGGTGATGACATAGGCATTTATGATTATAATAACAATTGAAGTGCGAATGATAACAAATAGATTTGTTATCATTCGCACTTCAATTGTTATTATAATCATAAATGCCTATGTCATCACCCGCTCTATTATTACTGTCATCACCATATAGTGTTTAGTTTTCCTCACAGGATATAATTTTTTCCAAATACCATATATATACGATTGTACAGCTTGAAAATAAATTCGTTGAAAAGAGTCTCTTCGCTGAATATCTTGTACTTAATTGATTTACCATTTTCAATAATTTTTTCATCCTCTTCTGAGTTATATACTCTCTATGTACCATTCCATATATTACATAATCTATTTGTTATCATTCGCACTTCAATTGTTATTATAATCACAAATGCCTATGTCATCATCCGCCCTATTATTATTGTCATCACCATATAGTGTTTAGTTTTCCTCACAGGATATAATTTTTTCCAAATATCATATATATACCATTGTACAGCTTGTAAATAAATTCGTTGAAAAGAGTCTCTTCGCTGAATATCTTGTTTGAGATGTCAGTTTGCTAGATCAGATTCTTTCCACTCTGTGCTATTGTCTCATCTGATGGCAAATTTTCCACAGGAAAGTGTCCAAATCTTGCCTGCATCTATGACTTCATCGTATCATATCACTATATACGAGTAGTTTAGTAAACAGAATGTAAAAACTCTATAACAAAACTTTTGACTTTTGATGATTGTTTTGCATTGAAGTATACTACTGCTAACAAAAAAAGTAGTCAAACCATAAATGTCAGTTCTTAGAACTGTGAAGCATAAAAGTTGAATTGACTACACCTTTTATTCAGTGTTAAACAACCGAAATATCAATTCGAACTGGAAGAATAACAGATCTTCTAGGTAGGAACAGATCAATTGTCTGATATTATTTTGCCTTTAGACACTGAAAAAGTTTATTACGGTGAGATGGGATAGGAATAATACAACGACGGTCATTGTAGACTTACACATATCTCATAAATAAAATAGCTGGCTTTAAACAAGGAATAGAAAAGGAATAGATTAAACGGCACTATGTATCCTCATTATTATCAAGTTACTATTAAACTTGCCCTTTAGGTTCCTGGTGGAATATAGGAATTCCGTAGCACATCGCCATCTCACTCTCTTCTATCCAGTATTTTCAACCCAGATCCACGACTCCACACAACCTTTCATTTCTTCCTCACACCACATCCTCAATGTCACACTCGGTTCATACGCCAAACTCATCCTTTCCTATTTGGGTTTACGTCATGCCCCCGAACCGTCTTGCTTCTCAGTGCATGCCCAATCCAATCCACCACCACATTCTTCTGCATATTTTTTGGACTATGGGTTCTTGGTTCGTTCGTTCGTTGCCAGCCAGCCAGCCAGCCAGCCAGCCAGCCAGCCAGCCAGCCAGCCAGCCAGCCAGCCAGCCAGCCAGCCAGCCAGCCAGCCAGCCAGCCAGCCAGCCAGCCAGCCAGCCAGCCAGCCAGCCAGCCAGCCAGCCAGCCAGCCAGCCAGCCAGCCAGCCAGCCAGCCAGCCACCCAGCCAGCCAGCCAGCCAGCCACCCAGCCAGAGTTCCTCCTTGCTTATTGCTTAGTATTATTCCCAGTCATCTGATCTGATCTCATATGATCTGATCTGATCTAATCTTAAGTGTCAGTATCGAGTGAGTGTAGGTGGCAGCTGTCGACGTGATGCATGTCTGCAGTTTGTTGCAAATGTTCTTCGTAACGCGACAAGTCTGTGAACCATCACATTAAAGCACTGACTTGACTGACTTAGTGTTGGAAATCCGGAAGTTGTTCACACTGTATGCTGAGTGGAGTGGAGTGGAGTGCAGTGTAGTGCAGCAGATCTCCACATTGCTTGTTTCAGATTAATGCAGGAAGGCCTGTCTTGTTGTCTTTCCGATCGTGGCTATGATGTCGTCATCTGTGCCTGTGTGGCCTGTAGTTGAGACGATGCTGCTCTGCCTATGTAGGTAGGTAGGTAGGTAGGTAGGTAGGTAGGTAGGTAGGTAGGTAGGTAGGTAGGTAGGTAGGTAGGTAGGTAGGTAGGTAGGTAGGTAGGTAGGTAGGTAGGTAGGTAGGTAGGTAGGTAGGTAGGTAGGTAGGTAGGTAGGTAGGTAGGTAGGTAGGTAGGTAGGTAGGTAGGTAGGTAGGTAGGTAGGTAGGTAGGTAGGTAGGTAGGTAGGTAGGTAGGTAGGTAGGTAGGTAGGTAGGTAGGTAGGTAGGTAGGTAGGTAGGTAGGTAGGTAGGTAGGTAGGTAGGTAGGTAGGTAGGTAGGTAGGTAGGTAGGTAGGTAGGTAGGTAGGTAGGTAGGTAGGTAGGTAGGTAGGTAGGTAGGTAGGTAGGTAGGTAGGTAGGTAGGTAGGTAGGTAGGTAGGTAGGTAGGTAGGTAGGTAGGTAGGTAGGTAGGTAGGTAGGTAGGTAGGTAGGTAGGTAGGTAGGTAGGTAGGTAGGTAGGTAGGTGAAGGAGACAACTTCCTTCAGGTTTCTCTCCTTCATGCTGATTGGTGTTTCTTCTTCTTCTTGTTGGTTGAGCATACTCATCACCTCCGTCTTCTCTACGTTCACCTGAAGGGAGTCCCGTCTTCGCTGCCTCACATCACCTCACCTCACCTCACCTCTTCTGACAACTTGTTGGTTTTCGGCTGTAGATCATCAAATTTGTGCGACAAGACATTAGACATAAAAACTCATTGTTGGTGAAATCCAACTCTTCTTTTCCTGTGGTATTTTCACTGATCCAGCCAGTGTATGCTTATCTTTTTGCTCCTCACAGTTGTCTGTTGCATGATCCAGTCCAGTCCAGTCCAGTCCAATCCAGTTCACCACAACACAATGGTGAAGGTCATCGGTGATAGTAGGAGGCAACCTTATCTTACCCCTGTCTTCACTCAACTTCACTTCACTACAAAAAAGCATACTTTTACCTGCTTTGGTTAGCGAATACCACCTATCTGTAGTTCAGCCAACAACTAGGAGAAACTTAAGGTCATAAACTTCGAGGTGATTTCCTAGGTCAGCCATCTGCTACACTTGGATATCTATATAATACCTCAGCTCTTGTACAGGACATGATAAAATTATTTATAAATTATTCACTCGTTGTATGTTAAATTTACTAAAAGTATAATATTTCCTAATTCTACTCTTGATGCATATTCCTGATGCATCAGAGGCTTCAACAACTACCAATTTAGATGAAACTGTTTCTACGGTGGAGACAACGGGGAATGAATCTATCGAATACAACACTTTACTGATAAATCAAACATCGACACTTCAATATCCTGATCATGAAAATACTACTGATTCTTCCATAATGACAACAGCATCAAACGAGCCTATGACAACTGATAATTCAAGTCCAAATACATATAATCCAAAGAATGAGAAGGAATCAGCTATCGCTTATCCAACGGAACGTCCCAACTTACCATGTCATCCAGTTTGTCCGGCTATCCAAGGGAAACGTTATTGTTGGGGTCCAGGGCCAGACCAATGCCAGGCAGGTACGTATACAGACACCTGTTATTTATGCTTCACTAAAATTTATAGGCTAGCTAATTTTAGCTAGTCTTGTTTTTATCCCTATAATGCTACGTCTCTTCTAAAACCGTACACATTACACTAGCTGATACAGAAAATGAGAGTCATGTAAACTACAGCGTCCGATCTATATTGTGTCTCTCAAACATATATGGAAATATACAAGGCCAAGATGGTGTAAGTGGTCTGTTTAAGCTGTCGTAAATAAGAATGATTAAAGGAAAATTCAAGGTTATACACCATTGTGTCAATCCTAAGGAGTGTAATCATTGGTCATCTGGTCACCGATACAATAGGTCTGCCGTAGCTCTTACGAATTCAACACTGCAAACATATCCTTCTTAAGTAAGTGAACAGCACTTATTATCATAGGTCACTCTATCAGATGGTTGTGTTGAGACTTAAATTTTTTCAAATTCTATTGATAGCTCCACTTTGAAGATGTTCACCGAAGATAATTCAAAGATATCCACGACAGAAGTGATAGGAAAAGTAGTCAAACATGGATCTTTTATTGAAGTTGATCCTCATCGACTTAGCTGATTTATATGATGCATCAATCTAGTATGTTCAGAAACCATGTCTTATATAAGAGAGAACCTACAATCACTTTTGTGGCATCTTGGCATGAAATATGATGAATGAAAAAACCTCTTACTGACTGCCTCAAAGTATTTAACGACAAGCCCCAAGTATCCAATCTGGAGGTTTCAAGGAATTGACTGATTTCAGAGGAGTTTTTATCCCACAGTTAGAGAATTTTTGAAAATTTGAAGGTGATGGTAAGTTATTTGCTTCTAGTTTGAAACATCTCAATACTTCTTACTCACAACTGTGTATGCGGACGAACCCAGAACTGTGATATATCTTGTGATGAGCACTGATGGGAAACCGGTGACTAGAATTATCCCTAACCCTGTCAATACACATTATAGTCCACCCATCATGTAATGCCATCAGTGAGAAATAGTCCATACATACGATTTCATCGACTTCATGGGTCAATGCTTCTCTCATAACCTTTCCAGACTCGTAGGTTAGGGTGGGGATAGAATAGTGACTATGATGTAGTGATCTCGATTTTACTAATCAGCCAGTAAAACAAACAACAATAAATCAGGTAACTGGGTAAACACTAGATATATTCAAATAATCAATCATATGTCGTCTAGGCAACTAATAACAGTCACGAACACTTAGTTATCTGACTGTACCACTTGAATGTGACTTTGAGGACTTGGTGAAATGAGTACAGAAAACACAACCGATGAAGGAATCCTTACAAATCATTAAGCTGCACGAAATGAATAAGAACAATAACCAATCAATAATGACTGACGCCTTCTTCGACAACCTTGATTTTCATTGGCTGATAATGTCTCTAGGCTGCCAACACATTTTAAACCTTGCAAATTTTCTTTGTACACTGTCGAATATATTATTATGGATACGGTAAGGAAGGGGGGGGGGGAAGATGAGTGAAGTTGAAATGGAAATCTGGATCTTGGCAGGATTCGGTCTGGCGCTCAATTCAGTCACTAAACCTTTTTGCAAAGTTTCTATCTAAATCTGTGATACATAACTAATCACCCATTGTAACCAACTTAGTTGCCAAGTCGTCTTCTCATTAAGGGATTAAATACATTGATTAATGATCGATTATGTTTCTATTTCTGTTGGAATTCGTTTTATTTTTCTTATCATTTACTTCTAGTACACAAATGTCAAGTTCGTCTATGTGAAGGATCAAATTGGTGTTTTCGTAAACGATCATACACATTTGAAAAGGACATTTCAATTCATCATTCACGTCAACTACATACAAGTGTGAATTATGGATATTCAAAAGAACACTGTTGTCATTCTGAATGTGCAGCCGGTTGCCATGGTCCAAGAGCTCGTGACTGTAATGTAGGTAGAAAGAGTATTGTTTATTTGGAAAATATTCATTTTATTTGAGACTACCAATTAAGCTCATCTGTAAATCTGAGCTAAATAGAGTTGTCTTATTGAACAAAATCGTCACTTTAATATGTAGCAAGCCGTTAGGATCTTATTGTAGGCGATTCAGTAACCTTTCCTACCAAAATGGTTGATTCCTTCCTCTGACTACACTTTCATTGGTTGCATTAGCCTGACTTTTGAATTTGTGGGTCTTTTAAAATCACTTTTCTCATTGGTTAATCCACTGAGTTTGTGTTCTTTGACTGGTGACTGATAGTTGACTTGAATGTCAAGCTTTTAGAATTTCTCTGATCATCTTTGTGTTTCCTCTACCTACGATTTCTGTATTCTCAAAGTTGAAAACACTTTCACAGTTGTCAACATGCATTGGTATGAGCGATGAAATATTGTGACACCAATGTAGTAGGGGAAGAGAGCGCTACCATTTTGTTTAGTTCAATGATGGTCACAACTGTTGCAGTTGATTTTCTAAAGATACCTGATTTACTTTCTTTGGCTGTACGTCTTTTGGTCTGTATAATATAGCCTGAAGGGGATTTATTATTTTACCAGCTACACCAATACCAAATAGTCTCAGTTGTCTTATCGTGATCTCAAAGTAAGTTTTTCATGTATTGTAGGATGATCAATTCTCTAATTTTCGTGGATGAATTTCTAGTTGATTAAGAATTAGATAGGCATCTTTTGATGAAATGATATGCGTAGCCAGTTTTTGATTTCCCGGAAGTTATCAAGTAGTTTTCTTCGTTCTTTTGTGAAATTGTTGCACCCCATGTGTTCTTGATCTGTTAAATAAAAACAGTTGGCAACTCTTTTTGTGTGTTTTTGATTTCATGAAAGAGTTGAGTTCGCTTCTACTGACTAAAGCATCCAAGAATGGTAGTTTGTCGTTTAGTTTTTTTTCGCTTGTGAATTTGATGTTGTTGAAAATATTGTAAATCAGCATATAAGTGATTTTCAATCCGTCCTTCCTACAGATAACAAAAGGGGATCGTCCCTAAAGCGGATCCAAATTTTCGCTTTGATCACTAGACTTCATACTGAAATAAGTGCTGATCACGTTGCCTAGGAAGACACTAGAAGTTCGGGGAGCAAATCATTCAGCTCATAGAATGCAGCACCATCAGGATCATTCACCTGAGCTACAAACAGTTCGCATCATTTAGAAACATTTTTTTTACTTATCTTTAATCATTATTCCAATATATCATGAATCGCTGGAGATTCAAGGTCAGCCCAAAAGGTTTTACGACTAAAACTGTCTATGAATAATGAAATTGCCAGGATTTGAGCACAAGTTCTGCTGTTTGTCGTAAACAAGGGATAAATAAAGTGCTCAAAATATGTAATACTCAGAAAAAGCACTGTCACTTCAAGGTTATGAATTCGGTATGCGCTAGCAATGAGATGTAGAACGGACTTTTTTTCCCAATTGTCATCAATCAGTTGGATGTCCCTATATCCCAATCAATGTTGCTACTCGCAATAAGACTCACAAAGAATTGGGTTATTACGGAGATAACGCACGGCATCAGTCCATCAATTCCTTGACTGTTGGTATAACCCTTGTATGAAAATGTAGACTTTTTGGTTGAGGGTCCACATGACATCTGAACTAGGTCACCGGAGACTCTAAGCGATCGGTGCAAATGTATCTACACACTATATTCATCTTAATGGTCATCTCTAATTTCATTATTTGTTTTACCCCCTTCTTTATCTCATCTGATGACATTTTATAACTTATGATATCATTATTCATCTTGTTACCTTATATGAAGCATAGCAGACTAGACAGTTATGAAGTGCAGCCAGGTCCCATATTGATAATGAATGAATGACTGACTGAGTACTATAGTAGTCACCCAGTTATATCAAAAACTGGTGATATTACGTGGACGCACAGACCGTTTTTACATAAATTAAAATTTGAAAGTCAACTGTAGGTCCATGATGAATTCCAACGTAAAATCAATTAATAGACCTCCACAAACCTCCAGACAGAATTAATCTAGCGCTCATTAGTAACTAGAGTCGAGAGGTGATTCCAGAAGTTCCAGTGAGAAGTTACGACCAGTGGAGACAACCAAGTCGAACATGAGGACAGTTACTCAATGACAACATTGAATTTAAGTCGCACTATATCGTGAAATGAAAGAAGTAGGAAATGCGGACCATTAGATTCCGTCCCAGTGGCTCTATGGTAACGTGTTGACCATGGAACCTGAAGATCCTGGGTTCGATTCCTGGCAGACCGGGGTCATGGGTGCGCACTGCTAAAGAGTCTCATACTAGGACGAAACAGCTGTCCAGCACTCCCAGGTTCCCAATGTTGCCACAACTGATGTCAGTCTATGATGAATTCCAACCTAATAGTTGAACAGTATATAAACTAACATTCTCGAATAAAACAGCAATCGAATATGGACAATTTCATTCACTTTATACGAATTACATACCTCGTTTTCTCCGGATTTTGATCCTTAAAATTTAAACTTATTTCTTGAATAAAATGTTCAGATATTACTATGACATTCACGTAAGATTTAAAAAAATGTTCAGTTGTCTATAATCACATGATTGGTTCACAATAATATGACCTTCAGTGTGGTTAGCACCAATCATAAACTAGTATTCACTATCAATCAATAAATCTTAAGTGCCCTAACTACTTATTATAAATTTCAAGGTCATTGGAAATTCGAATAGTTATGCAGACCTATTTTGCAGTAATCATTAGTTGAACGCAATTTCAAACAATGTTGTAACCAAATAAATGTTAACAGGATCCCCAGATCATGAAAAGGATTCGAAAACTGAGATCAAGTCAGTTGTGATATTAAACTTTGATTTGTCTTAGTGATTACAGTATACAGAACATAAAGAGTAATCTGAATTTATCCCTAGTAAACATGTCAAGAATATTAGCATGAGAAATTCAACAGTCAACAAAAACTATTCACACCGACACGTTGAACTTGTCAACTAGATCAGGAATAAATTTAACATTGGTTAGTGTTTTAATCAAATTTATATATTCATAAATGAGACTGCTTAATGTAGCTGTAGTTTAACAGACTACTGATAGGGAAACAAGTTGATGACTGAAAGTATAAAACAAAAACTGGGATCACAGTGGAGTTCAAACAAGCGGCTACTGGATTACCGATACGGTGTCGTACGAACTGACCCATGAGATACAACTGCTGCTTAAGGCTTAACATCAGTTTGATCAATGAGGGTTTTGACTAACTGACGTATAGCTCAGTTGGTAAAGCAACTGGGTTGAAAGTCTGATGGCCACTAGTTGGAATCCTGCCATGATATCAAGTTCATGTTTCACCTTTAACTATCACTTTGTATCAACTGTAACTTAATTCATGATCACCTGAATGATGATTTGTATACAGATCATAATAAACGTATTTGAGTCAAATTCTGCAATCTTCAGTGAATCGTCAGTAGTTGTCAGTAGGTTGTCATTATCAAGTGAAGCGAAACCTGTTACTTTGCTGGTTGCTTAGCAAAAATATAGGAAAGATTGTGAATCGGCCTACTATCTTTCAAATTATGAACATGTTACACAATTCATGTTTCGTGGTTTCAATTGGTTTTCTCTTGGAAAACACACAAAAAGGATCACAAGTTATGAGTATTAATGTAGCTGAAGGAACATACTTCTTGATATTCTGAATGCTATGAAGGTGATAAGACAGTTTGAAAGGATAAAAAGTAAGGAAGAACAGTCACTTCTACATCTAATGAATAAATTGAACAAACGAGTGTATAGAATATATCTAGAACCGATGGGTAATCGCCAGCAATGGAATCTCGGATATATGTTTCGACCTACTTGGATGTACTTCCCTCCTTGTAAGTTCTATTATTCCCATTGAAACTGAAACTATCCATACATCTCCGTAGGAGATCATATACCAATAGTGACTTATCAGTTCACGCTTGACCAATCAGCAACAAGAAACAATAAATTATAAAGTAGTGAAATATACTACTGACCAACATGAGTAGTTACAAGGCATTGATGTTGATGTAAAGCTTCGATTGGTTAGATGTGGTTTCGAATAATAATAAATAGAAATGCTTTTGTTTGTACAGCTGCGTACAGCTGTACAGCTCCAAGTTAGCTAGCCATATTCAATTGGTTTGAGCAACTTATTCCTTCTGTGAGCTGAATCCCTTCCATTACACTGCTGTTATCTCAGCCTAGATACCAATACTTGCATAATTTTCATTCTACATTACTCATAGTAATTTTGATTTGATTTTACTAAAGTGGAAATTATCAGTTTGACTAGCTGAGCAAGCAGCTGTTGTTTGACAGACTTGTATTATTGAAATCAGGTGATGATAACTTAAGGTGTAATGAGAATCTTGTCACAGGCCAAGCTCTCATTTCATCCAAAATCATTCATCCATTCTCTCACAAAGTTATTAGAGGATTGGTAGACTATCTCAAGGGTGGCTATGGCGTTATTAGTGGCTACTTGCAAAGCTGCCGATGCGAACACCATGTCAGTCGATCTAGCTTACACAATGAGAATGCAACCTATTGTATGCCACAATACACATTAAATACACAAATATAAAAGGTCAATATGGTGTAGGTAATTTGATTACGTTGTCGTTAATAAAAATAACTGAATGACAGACCAAAGTCATACACCACAATTTGATCACTTTTGTCAATCCTGCGAAATCAAGCTGATGTTTTGATACATTTTACTTTTCAGGCCTGTTTACGTTTATCCAATCGTGGTGTTTGCACAGACTCATGTCCAGCGTCTAGAATATACAATAAGTCTACATTTAGCTGGAGAGAAAATCCTGATGGTCTATTGACATTTGGATCAATCTGTGTGAAATCGTGTCCAAGTGAGTAGATTGTTTAAGATGTGTTGAAATTTCGTGACTTGCTTTTAACTACTGATTTTAGTTTAGTAGCACATACGTGAATCGTGAAATTTAGTGTTAGAGTAAGTGGTTCTCAACGAAAGTGCTGTTTTCATGAGCAGTTGGAAAGATTTTCAGCTGTAACAAATATCAAATTTTGAAATTGCGGTTTTTAAGTAATTTAAAAATGCTTCATTGGTCTTACGACATGTTGAAACAGTGTGAATCTTGGTTTAAACTCGAATGACCATCATTCAGTGACATTCATACTCACGACTGGTCACATCTGAATTACTTTACTTCATACTACATGTTTGAATTACAACATTTTATTGAATGCTTCAATGAAGTGAAATAAAGAGTCAGACTTACATCATACGTCAGACTCATCAGCTGAGTGGACTGCTATCTCAGTCAGTAGCACATCGCCATCTCACTCTCGTCTCTCCACTATTTTCAACCTAGATCCACGACTCCACACAACCTTTCATTTCTTACTCACACCACATCCTCAATGTCACACTCGGTTCATACGCCAAACTCGTCCTTTCCCATTTGGGTTGACGTGATGCCCCCAAACCGTCTTGCTTCTCAGTGCACGCCCAATCCAATCCACCATCACATTCTTCTGCATATTTGTTCGACTATGTGTTCTTGGTTCGTTCGTTGCCAGCCTGCCAGCCAGCCAGCCAGCCAGCCAGCCAGCCAGCCAGCCAGCCAGCCAGCCAGCCAGCCAGCCAGCCACCCAGCCAGAGTTCCTCCTTGCTTATTGCTTAGTATTATTCCCAGTCATCTGATCTGATCTCATATGATCTGATCTGATCTTCAGTGTCAGTATCGAGTGAGTGTAGGTGACAGCTGTTGATGTGGTGCATGTCTGCAGTTTGTTGCAAATGTTCTTCGTAACACGACAAGTCTGTGAACCATCACATTGAAGCGCTGACTTGACTGACTTAGTGTTGGAAATCCGGAAGTTGTTCACACTGTATGCTGAGTTGAGTTGAGTGGAGTGGAGTGCAGTGCAGTAGATCTCCACATTGCTTGTTTCAGATTAATGCAGGAAGGCCTGTCTTGTTGTCTTTCCGATCGTGGCTTTGATGTCGTCATCTGTGCCTGTGTGGCCTGTAGTTGAGACGATGCTGCTCTGCCTATGTAGGTAGGTAGGTAGGTAGGTAGGTAGGTGAAGGAGACAACTTCCTTCAGGTTTCTCTCCTTCATGCTGATTGGTGTTCTTCTTCTTCTTCTTGTTGGTTGAGCATACTCATCACCTCCATCTTCTCTACGTTCACCTGAAGGGAGTCCCGTCTTCGCTGCCTCACATCACCTCACCTCACCTCACCTCTTCTGACAGCTTGTTGGTTTTCGGTTGTAGATCATCAAATTTGTGCGACAAGACATTAGACATAAAAACTCATTGTTGGCGAAATCCAACTCTTCTTTTCCTGTGGTCTTTTCATTGATCCAGCCAGTGTATGCTCATCTTTTTTCTCCTCACAGTTGTCTGTTGCATGATCCAGTCCAGTCCAGTCCAGTCCAATCCAGTCCACTACAACGCAATCGTGAAGATCATCGGTGATAGTAGACTGCAATCTTGTATTGTCTTACTCCTGTCTTCACTTCACTTCAAAGGCATCACTGAGCTTTCCGTTGTGAGTCACTTAGCATGTAGCATCAATAACATAGCATATGGCTGCTGTTGAATGAGGTTGATAAAGATTTATGCCACTAAAATCTGTAGTGTTGAAGCAGTAGCCTGTCAAATTACTTCTTGGTCGACACTGTCGAAGGCCATTTCAAAGTTGCAACATAATATTTTGTTTGGGTTGAACAGGAGCATGATTCCTTGCCAGTTCTTACAAATACTTAGGTCACCTTCCTCCAGTCAATCGACAATTACCCTTCCTTCCTTCCTTGCAAACCTTCTGCAGTAGTGGTGTGAACATATCCGCTGTTGTCTCTGCTACTCTGCTGAGTGATTCTGGGGGAGTTCCATCTGGTCCTGCGGACATAATGTTGTCAGGTCTCTCCTACCTGCAGCCTATTCTGCTTCACTTTCAAGTGTATCGTAGAAATGTCTTTTGTCTTTGCACGCACTCCTCTTCACTTCTCTGTCCAGTATAGTGTTTTATAGGTTGTGTTCAGTTCCTCCTCTCTTTTTCATCCCTGCACTGCATTCCACTGGTTCATCTTCCGCTTCATCATATTCCTCTCCCTGCTCCATCAGCTTCCATGTGTCCGTCCAGATCCATTCCTTGTCTTCTCTTACCTCTTCTTCCTTCTAAATACGGTTATGCAGGTTTCTTTTCACAAAGCTTTCAAAGAGTTCCAGTGTTCTTCCATGCCCGATCCTTCAGGGATGTTGCACGATGTCTCTCATTTTGTCCTAATGGCTGAAATGAAGATGTCCTTCGAAGTTTCATCCTTCAGTTTCTTTTCTGAACTGTGGTCTATCACCAACTACTTTGAAGACTTTCAGCTTGATTTGAAAGTAGGTATCTTGCACTAGATAGTGAATGGTCTGAACCATCTACATCTGCTCCTCTTCTTGATCTTGTGTCCAATAGGCTGCGTCTCCATCTCCACTTTCTTCAGATTGAGATGAAGTCGATCTGATTTTAAATTTGTCCGTGTAATGAAGTCAAATCCATGTCACTTTGGGAATATCCTTGTGTTTGTACACATTGCCTCCAATCACCGAACTGTTGAAGTCTGCAAACAGATCTCCATTCTCATTCATCATTTCACCGAGTGCTTCTCGACCCATGATCAGTTCTCTTCCTGTGTTGTCCGCTCCGAGTTTGGCATTCATGTCACCCCACCTATTAGAATTGTGATGTCACCGTCACCAGCTGGGGTGGTATTTCGTCCAGTACTGATTGCATTTGTCTGTAGAATTCCTCCTTCTTCTCTTCATCTGCATTATTTGCAGGTACGTAGTGTTTCGTAGCATTGTATGATTGTGACTTTCCCTCCTTTTGGAGTTGAATCCATCTCTCTGTCATGATCCTGGAGGAGTAGATTGGTTCCCACTGCATGAGAGAGAGGCTTCAATGCTACTGACGACATCATGATGGCCACTCGAAAACTCAGTGTGCTCGTGGTTGTCGTTTGCTTGACAATGTGGAGTAGATTATTGACTCTGCAGTTGACAGTTTGGAGAGTCCACTTCCATTCCATCTGCTTTCACAGATTCCTAGCTAGCACTTCTGTGATATAACTTCTCATCTCTTTGGTAATCTGGGCAGCCTTGCCAGCCAGCTTAAAACATAATGCGGACATTCCTAGTCCCCATGTTTACTTTCGCTTTCATCGAGAGAGAGGAGAAGACACATTGGCCAATTGGCTTCCGATGGCTTTCACCAACTGGTATTATTTCATCTCTCCGATTCCAGCGAGAAATAAGTTTGTTTTCATTTTTTATATTTTCTTCGTGCTTTGAAGTGTTTTTTAGCGATTGGGTTGGTTTTACCGGTAGGGTTGCTATCCTATGCCTAACCTTGCCTCTTTATCTGGGCTAAGGACCGGCTAGTAACTAGTGAACTAGTTAACTAGGAGAGGTTTTCAAAACTTATGCTCATTTATTGAAACACCGTTAGGTTAATGAGTCGTGAGAAGTAACTCTTTTGCATCAGGAACTAGTTTATTTGATTTAGATTGTGTAATCATTCATGGTTTAGCGGATTACGCCGTTACCACGCAAACGAGATGATGACACTGTCAAAGTGATTATACAAAGAAGCAAACACCTGCCGTTCAGTTCGCTTCAGTGTAGTGAGCAGTAGAAAACCGGAATGCACTACAGTTATCATATAATGTGATCTTAGCTCAGTGGTTAATCTTACAGTTTACTCAAACATTCATTGAGTTTTTAGTTGACAGGACAGAGTTATCATCTGAGTCATGTGAATACCACTTTGTGAAGAATTAACCAGTCAGTCACTTTATTCAGTTAGTTTTTAGCTGTTAGTAGATTGGTATGTTAATGAATACACCCCGTTGGGAGTCTTCGATATGACGAGACGTACATGATGGACTCCATTACTGGTTAACTGAAGCAAATAACATCATAATAGGAGGAACCACAATATTAAACATATAAACTATGTCAGACAGTTTGTAGTAGTAGTAGACAAAAAACTATGGATTTATGTTTCGTGCTCATTGGCACTCGTCTACGAAGTGTATCTGTAATCTCGAGGCAAGTGATGTCCCCTCTGAGTCCTGAACTCACTTCATCCAGAGTTGTAGGTAGGAGCATTATCAATGAACTGTTTAGGCTGCTCTTCAGCTTCTATTCAGCTGGATCAAATACACCGGTTGGCCACGGAAGAGCAATCATTTTCATGTTGTCCAGTCCTGAGGGCCAACCAACATCAGTTTCGTCGAGATTGTAGATACACCTTGCTGACGAGCACCAGGTCCAGGCTTCCTGCTGATTGCCTCCATCCAACTAACATCTATCAAAATGCATCATGATGCTGAGCTGGCTAGTCTGATGGCCACATTGAAAAATAATCGATGAAATTCGGTTGACACTTAAGACTAGACAACATGAAATTGGTTACTCCTCAACAACCAATGAGTGTCTTAATATGTACCTATAACTTATTGCACCTGATGTGACTAATATGAAAATAACTTCAATGACTTTACCACTGTGTGATGCGGGTTCATACCGTCAGGGGTATACCGGTTTCCACATGGTTCTGGATACAGCTTACTGATGAGTTTTAATGAGCCCGAAATTTACGTCTTCTGGGGCTTCTTATAGGTTGATTCTCAACATATAACAATAAAACACTATATTGTCATGTCACTTGCGTTAATAGTGACCACATTATTAGCTTGACCGATAAAATTTGATCAGTTTCAACAGTAAACACTGGACAAATATGTTAGTTATCGAATGGTAATCAATTCGTATACATTAATACTTTGATCTCTTTCTCAACAAGAATCCAATCCACTCAAAAACTATACGACATGATTATTAGTCTGATGAGTATCCTAAATGAATAGAGTACAACTTCAAAGCTACACAATAATATATAAGATATTACTGTGTTATGAAACATGTCTTACTCATAAGATGTATAAGTAACTGACTGATAGTATGCTTCCAATTAGTGACATCATTGTAAGTAGATTCTATAAAGTTCCACTCAATGGCTATAAAAGTTGTATGGTTTATCAAAATAGAGGTAATGATCTATCGATGATGGTCAAAGTTCATGTCAAACTGTCTAATATTTGAAGTTCAGATTCTGCCATATTCTACGTTACTGTTGAATCATGATGTAATCACTATGAATAGTAACCTATCTTGGTTCAATCCCCTCTAAGTATACTTGTGTGTAGAAAGTTATGTTACAATTGGTGAGATCTCATATGGGATGAAACAAGTTTATTATTCATTTTTCTTCACTTTTTTCACTTTATTAAGAAACATATCTACGAGATGGTGATCATTGTGTATCGAAATGTGCTCGTCCAGGATATTTTGCTTATCGTGGTCAATGCATACCCTGTCCTAATTCTATTTGTCCCAAAGGTAAGTTTGAACACAGTTAGTCTATTTATGCCTCACTGTATTCATCAGAAACTCATAAAAATTAAGAAAACATGAAACATTTGAGTAGCTTAAGTAACTTTTAGTTTGTCTACCATTAAGGTGTATTTGAAGCTATCTGACTACTTGGAACTGCTACTAAGCAACTGTAAAGTTGCTGGCTTTACCAAAAAGCTATACAAGTTGCATTTTATCCTCTGCAGCTTCCACTTGTGTAATGGTTGTGCAGCACTCAGGAGACTCATACTAGGACAAAACAGCTATCTAGTGTTCCCAGATCCTCAACACTTCTCCAAATGATATCGGTCTATGATGAATACCAACATGAAATCAAAACAAACCTCTCAATTGAATTTTTTGGCATAATCATTCAGATAATTCTATCGTATATCAAAGGGAACGCTGTAACACGAATTTTCTACAGATGGAATCTCTCCTCAGGTTACTGATGAAGACCACAAAAAACAAAACTCAGGTAGAATGTTTTCTTGAAGATCGCTGGGTGCAGAATGAGCGTATTCATTAGTGAGTGTTAGCAGTCACAGTTGCCATTGTGATATTGTTCATAAATACAAAGTAAATAAATAAATTTTCAGCTGAATTGTTTCAGGGGAGTTCAGTGGTGTAAACCATTCTCTTGAAAACTACTCAGTTTAATGATAATCCCGTTCTCAAATGTGAACAGCTCCAAGATGGATTTCTTGAAGCTTCAATAGGAAACTACGATCTATGAAGTTAATGGATCTGGATGCCAAGCGATAAAGTTAAACGGTCATAGTGTTATACCATTAACTCAGTTAAGCTGCGAAACAAGAACTGTTAGTCTTAGGTTCGACCCCGTACAAAGTGTTAGGTGAGCACTACTGAAAAACATCAAAATCAGAGAGAAAATATCTTCATAGCCTCATAATTTCCACTGATCTAACTCATGTCGATTCGCGGTGAACATTAGTATGAAGCTAATAAACCTGTTTTCACCAGTTGTGATATCAGACGATTTCATCTGATCAGTGGGACCAACGGTCAAAGAGTATTTCAAAGGACTTATCTGTGGATAAACGTATTTCTTAATAGCACGCCTTCTACTATCAGATGCTGAGTAAACAATATCAGGCATACCTGAGGGATTCATTTGAAGGCCATAGTATGACTGAAATTCTACGCTTGAAGGAAGACAACCAGACTGATAGACAGACAGACAGGGAAACAGATCCACTCAGAACCTGATACAGAAGTATATCAGTTCAAAATTCGCATACTTCACAGAAGTATGCAAAAAAGACATGAATGAATAATGAATGACATTCAAGTAGACAAAAGTGTATTGAAAGGAAAGAGAATGAAGAGATAAAAATTGGTGAAAATGTTCACTATTTCGATGAGGATATAAGGTGTATACATGGATACAGTTGTGATTGATTTTTAGCTACATCAGAAATAGTTTTTATCCGTTGATTATTAACATTTAAAGGGTCACAACTAGATAGCCTAGAGCTTTCTATTGCATCCAGATTAGTATTCATAGACTTTATGCATTGGGGTCACTACTTGGTTTGATCATCTTTAGCTTTCTTGTAAAATGATGAATTCGTCTAATATTGCTTAGAGGATATTCTAGGTTAACCTTAGGCATAAGATAACATTGTATCGATTAACAGTAGCTATTCGATCAGTGTATATAATCAAATCATTAGGAAGATCAGTCACTGTATGAAAAACTCTGTGGCAATGTGTGGCATGATGTTGGTTTCAGTATCTACTTGAAAGCTATTTATAAGCTGTACATATATGCTGATGACTGGTGGAAGCAACTACAATAGAGTCCCCTAGGGAATACTTTCAACTGTCGAGCACTTACATTCCTGCTCTCAGAGACTGTATTTCGTGGAGCTGCAGCTAATCCGTTTAGGAAGGTCACAGATTTGAATCTCCCTCCATCTTCCAAGATCTGGGCACTCAGATATTAGGTATCTTCAGCCTTCATATAATAGTTATGCCTCATTGTTTACTATACAAATGTACAAAACATTATGTATAGTAATGATGGGTAGTGGCTAGCAGTGAAATCCAGGATGAGCATTTCATCCTTATTTGGGACTCGTCCAAATCCCGGTGGGAACAACATCACTCTTTAGGAGGGCGGTATATCCAGCTGACAAGTCCCAAATAGGACGAAATGCTCATCTTGGATTCCGCTGCTAGCCACTACTCATCATTACTACACATAATTAAATAACAGGCAACGACAGTGTAATACAAGCAAGTACACAAGATTGTTGGGTGAATTCCAATTTTTCGATTTCGTTAAAATGTTTCATAAAGATTAAAAAAACGTATAAGAATTACGATTATTCATATCCTTTTTCTATATATTCCAGTTTGTACATTGAAAGAAATTGAATCAATAAAAGGAGTTGATTATCTACATCGTAGATCACTTCGAGCCATGGAGAATTGTACAATATTTGAAGGTGATATTAAATTATCAATGCAATCATTTATTGGGTAAATATTTTTCTATTTCTACTATTAAACAGATTTTTTTCTAATTTTTTTCATTGGAGTATTCATTATTACCTGGAAACAGTTAAAGAAGCATTAAAAAAGAAAACAGGAGAACTAGACTGTTGTCTTATCCTTGCTTAAGATTTCTCACAGCAGTATGTACGTACATCTCTGTGAGAGATATCAAACTGACAACTAGAATGTATTAAGTAGAACATATTTCCATCCATTCCATGAGTCGAAATCCAGCTACCTTGTTCAATTCACGATATAGTGTAACAGTCTTGTCTTCATATCCTATTTGACTGAACCTTCAGAATATTAAGTATCACTGATACTTCAAGAAATACAACTTGAAGTAACTCATCAATGCGCATTGAAGAGTGATTTAACTGTTCATTTTTAGGAATTGATTGGTTTCAAAATATTTTTTAGATGAGACATTAAATACTCACCTATAGGATGAGAAAATAATGTCATATTGTCGCGAATTGACATTTCAGCTCAGTGACGGATTACTAACACACATATACACCGGAAGGTGTGACGGTCCTGGACTTAATCGGAACTATGCACTGCTGAAGAGTTTCACACTAGGACGAAACAGCTGTTTATTGTTCTCAGGTTTTCAATGCTTCTTTGAGTGAGGTCAGTCACTAATGAAATTAACCATCACTAAACTTCTCACACAAGTGCATCAGTTCAAGTTGCCGCAAGTTACATTTGTATACAAAAATCAGGTGAGTAGAATGAGAATGGTACCAACGTGAACAAAGGTGTATGGGAGAAGGGGGGATTTAAAAATTAAGTTCAGCCAAAACATTCAAGTTCTGAAAGACATCTACGCCATAATGACCGGTTTTCAACCATCTCAACAAGAGTTCTGAACTTGTGATTCCTATCACATCCGGGACCCCAGCTAGGCAGTTAACACCTGTCTACAGGGCTCAGACCAAGAGTCACAGACTTCATAGACTGGTGTCATGCCTTAGTCCGGTCATCCTGAGCCTTCTTCCAGCCTAATCCAACTTCACCTAGCACTACACATCGAGGTAGGTGGTGGGTTGGTATGCGCAGTACATATCCATGGCATCTCAGTCGACAGAGTTTCACAACCTTCATCAAACCCGTTTTAGTTGCTCTTCTTTTCCTATTAGTTACATAGAAAGCTTATTAAACGTCTCGTTGTAGTTCCTCAGGATGGAGTTACGACTGCTGACAATTAAAACATTGGTAGATTCTACTCTAAGGAGTGAATACACTGACTTTTTCTTAGATACTTCAATAAGTTAAAACAACGTTCACTTATTTATACATTTATTTTCATTTCCAACATTCAATCACTTTCTGAAATCTTCTACTAATTAGGTGTGGTGCGGAGATGTCTAAAAGGTAGGAAGAAAACTAAAATTTTATTCTCACTGTTGACAGTTCAATCAGATACTAGATAGAATTAGTTTGACGTTTTGATCCTTCCGTATAGTTTTTATTACCAATTGACGTCATTTAGAGAATTGTTGAAAATCTAGCAGTACTAGATAGCTGTCTAATTCTGCTTCGAAAGTAGTCATCAGTGCACATCCAAGATCCTATTTGAGGTCAAACCAGGCCCGTGAAGTCTCTTGGTGAGTACGTTATTGTCCATCTACTGGGTTAGAAATCAATGAACAACGTCTGTCTTCTATCAGTTCGCAGAGAGAAATGACTTACATTTGAGTTGATTGACTCTAACAGTCATAATTTTCCACTAGAACTATGAGAAATTTTGGTTGCAACAGGACTGCAAGACTTCTGGCTAGAATCTTACTGCGAACCGAATTTTCATTTCTCTTCCAATCGGCACACAGTATCCATTCATCCATTAATAATGAGTAGTCAGCTGTCATTCTATCCAGACCCTTGTAGATAATAATTAATTTGAGCAGTTTGTAATTTCTAGAACAAATATGTGATAGGAAATAGACATTCCCCTTTGTCTGATTACTTCTGCAATGACCAGCTGTCAGTAAGTTCTCGTCCCACTTGTAGTTATATTGTTGCATGGGAAGTCCCCAAACTCTGCGCCTAAGTTTGGCCGTGGCAGTAAAAGAATCTAGAAGGGGAAAGAAAAAGGGAAATTTTTAACCGGTGACTCAAAATATGCACTCATATTGAATAATAAAAGACAACTGATGAACGATAATGGTTTCCGAAGAGAAGACAAGGTAATATACCTACCGAAACTAGAGTGTCACAACTTCTCATGAGAACTTTGTGTAATTTCATCTCGAAGTATATCACTAATAAACGCTAGGGTGAATCAAGTTGAACGTAAAAAGAAATACTCAGTAATGACATTCGATGGAGTTAGCGCTATATACCGAATTGACAGAAGCAGTAAAATGCTGACTATTGAATTCCAACCAAGTGGCTTATTGGTAACGTGATCATCATGACATATTAAGGTCATGGAATTGGCTTCCGATGAGGTTATGAATATGCACTACTGAAGAATCCTATAATAGGGCAAAACAGCTGTCCAATACGGTTAGGTGTTCAGCAGTTCTCCAAATGATATCAATATATGGTGACGACGGGATATCTGTACGCTTACTCTTTTATCTTCCTAGTTAGGGTTGACCATGCATAGAAATCGATTTATAAAGTTGAAACTAAAAAATGGTTGAATTAATTTTGTTCGAAAAGAATGAGTGAATTTTATTTTTGGATTTATGTATTTGATATTAAGAAACAGATTTGTTCATGTAATTTACTATTAAGAGAGATTTGAAGATTAGATTCAGTCAGTATCAACACGGAACCTGGGATAACTGTGTCATGGCCCAATTTGTCACAACACATATCAGTACATTAAGGTAAAAAACAACTAGATGACATCCAGAGAAATATGGAAGATATTATCGGTCTAATACGAAGGCAACGTATGAAGGCATTTGCACCACTGAGGTAGGTTGTTACTTGGAGTCTCCAGCCACTGATTTCAGTTGTGACTTAGACCCTTACCTGGAAAATGGCACAGACAAGGAGCCAAAGGCTTCATGAATAGGTACCACATTTTAGTCTGGCCCCCTTCAACCTTTCTATCGCTTATTCTATTTGAGTCGACATCGTGTACTTGGGTAGACACTTAATAGGTATACGTAACACATATCACAAACACCTGGTTCAATGAGAATATGTTGGGTCACCAGACAACTTTCCTCTTTTACCAGGTACTCAGCGCCAAACATGTGCACATTACCAACGTGTTTGATCCACTACGTACGTTGTTTTTCGAACACCTAAAGCCTTCTCATATTTTCCACCTTCAATAGTCTTGTATGACTTGCATACAGTTAAACAGAGCAAATTACTTCATCCCTACTAGGCTATTCATGACTTAATTTGACAAAAGCCATCGGAGCCTTTCCTATTCGTGCCACGGTTTCGTCACGCACTGTGTCACCAGGGCTGATATAACTTCTAAAGAAATGAAGAAGTCAGTATGCTGGATACGGTATCACCCAATATGAGTTCAGTGAAGAGATTTTTAAGTATGTCGAAAACTTGTACTGTAAGTATAGAAAACGATTGTAACTGTATGAGGACCATTTTATAAGTTGCTTACTGTATAAAACAAACAATGTGAGCGAAGAAATATTTCTTTTCAATTAGTTCCTCATCAATGGCTCTACACTAATATAGCATTTTCAAACGTAAAATTACATACCAATCTAGTGGTGAGAGTTGTTCAGTGAAAGGTTATCAATCTCAAAATTTCAAGAAGGTGATAATTGGTCAGGTAATTAAGACAGTTAACTAAAGCAAAGATTAATTATCGTAGAAAGATTTTGCGAACAGGTTCTTACATAATTGATATTTTATATAATGATAACTAAAGAGCAAAAATGAACTGTTACGTAAAATGGTAAATTGTTGACGGTAATTAGAGACAGTAGGGGGAGAGAAAGATGATTAAGTCTGTAATAATAATAATAATAATAATAATAATAATAATAATAATAATAATAATAATGGAGCTATTGAAATACTAGTTATAGTGAATTGTGTGGTGGATGAAATGAAGAGTCTTGTTGTAATAAATGAGCTATACAGATGGCCAAGGCAAAGAAAGAGGCTGTACGAATCTCTTCTGAACACACAGACTTGGCTTGTGTAGGTGGATTCCTATGGCTTCTGCTGTATGTAAAAGACGGACTCGTAGAGGATGGGTGAGGTGAGAAGGAATGTGATAAATAACTTTAAAGGCATTATGAATGTTAACTCGGTGGCCGGTGTCAATCAGATGAGAGAGTATTGAGCTTCGTGTCAGTCTGGTTTCCCCCTTACTTAGCCATGAAGGATGATGCTCGGCGATTCGACGACGGACTTGCCTAACTGTACGTCCAATGTAACTAGCTCCACAGGAGCAGTTGAACTGGTAAATGCACATAGAAGAGGAGAAGTCAGGGAGTCTGTCTTTAGTTCGTGTGGTCATCATCGGCCGGCTGTAGAAAACACAACATAACTTGGCGGCATTAAATGATCTTCTTATGGCATTTCTTAAGCGTTGTGTCACAATTTCGCTGATGATGTCACCTCGAAATTGTAGTCTTAGAAACAATGGTTTCTTGGAGACTGTAGGCATTCTGGTTTTCATATTGGATGTGTTCATATTTTTAGCCAGGAACGTTTCTGGATATCCATTACTACTGAGTAGATCGTGGATAATTTGAAGCTCTTCGTCAAAACTATCATCTGAACAGATGAGTCTCGCCCGATGGACCAAACATTTAACGAGATTTCGTTTATATTGCAAGGGGACGAAACTCAAGAAGTGGGTGTATTGACCTGTTGACGTTGGTTTCCGATACACACTTCTTTTTATAGTTCCATCCACCTTCCTTGTCAATCGGACATCTAAGAAGGTGATGCTGCCGTCATTTTCTGTTTCAATAGTGAAGGTTATTGCTGGATGGACGCCATTGAATTCATCCAGTATGATCCTTGCATCGTCCTCATTATTCACAATCAAGAATGTATCATCTACATAACGGCAATAAAATTCTAACCCGCTTATGATGCTTTCCAGAGGGCCATTTTCTAATTTTGCTAAGAAGAAGTCCGCTAAGATTGGGCCTAGTGGTGACCCCATAGCGACACCGTCTGACTGTCTATAGAATTCCTTATTGAAGAGAAAGTGTACATTCATTGTACATCGTAAGAGAAGCTCTTTCAAGGTGGATGCCGTAATTCCAATTTCTATGTTTCTCTTTTCCAGTTCGCTACATATGAAGTCCACTGTTTCCATCAGAGGGACATTTGTGAATAGGGATGATACGTCTAGGGATATCATCGACTTATTATTCACATTCAAATCTCTTATTTTATCGATAAAGTGAAAAGTATCTTTGACGCTATGCTTTACAACCTCCTTATGCAATGGTTTCAAGAGTTGTACTAGCCATTTCGCCGTCGCATGGTATGGAGAGTTTGACATGTCGAGAATCGGTCGGAGTGGTAATCCATTCTTATGCACCTTTGGTAAACCATACAACCTCGGTGTTACTGTGCCAGTAGGTCTGAGTGTTTCATACTCATTTTGTGAAATGAAGCCTTGCTGCTTCAGCTTTTTTAAGGATTCGGATAATTGCCTCTCCGTCTTCTCTGTCATGTCAGTATTGGTTGGTAGTTTCTGAAATTTACTGTCATCACTGAGAAGTCTGTTCATTTTATCTAGGTATTCGGCTTTGTTCATAATAACCACCCCTGAGCCTTTATCCGGCCTGGTGATCAGCAGATCCTCATTCATTCGGAGTTTACGTAAGGCTTCTCTATGTTTTCTAGTCAAGATGCTTCTAGCATTCTGTTTACTATTCATAAATTTGTAGCAACAGTCAACCAGAGTAGACTTGAATCTTTCTACCTCCTCACCTCCTCACCTTCACTATTGAAACAGAAAATGACGGCAGCATCACCTTCTTAGATGTCCGATTGACAAGGAAGGTGGATGGAACTATAAAAAGAAGTGTGTATCGGAAACCAACGTCAACAGGTCAATACACCCACTTCTTGAGTTTCGTCCCCTTGCAATATAAACGAAATCTCGTTAAATGTTTGGTCCATCGGGCGAGACTCATCTGTTCAGATGATAGTTTTGACGAAGAGCTTCAAATTATCCACGATCTACTCAGTAGTAATGGATATCCAGAAACGTTCCTGGCTAAAAATATGAACACATCCAATATGAAAACCAGAATGCCTACAGTCTCCAAGAAACCATTGTTTCTAAGACTACAATTTCGAGGTGACATCATCAGCGAAATTGTGACACAACGCTTAAGAAATGCCATAAGAAGATCATTTAATGCCGCCAAGTTATGTTGTGTTTTCTACAGCCGGCCGATGATGACCACACGAACTAAAGACAGACTCCCTGACTTCTCCTCTTCTATGTGCATTTACCAGTTCAACTGCTCCTGTGGAGCTAGTTACATTGGACGTACAGTTAGGCAAGTCCGTCGTCGAATCGCCGAGCATCATCCTTCATGGCTAAGTAAGGGGGAAACCAGACTGACACGAAGCTCAATACTCTCTCATCTGATTGACACCGGCCACCGAGTTAACATTCATAATGCCTTTAAAGTTATTTATCACATTCCTTCTCACCTCACCCATCCTCTACGAGTCCGTCTTTTACATACAGCAGAAGCCATAGGAATCCACCTACACAAGCCAAGTCTGTGTGTTCAGAAGAGATTCGTACAGCCTCTTTCTTTGCCTTGGCCATCTGTATAGCTCATTTATTACAACAAGACTCTTCATTTCATCCACCACACAATTCACTATAACTAGTATTTCAATAGCTCCATTATTATTATTATTATTATTATTATTATTATTATTATTATTATTATTATTACAGACTTAATCATCTTTCTCTCCCCCTACTGTCTCTAATTACCGTCAACAATTTACCATTTTACGTAACAGTTCATTTTTGCTCTTTAGTTATCATTATATAAAATATCAATTATGTAAGAACCTGTTCGCAAAATCTTTCTACGATAATTAATCTTTGCTTTAGTTAACTGTCTTAATTACCTGACCAATTATCACCTTCTTGAAATTTTGAGATTGATAACCTTTCACTGAACAACTCTCACCACTAGATTGGTATGTAATTTTACGTTTGAAAATGCTATATTAGTGTAGAGCCATTGATGAGGAACTAATTGAAAAGAAATATTTCTTCGCTCATATTGTTTGTTTTACTAAATGTCTAAATGGGAATTTTTGCATTACTGTATAAAAGTTGACTATACATTCATAAGAATTGTTTGTTGGATGGAGGCAATCGGTAGGAAGCTCTATTCCATCCACGTTTTGTGCTTTCTTGCACTCATCAGTAAGGCATCTCTGCATGCTCGACGGAACTGACGCTCCACCGAAGCTTATTACCCACACCACCCAGTGTTGTAGTCAGAGACGTTACCACACAGCTAGCCATTCAAGCTATGACTGACTTCCTGTAGGGCTGGAATACATACACTAAGAGGTAACCAAATTCATGTTGTCCAGTCCTGAATGCTGCTTGAATTCTATCAATCACTTCGTAATGTAGCCACCAATGAGATGCACTAACAGAAATGTTGTTTAGTTATACGTTTATATACAGGTTTTATATGCTAGTATATTCAATTACGGTGGTTGGTAAGTTATATTTAGTTCGACCAAAAATTCTTCCTGAACGTTTATGAACTTAGTGATGAGGACATTCCTATGAGGTTGGAATGCAGCTGTCTAGTGATAGTCCACGACTTTTATAGTTAACCGTTGTCGATCGATAACGTGAAATCATCAATGAACTATTATGTTGCAGTTACCAATCACTAGATTCGAACTCAGTTGTTACAGGGTAGATGGAAGGACTTGTACAAAGGGTATGTAATGAATGATACAAGTTCATGTCACTATTTGAAGAGTTATTTCATTTTTCTCATGGATTTCCTTGAATCGAGGTGATTTACTTGACCAGTTATTACTACATTGTTGTAAGTTATAAGTTTAGGGATGAAACTTTGACTATCCAGAGGAACTATTTATATGTCACTGCATAAAGTAGTAGAATTGAACGAAAAAATTACTTTTTCAACTATAAGAAAGTGTATCAGGATTATTTTCCAAATTATAAAGTAATTAATGATCACAGCTAACGGTCACTAAATTAGATCAAGGGATGGTTTTTATGTATGACTTACAAGTAGCTATCCAACAACTACATGTGTACATTACCAAAATGAAATTGTAAAGCCTAGTAACCTAATCATAAGTTTAATTTACATGAAACAATTAATACAGACTGATAGATATACAAAATGGAATTCGATTCTATCTCTTTATCCATTTTTATCTGTTCCATTACTAACGTTTATAGCAACTTCAGCACAAGTAACATCTTCACAAGTTAACCATGTGCTAAAGAGAGAATGAATACTTGATATGACGCCATGATGATGTCTGACAATGAGATCTAGTGAAGGTATCTCATCCTGTTTGGTAATGATCAACTAGATGTATCTCTACAACAGATCATATAATATTCTTATTGAAACATAAACTCATTATCAATCTCTTTAGACCTTAAAGTATTATAGTAATAAATTATGATATGTTTTGAAAGTTATTTATTCATTTTTACAATTTCCTTTTGCTTTCTTTTTTCAAATTATTCCTTTATTTCAGTGATCCATTTTACAATTTATCACAAATTGATGAAGGTGTACAATGGGAAGATCTTGTTATAGGTTTATCAAAATTGGAACAGATAACAGGCATATTATATATTAGTGCTGGATTTCATGCTCCATGGATGACAAATTTAACCTTTCTTTCGAACGTGAAAATAATCGGTGGAAGTAAGATGGTTAAAACACATTTCGTTGTTGATTATAACAATGCTAATCTAACATTACTATTATTATTACTGATATTATACTGCTTATAAGAATACATATCAGTAACATATATATGTAAGCTGATGTTTCTGGGAAAAGTGACCCAAAGTTGGTATTCATCGTAGACTGACATCAGTTGGAGAAACAGTGGAAACCATTGGATTCTGACCCAGTAACTCAATGGTGACGTGCTGATTATGGGACCTGAATGTCGTGGGTTCGATCCCTGGTAGGGTCATGGGTGCGCACTGCTGAGGAGTCCCATACTAGGACGAAACAGCTGTCCAATGCTCTCAGGTTTCCATCTTTCCTTCAACTGATGTCAGTCTACTATGAATACCAACTTGAAATATTTCTAAATCCCCATATTCCACTCAAAGAGTGATTTAATTTGATGTCTCATCTGAGTATAGGTTCTGGGTGAAAAGGCAAGAAATATCAGAAGAAAATGCAGAAGCTAAGTGAGGAAACAACAGAAGTCGGAGAATCGTCGATTTTCAATGTAGAATGAAGATGAATTTTCGCATCCAGTGACAACCACTCTTCTGTTTAAGATACTGTTATGTTTCGGAAACTACTATGTGATATGGCCGCTAACGATGCACAGATAACAAATGTCAGCCACCAATGTTCAAAAAAATTCCTAGTTGATCCTCAACCCTAATAGTTAACGGAGAAGACACGGTGGACGTGAAGAAACGTGAATTGGGGTCGAAAGACCGAAGACAAGGACAATGGAAAATACATCTAAAATATGTAGATAGTTCGCTGTTTAAAATAATGAAACTGATTGGCTGGTCTGTCTGACTGTAGACGTGATAGTCTAAATACATTTTGACTGGTCTCTTTCCAGACTAGGCTTATCTTTTTATCCCCATATCACCTCCCTCGTCGAAAGAGTGTTATTTGGGGTCAGACTAGGTCGCACTGTCTTTTTCTTGCATCTATTTGACCGACACAGAGGAAGTTTCACTTTGTTTACTTGGGGATCAGTATTCTCCTCGATATTTTTTCGATGAGCAGGTGCGTGAACATCAAAATCAGCTGCCAAGCCAAACGATTTACCTACCGATTGAAAATGGGATATGTGGCAGTATCTGGAAGATGACCTTTGTATACGTCGTTGTATGCGCTGACGCCAAAAGCCGTTCTTGTGGCCACTAGCATTATGGTCCCTGAATTAATGTTGTTTATATGGACCAGATTTGACGAAATATCAGGCATCGCAGTCCAAACAAGGGGATGGGGATGTCTTCTTCGAGGATCGGTCGGTATCGCTTGAGTCACTGGGAAAATGAAGAGGCGAGATAAGGCCAGGAGGTGTGTGGTCATAGAGTGATGCGGAGGAATGAGATGTCTGGCGAAATGTATGTACCTCAGAACCACACTAGCATCCAGATTGGGTTAAACTCGTATCACTTTGCAGGTCAGCCGATCACCGATATTCTGCAGATATTTCATACAATGTCTGGACTGTGGTGTCGGAAGTGCGGTCATGTGGGCTTGCTGCTAAATCATGTTGAAGTACTGGTCGAGCTCAGGTGGACCAAGCAGGGAACGTACCTTCGAGAAATCATCTTGGCCAGCAAAATTCACTTTCAAGTAGTCTTCGTAACACCTAAACCAAGCACTGAAAGTTTCATTGACATCAGGATTATGGAAAAATCCAGTGATGCTATTGGCTATGCCGTCAACCAAAGGAGCTATTAAAACTGGCGTAATAGGCGATGATTGAGTACCAGAAGTTTTGGATTTTGTAAGCATCTCCATAATCCTCATTTGTTGTTCGAATAAACTGTCCAACTTCGAAGAATCCATTTTCCAGTATGCCATCTCCGTTGCCACTGTTATATTTTAGAAACTACTTTGTGATATAGCCGCTAACGATGCAAAGATAACAAACGTCAGCCACCAACGTTCAGCAAATTCCTAGTTGATTCTCAACCCTAATAGTTAACGCAGAAGACACGACAGAAGTGTAGAAACATGAATTATTATCATTTGTCCCATGGGTTCATAGTGGAACATACAAATTCAGTAGCACGTCGCCATTCCACTCTCCTCTCTGCAATCTTTTCAACCTGGCTCCACTACTGCCCACAAGATTCCATTTCTTCCTTACACCATCTCCTCCATGTCACCCTCACCACCCACACCCAACTCACCGTTTACCATTACGGTTCCACTCGAGTACCTGGCCTAGCACGTGATGTCCCCAGTCGGCCTTCTCAGTGCATGTCCAACCCATACCCACTTCATTCTGCATAGTCTCCGGATGATGGGTTCTTGGTTGGTTAGTTGGTTGGTTAGTAGGTTGGTTGCCAGCGAGCTAGAGTTCCTTGTTGCTTATTCTCATTATTCTGGCCATCTGATCTTCAGTAACGAGTGAGTGTAGACAGCAGTTGTTGATGAATATCTGTAGTTTGTTGGAAATGTCTTTTGTGACACACCAAGTTTCTGAATCATATAGAATCCGGATCTTGTTCCTTATGCTGAGTGCAAAAGGTCTCCACACTGGTTTCAGTGTGGAGATGAGGTATAATTCTTTGTTTGTCCAGCCGAGGAGAAAACACCGGAATTTGGTCCAGTCACTAGGTGACTGAATAAAACCTGGAAAAAAAATCTAGTACTAATTTATTTTAACTAAACACATAAAATGATTTTTAACGACTTTAAAATTATAAAATGTATTCAGGACACTTTGTTGATATTTGGTCAACAGCCGAAGACAAGGTTGAAATCAATGCAGAACAATGTCACCTTATGTTTCTAACCACCGATTTCAGTTGTCATGCTGACTCCAGTGGATCGTCTTCTGTTTTATTTACACCTCTATACTATTAAGTCTATCGTATCAGCGTAGGCGTGCATTGTCATGCATGGTCTACATTCTAAAATCATCATCATCACATCAAAAATGTTGTATGCGCTACGTATGCGCTCAAGGTCACTCACAGCCAATCAAAGAGCAGCAAATCCAAATATACCATAGTCGTGTTGCAAATTGTCAACATTACCAATATCATCAAAAGAAATGATTAGCGGGTTGAAACAAAGAAAACTAAAGTAAATTTTCAATACATTATGCATATTGGAGAACTTTTTAACCGAGAAATTCGAAGAAGCCATAAATGCACCCATTGTGATGATTACAGCTAATAGTAAAAGTATAAAATCTTCATCATATTTTATTTTGAAAGGGAATTGAAATGCATATGAATTCAGTAGGCAGTGAGAGGTAACTGTTACATGAGGGTTGTTCAAACATCGGTAGGTGGAGTGGGGCTCGAACCAGCGACTCGTTGGTTGAAAGTCATCGCTTAAACCAAGAAGTCACAGTTCCACTACGTTTTATCTGAACATAAATTATCCAAAGGTTTTATTTACCTAAATGATGTTAACGATATTTTGGCAGTAGTAAGGTGATTGATTACAGATTGATTAGAAAAATGTATCCATGTTTATTTCACATTAATTTTTTCCTTTGGCTTTTTTTTTCAATTAAAACAGTCAGTCCAAATATTCAACAAACACGAACAATCAATATTAACTTGAATCATCATTTAGAATTTTTAGGCATGACATCTTTACGTAGACTTGGTCATCCAAGTGTATTAATTACAGGTAATCCACGTCTATGTTATGTTGATACAATCGATTGGACAACTTTATTCACCGATGAATTAATAACCCATAGTAATGAGAATAAACAAATATTGTTACCAAAAATGTCAAAAATTGATTTCATTGAAAATGGTCTGTTATCTCAGACAACTACATTATTATCATCAACTGAGAGGAGAGTACTTAGACGACGACGACCTATAAAAGAGTCAGCTGTTTTTATTGGTGGAAATGCTCATTTTGAATTCTGTAGTAAGTTTTTTATAATCACTAAGCTTATATTTTGTTTCAAGTTGTTATTCATCGAAGACTGACATCAGTTGGAGGAATAAAGGAAACCTGGGAGCACTGGACAGCTGTTTCGTCCTAGTATGGGACACCTCAGCAGTGCGCACCCACGACCTCACCAGCAGGGATCGAACCCGCGACCTTCAGGTCCCGCGGCCAGCGGGTTACCATTGAGCCACTGGGTCAGAATCCTATGCTCCATATTTCCAACTCCTGTTAGCTCACGATATAGCGCGAACCGCCACCCAATGTCATCGTTGAGTATTAGTCCTCACGGCCATCAGGCTTTGACTCCATGGCCACGGAACCTGAAGGTCGCAGGTCAGATCCCTGCTGGTGGGGTCGTGGGTGCGCACTGCCGAGGAGTCCCATACTAGGACGAAACAGCTGTCTAGTGCTCCCAGGTTTCCTTTGTTCCTCCAACTGATGTCAGTCTACGATAAATAACGACTTGAAATATTTCCAAATCTCCACAACCCCCTCAAAAGTTTATATTTTGTTCTTATTTATGAATACTTAAAACAGCGGTTGTTAGTTTGAAGTGATTGTTGGCATTAAGGTTCATATTGAAGATACTTTGACATTACTTGAAGATTCGTTGTATTATTTTTTGTTTATGTGATGGCTAGCAGTGGAATCTTTGATGGACCACTTATGTTATTTCTACACTCGTTAGCCAAATGTACTTGCACGTAGTGAGTAATGATTTCGTCTATCAATTCAGGCGAAACAGGGTTTTTCATCAGTTTTTTTTTGTGTGTGATCAGTTTTTAATAATGTTCTTGTTTTTGACAGCGACAATTTTTGTAACATTGTTATTTTGAGTCTACGTTCAGTGTTCTTGACAATCTAGCAGTTAAACGAAGAATGTATGTTTTTATCCTGTTCACCGAATAATTTGCACTAGACTTGAGTTATGCATACCAAGTTATCGCTTACTTTGAAATATGATGTTAGCTGAAGAGTAGGTTTATCAATGAAATTGTAACGTGCTGGTAGCGGAACCTTAAGGTGCTGGGTTCGATCCCTGGCTCGGCGGGGTTACGGGTGCCCACTGCTGAGGAGCTCAATACTAAGATGAAACAGCTGTCCAGTGCTCCCAAATTTCTGATGTTTCTCCATGATGAATGCCAAACTCGAAAATGGAAATGATAATCATAATAATAACTTCATTCCGAACAATATGTATAACAGTATGCAATTTTCAGCATGTAATTTGCAAAATGTGCTTCGTTTCCTCTTCTACTTCTCTCTTGATTTGCTCTTCATACATTCTTATAAGCAACATCCACTGTAATATGCCTGCATTATCCCTTGCGTTGCTGTTGGTAGAATCCTTACTCATTGCCGATAATTCCTTATGATTGCCACCATCTCAACATATACTACTTATATCCATTCTTATCAGCGACGTCCACTGAAACAACAGTATTCAAGGCAATGATGTGAAATAGCCAGCTGGATGGGTATCTGATCTAAGATGAAGAGTCAGTAGAAATGCAAGCGTAATTTTGGTGGTGGTGGCAGTTCATTCAGATGGTAAAAAAATCTGGAAGTCAAGCTAAGCATCTGATGGATGATGTACTTATTTACGCCGAAAAGTTCATTTCCATATAATGTGACATTTTTTACGCTCCTTTGTTATTGACGCGAGAAATGGAGAGTTGGAAACAGTTTAAAAAGGTGCAAGAGTTCATGATACCTTCAAAGGATATATTTAAATGATTAAAACAAACTGAAAGGAAAGGATCTGATGAAAAATGTCCGATGGATAAATTTGGTAGCTCAAGGATCAAGTAGACAGCCGTATTTAACCGAATTTAACCTTAACCGGATGGCGATCTCTTTCTTAGTGATTTGATCTAATAAAAACTCTTCGATACTATGATGGAATGTAATTCTATATTACATTTGCTTATTTGATCTAACACACATTGATACAGTATCATTTATTGTTATTATTTGTCCCATGGGTTCATAGTGGAACATACAAATTCAGTAGCACGTCGCCATTCCACTCTCCTCTCTGCAATCTTTTCAACCTGGCTCCACTACTGCCCACAAGATTTCATTTCTTCCTCACACCATCTCCTCCATGTCACCCTCACCACCCACACCCAACTCACCGTTTACCATTACGGTTCCACTCGAGTACCTGGCCTAGCACGTGATGTCCCCAGTCGGCCTTCTCAGTGCATGTCCAACCCATACCCACTTCATTCTGCATAGTCTCCGGATGATGGGTTCTTGGTTGGTTAGTTGGTTGGTTAGTAGGTTGGTTGCCAGCGAGCTAGAGTTCCTTGTTGCTTATTCTCATTATTCTGGCCATCTGATCTTCAGTAACGAGTGAGTGTAGACAGCAGTTGTTGATGAATATCTGTAGTTTGTTGGAATGTCTTTTGTGACACACCAAGTTTCTGAATCATATAGAAGCACTGATCTGATATTGGTGTTGAAAACCGTATCATTTACTTGATAATATTGTATCACTTTGTACGAATATAATATGGAAGTTAGTTTAGATTAAAAGGAAATTAGAGAGTGAAGTCAAGACGTGATATCAGTTCATGAAGTCTGTAACTGATACTCTAAGCCATGCAAGAAAGTTTAAGCTGCACAGTCAGTGTCCTTACATGAAGACTCTTTGCTGTCATTAGTTGTTTTGTCTATTTGAATAACAATGTTTTTCTATCCACTCCTTCTTTGCATGATTTTACGGAGGATATGGTAACTGGAATTAATGTACTTCAGTGCCACTTTCTTGGTTGATCTGTCTGTCTATCTATGATATGTTTGCCAAAATGTCACAGTGATTTGCAAACCAGATAATATGTTAAATCTCATTTAACTAACATACAGGTACACTATGATTCAGAACACTAGATAAAAAGGATTAAAATTTGTTTCATCTTTTCAATTATTAGTAATTTCTTTTCTTAGTTTAGTCTGTGCTTAAAAGGATCAACTTTCTTTGAGAACAACATTTAGCCTCAGTTGATTCAGCTTTTTCTAATTTTTCCCTTTACAATGAGATGAAATTATCTTTTCCAGCCGTCTGTAGTGTATTGATTTCTATTGGATACAGTAATGTATGACAAACAAAACAGTTTGATTCAAACTGTCCAAAAACTCATATCCAATCAGTGAACTTCTTTGATATTACCTGGCTTAAAAACATTGACATAAAATCCTTTAGAATACCTCAGAGAAGCTGACTTTTACTTATAAACAGAGATTAATTATCATGTATTCACCTAAGCCTTCTAAGTATGACTTCTCATTATATTCAGTCAGTTCATATCACCATGAGACCTAAGATTATTGTATGACTGTCCAAGTTGTCACACTTCACATCAACACAACAAGATACATGATGGTTAGATGTAAGATAGATGAATGAGAAAGAAGTGAGAATAAACATTTGTTGGAAGCAATAAGAAGTGGAATAAATAATATGATGAAATATGGTGTTTATACTGATGATGATTGAATGTGAAAAGAAAATCTAGGCCATGAGAAGATTCGAACCAGAGATATAGTGGTTTCTGGCAAAGTGCACTACTAACTGTGATGTGATGAAAGTAATGTGTGAATGCATGTAATTCTTGCCAATTTACTTCTAAGACTTGGCTGTATTTTGTTCTCTGAACTGAGTTTTCTACTCGTGGGCTTTCATCGTCTTTCTAGACAACATCATCACCACTAACTTCAGTATGAAGTGAGTTGTCAGTATCTCACCGTCACTGATTTAGTGGCTTACCTTGACAAACTGGTTTGTGATTGGTTGTTTCCTTTGATTGTTGTGACATTGACTGACTGAATAAATTTTCCTGTTGACTGTTCCTCTGCTTCACCTCTCACCTTATTGTCGTTTATCAATTTTCTTATTGGTTGATAGATTGGGTGTATGTCTGTACATCTCTTCATTGACTGCTGAATGACTGACTGGTCTGAATGCCAAACTTCTAGGAATTTTCTGATCATATTCGTTGTGTTTCCTCAGTCCAATATTTCTACATTGTTGAAATTGAATTCATGTCCATAACTGTTATCCACATGGATTGAAATGAGTGAAGAAATGTCGTGTGTGACGTATAATAGCCAATTGGTGTTCATGTAGACGAAGGTGAAGAGGGAGATCACTTTGTCCAATGTAGTGTTGACTACAGTTATTGCAGTTGATTTTGTAAATGATATTCAGTTTGTCTTCTTCGGTTGTTGCATCCTTCGGTTTGTGTAATAGTGTTTGTAAGGAATTTATTAGTTTGTGAGTGGCCACATCATTTCCACCAAGTGGTCTCAGTAATCTTGTCATGATTTTGATATATATTCTTTATGTACGGTAGGATGACGAGTTTGTTGATTTCTGTCGATGACTTTGTAGTTGATGTTGTACAGGATAGGCATCTTTGATAATGTTTCGTGGGTAGCCGTTCTTCTTAGGGTGGATACCAAGTAATTTTCTTCGTTTCTCCATTAAGTTGTTGTACTACAGTGTGTTCTCGATCTTTTGAATAGAGTCTGCATGCAACTGACTTTGTGCATTGTTGAGTTTTTGCTACTGTGGTTGAGTATTTGATCAGCGTGTGTTGGTTTCGTGTACACTCGGGTTTTCAGTTTTCCGGCATTCGTCCTACTGACTAAAACATCCAGGAATGGTAGTTGGTTGTTTGACTCCTCCTCCATTGTGAATTTGATGTCATTGAAAACGTTGTTGATCAAAGTGTGAATGTTCTCTATATCATCTTTTTGAATGATGACAAAAGTATCGTCTGTATAGCGAATGGAAATTTTTGGTTTAATCACAGGTAGGATGATGGCTTATAGTCTCTGAATCACTGCATCTGTAATTAGTCCGGATATCGATGATCGCATCGAAGTTCCTTTCATCTGTTTGTATAGGTTGCTGCAGAATTGAAAGTATGTTGCCAGGCAAAAGTCGATGAGTTCCACCAGACTTGGCATTCAAGTCAGTCAGTCGGTCAGCAATCAATGGAGAGATGTATAGACAAAGACCGAATTTATCCACCAATAAAAAATTGATAAACGACAATAAGGTGAGAGGTGAAGCAGAGGAACAGTCAACAGGAAAATCTATTCAGTCAGTCAATGTCACAACAATCAAAGGAAACAAGTAATCACAAACCAGTTGATCAGGGCGAGCTACTAAATCACTTACGAGAGATACTGACAGCTCACTTCATACTGAAGTTAGCGCTGATGATGTCGTCGGGAGAGACTACGAAAGCTACACGATTCAACAATCCAACTCAGAGAACATAATACAGCAGAGACCATCTAACTGAGCTGTAAACACTCTCCACTACTTTTAAGACTGAAAGCCATGTCTGGTATCCTGGATTAAACCACACGTTGATTCCTCGGATTTATTGATAACGATAGATAGACAGACATTCTGCTACCTATCAAATAACGACTATACTGTTATGCAGCCCCTTCTACTATGTTACATGGTTGTGAAGCATGACTGCTGAAAGCAGGAGACATGAAGGTGCTACAGACTTTTGATTATAGGTGTCTTCTCAGCTTTGCTGTCGTTTGGTAAAATCACGGTGTAAGCATGTCGAAGTCAGTTGAATAGAACTAGGCAAGAAAGGTGAGTCGACCGATGAGATTGCGAACCTCATCGGCTGAGGTGGCTTGAACATATGCTGCACATGTCCAGTCACCGCCTACCTTGACGTGCCTCTCTAAAGGAGGCGGGATTAGGTTGGAAGAGGGTTCAGAATGGCTAGACCAAGGCCAGGCAACAGTCGTTGAAGTCTCTGACTGTTGATCTGAGCCGTGTTTGGAGATGTAGACTATGTGGCTAGGGTTTTCGAGACGAAAAAAATCAGTGGTTGAGGACTCTTGGTGACTTGATTGAAAACCAGTCCTAGCGGCACAAATGAATTCTCTTTTTGAAGTCTTCTAAGCCTTAAATGTCTTGGCTAAAATTAGTCCTTAAATTTCCTATCTATCCATTTTGTCTACTATGATATCAGTCTTTTTCTATCCATTTGTTCTCTTTATACTACTGTGAGTTATGGTAACTTGAACGGATGCAATTAAATACGAGATTCTGTGTCGATTTCATCTGTCTATTGTTCTTGCATTATTTACTCTAGCGGATCACTAAACTGTGATTCCATGTAGTTTAATAAATCATTAGAGCCGAGTTGACCTGAATGACACAACACTATGCCTTACTGATATGTAGTGACAGCGTTAGGCCAAAGTCAGAGCGATTGGTCCCAAGTTCGAGTCCCTGTGGGAGCAGCATCACTCACTGGGGGTAGGTACATCCAGCTGACGAGTCCCAAGTAGGACGAAACACATCTTTTGGATTCTACTGCTAGCCACTATCCATCATTAATACGATCTTACTAGATGTACACATTCAGATAAGCAGTGATTATAATGATGTCTCACTGACCTCTTTTGATAACAAAACGTTCTCCACATTAGGCTCACGTTAGTAGGATAGTATAACTTGAACATTGCCATTCTTTTCTTTTATCTCAGTGTTATATATGAAGTTCAGCTCTGTTGAGGAGCACGAATTTGCTATGGTATTCACAAACGCAGAACAGTCATTATCAAGTTATTGTTTACGAAGTATTTAAGGAGGTGGCTACCTGTATACCCTCTGAATTTCCATCAAAATTTCTCGCCACCAATTTGAAGATCCGTCACATGAGTAACAAATTTTAGAAACAACTCGTGTAGGTTAACTACTACCTTAGTTATCGACTTTATGACACCTATTTAATCGATCTCGGCAGATGGATGTGGTTTACTGCATACACATTGGCGTTAATAAATAATGACATTTCTATATTGTCGTTTGAACATACGGCTGATGAGTCCGGAACAGAATGAAACGCAAATCGACTGCTAGCCCCTATCCATAATTACTAGCCGGCGTACTTTTAGCATGAATAACCTGTATTTACAACCCACTGTGACCAACAGATTGCTATTAGTTAAACTATTCGAGGTGGTGATTAGAAGTGAGATTAGGCAGGACTCGAACAAACAACTCTCAGACTGTTGACTTGGTGCTCTATCTACTAAGCTGTGAACTTGACTGTAGATTAAGTACCATTCATTTCAACTTCAGTCACTGAGAGGATTAAAATCCTCTGTAGCGTTGGCATATAAAGAAGATACATATGAATCTCTAAGTAGGATTCTTAATAGTGCTGGAGGTAAGAATGCCATTTAAACCCACAAACTCACTCAGAGAGAAACTTTATAGGCTGAGAGATCCAATAGGGTCAATTAGGCAAGAGAATCTACCGAGTACTATGTAACGATTGTGGGGTGAAGTGTATAGGTCAAACCAGCAGATCACGGTGACTCAGGATAGTGGAGTACACACATTTGGTAGAACACACAGTGCCAGACTCTACTAAGATAAGCAATTTACTGGAAAACTTGGCTGTCACTCTGCTAGCTGGGATACCGTGATAGTTCGGGGATCCAGCATATATAAATGGAGGTAGTGATCGATCATTTGTTCATTGAACCAATGTCCAACATATGTAACAAGAAAAATTCACCACATACTTCAGATATTTAGAAGATTTTATTACCATTAGAATAAATAATGAAGAACTGTTGGAGTGTATAAGAGAAGTTTGAAGGTCGTATGATCACTCTGATAAGAATAATGAGCAATAATTTCCGCTTATTACGTCATCTAGTGAGTAAAACTGCGCCAATCACCGTGTGCTTTATCGAATAAACAACCTAATATGCACAGTGAGGTCGAGGATTCTACCTCAGTATAGGGTAAGGAGAATATAAGTGTCAGTAAACAACACCAGGTACCGGTTGCACAAGAGGTGGATATCAAACCTTAGTGGGCTAGGAGACAAGGCATGGTCATTTGAGGCTATGAATGCTGGGTTCTGGTTTCAGTGGGAACAATATCAGTGACTGAGATGCAGGTACACCTAGCTAATGAGCTCCGATTAGGACGAAACGCACCTTCTAGATTCCACTGCTAGTCACTAAATAAACTATAATCTAGCCCGAAACCATACTGTACCACGGTGCCCAGGTTTTACTCTTGCACTACTCAATTACTGAGGATTTGAGTTGGTTTTTGTTCTTAAGTAAAAGTGGGTGGTAGCTACACTTTCAGAATAGTCAAAATGAACCGTCTATGAGATTTTAACTTTTCATATTTCAAGTTTTCTTTATATCTCATATCTTACCGTTACAGGAGGACGTGGAGCGATGTGTGATGAAGTATGCCAACCTCATGCTGGATGTTGGGGTCCTGGTATAAAATTCTGTTACTATTGTAAATACTGGTCAGTTGAATCTCCTAAAGGTGGACAACTTTGTGTTCAGAAATGTGAAGATGTACCCGGTTTTTATACCCCTATTATCAATAACTCAGAAATTGATTCCAAGGAAATGTTGACTACGGGATTGAATAAACTGACTATATTGCAGTACAATACTACTAATAACTTAACTACTAATGAAACTACTAACCCTCTGGAAATCAGTAGTACATATCCGACTGCAGGAAACAGTCAACCTAAGGAGATCCAAGTCTTAAGTCATACTTTCCCACCAATGCAATGCCAGAAATGTTCATCCATGTGTAGCCTACAAAAGAATACATGTAATGGACCAAATGAGGATCAGTGCATCGGTTCATGTCGATTCGTGAAGGTAAATAAAATTTATTTTTTTTATATATATGCATATACAATCATATTTACAGTGGAAAATGTGTGTGGCTCACGCAGTGGACATTCAGGTTGAGTTGTTCTCTGGTAAACGTCTCAGTGTCATGCTAGACATCATTGTCGATGCACAAGCGCTTCACATGGAGACTGAGTAAATTGACAGTGTATGTATATTGATAAAATGCTACCTTTCCTGAATCCAGTCTGATTGGCCACTTGGTGAGTGTGTACACGTGTCTTGAATCTTAATTGGTTGACGTTCTCCTGCCTCCGTAATTCAGAGAGAGGCATGCCATTGTTTCATTGGTTGGTTTCTTTGTCGACCAATTTGACCAATGGCGTAGTTGAATACTCATCTAAGAAATTTGGGGGCAGACAAAATATTGCATCGATTAGTCACTGTAGAGCAACCGATTTAATATTGTCTAGGGCCGAGTGATAACGAGTACGAAACCAAGGTCAGGGAGGGTTTTATGTCAATGACCTCCAACAACCTGATATATGTATAGTACGCTTTGTTAGACAATTCAATGAGTACGTAGCATAACTTAATGAGTAAGGCAAAACTATTCACCCTGATTCTACGAACATTTAACTAAGACTGCGTGGTCAGTTTGCAAAATATAATTATTTCTCAACTTTGTTGAGTTCCATTATATCATTACTATTAAAGTTGGTGGTGGTAGAGCGGAGTGTGTGATTTTGTGCAGTCGTCATCAAGCTTCACTCATGAAACGACTGAATATGTGATGGAACTTAGTAAATAAATAGCAGTACCGGATATCCAGAACATTATAGGAATTTATAATGTCTTCCTCATCGATGACTATTGCTTTACTGAGCCCATAAAAATATCAAGATGAAGGCTACACTGTAACTGCTGGAACGACTTTGATTGGATGAAGTTCCATCATGTCAAACATTTTCTCATGTATATAAAATATACTTTATTCTGATTGGCTCATTAAAAGGTCAAATTGTCGAATAAGTGAGTGTAGATGAGTGTAGATAAAAGATTGAACGGTAGCAACCATTTTTTAACACTAATACTACCATGGTTTGGTAGACCCATGTTGTTGATAATTGGTGATAAGTGAAGGTGGAATGAAAACCTAGGTAATGACAGGATTCGAACCAGGGAATAACGAATTTAAATGTTGATTTATATTTCCATCAGTTTGATTATCGAAAGCATAGTCAGTAAAATAAACTATAAGTCGTTATTCATCGAAGACTGACATCAGTTGGAGGAACAAAGGAAACCTGGGAGCACTGGACAGCTGTTTCGTCCTGGTATGGGACTCCTCAGCAGTGCGCACCCACGACCCCACACCGGAACAGCTGTCAGTGCTCCCAGGTTTCCTTTGTTCCTCCAACTGATGTCAGTCTTCGATGAATAACACTTGAAATAATTTCAAATCTCACAACCCCAAAATTTAAACTATAAGTCCTTTGAAACGTAGGAAAATTCACTTCCTCATTATTTTTTCTAGTCAAAATTGAAGTGCTAACGCAATAGTAATAGGGTAAATGGATGTTGACTAGTAAAACAGAAAATCTTTGTTGGGAACTGTAACAAATAAACAACACAGCTTCCCCGTGAGTTCATCCAGAAATATCAGGCGTAGTACAAAAATTACTAATAATGATGTAAGTACAGATATAATAAGTGAAACCAAGGAGAAGAATTTTAAGATAATCATAGTGTTTTCACATTAAAAAAGGACGTCAGGGATCCTGTATAGGATTATCAATAAACCTGGCGTTTCAGTGATGTCTGAACCTACGAACTAACTTAGAGCCTAACTTTGTTGGCTGAAAGACTGTAGAATTTTTTGTGCAAAATAACTTGATCCACCATGTCCTATGCAATGACTTTGAGGTCAAATACATAGATCAGACTACCCAAACAGGGTCAATCAGCTTAGTAGATCATAGAAGCCTAATTAAACGTAGAATGATCAAACTTAATAAGATAAGAAATCTAGAAAAGAGCTCAGCCATAGGCATGCATATTGTCGCACACACACATGCACGCATAATTACCCAATAAGATAACATAGAGTGACAATTTTAGAAAATAACGTGGGTAACCTTGAATTCAATTCTCCTTCTATAGCGGTTGACAATCATTAAGTCGCCTTAGGAGTTGATCAACTGGACACATTTCGTTAGAAATGAGAAAGGTATCGTCTATTTACCTTATATACAGATTATGTTCTGAGATTACTTCTTTAGTGACCCAGTTTGAAGCTTTACCTAGAAGATATTAGCCATGACGGGGTCTAGTGGGGACCTCATTCCCACTCCATTCATCTGATTATATACGACATCATTATATCTGAACTGCACATCAATATCATCTCCTTTAACTAGGTCATGCTTCTGTCCACCTCAAGCAAAATATTAAGCCGCATCATCCTGGAGAGAGTGAAGGATGTGCTGGATTCAAAATTACGACCGGAATAGATTGGCTGGCTGGATTCAGGAAGAATGAATCATGTGCAGATCAAATTGCAACTCAACACTACGTATCATTATAGGACAGAGCATAGAATGACAATCAACTCTCTATCTCATCATCATCATCATCATCAATTTTGAAAAGGCATTCCACTGCATCGACCGACAAGTAATTTGGTAGGCTGTTGCTTCAACACTACTGTTTTGGGGTCACAAATCTTTATCAACCTCATTTAACAGTAGCCATATGCTGTGTTATATGATGTTACGTGCCAAGTGATTCACAATGGAAAGCTCAACGATGCCTTTGAAGTGAAGATGGGAGTAAGAGAAGGCTGTCTACTTTCACCTATGATTACCCTGATTGTAGTCGTGAGGAACGAGAAGATGGGCATACGCTGGACCGATGAGAAGACCACAGAAGAAGATTTGGGATTCACTGATGACGATTTATGTCTGATGTCGCACAAACTGGAAGATCTACAGGCGAAAACCAACAAGTTGATAGAAGAGGCAGGGCAGCGAAGATGAGACTTCAAGTGAATGTAGAGAAGACAGAGGTGAAGAAGATACCCAACCAACAATAACAAGAAGCACCAATCACTATGAACGGGAGAAACCCGTAGGAAGTAGTCTCTTTCAGCTACCTAGGCAAGACAGCATCCTTTCAACTACAGGCGGCGGCACAGACGAGGACGTCAAAACTAGGATGGTAAAAGCAAGACAGGCTTTCTTTAATCTGAAATCAGTGTGAGGAATTACTGCACTCAGCACAAAGAACAAGATCCGGATTTTCAACACAAATGTCAAGTGCTGATATTTGGTTCAGAAACTTGGCGCATCACGAAAAATATTTCCAACAAACTACAGACATACATCATCAGAAGGAATAAGCAAAAAGAGACTCTGGGAACGAAACAACCAAGAACCTATCACCCAACAAATGTGCAGAAGAAAGTGGAGATGGATTGGATAGGGTATACAGTGAGGAGGCCGACTGGGAACATCACGCGCCAGGCCTGGCCAGGCCCTCGAATGGAACCCAAAGGGGAAACGACGAGTTGGGTGCCCGTGGAGAGAGTGACATTGAGGAGATCGTGTGAGGAAGAAACGAAAGCTTCTGGGCAGTGGTGGAGCCAGGTTGAAAAGACTCCGAGAGGAGAGTGGAATGGAGAAGTTCTACTGAAGCCCTATGTTCCACTAGGAACTCAAGAGAAAAAGAGATAAAATAAATAACTAGGTCGTTGGTAATTCAACTTTAATATTACTAGAACCAATATAATCATATAGATTGGAAATACTTTGAACAAGTGGAACATTCGTCAATAAAGAAGAAGCGTCAAGTGATTTCATAAGCTTCCCTGTTACACAGATTTATTCAGTGCAGTGGACAAAACCAATTGTATCAAGAAGACTATATTCACACAGACTAAGCTTCACAGGTCGAAGAATTCCAGCGAGCCACTTTACTAATGAATGAGTGATAAGGTAAATTAGGCATATGCCAATACTGGGCATAGAGAAAGTCATCTTTATACACCTCCAGCGGTCCATATAAACGGAGTAGGTGGAGAGAGAGATGTTGATAACTGAGGCACTGTTTATTGAATCGATACTGACAATCAAATCGAAAACCTGTAGATTTACATAAACTAGACCAAAAATGAAAGTTGTATCATAATTTTGTGATATGATGAAGAGGAATAAATTCTGTTGGAAACATCATTAACAAATAATATTGCTTCATTGTGCATGACAAATGTAATAAGAGAATCATAATGAGATTTTTCTAACTCATGAAGTCCTTTTTTGTAGCTACCCATTACTGACTGATTTTCATTTGTAAGGAGTAGCCAACACTGATGTTAGACAGTTGGAGGCGATTGGCACGTAGTTCTGCTGAACCCAGATTTCGTATTCATTGGTACTTGTCAACCGGAACTGTTGTTTCGCATGAGAAATTTCAGTCTACTTTAATCAAAGCGACAGTCAGAGACGCTACCATTGATCTATGCAGGCAGTGGCTGACATCCCATGCGACTGGAACATGTACACTGATTGCTCTTTGGAGGACAAAAAAATTCATGTTGCCTATTCCTGAAACGACACACATATCCACACAGGAGCCTATATATGTGTGGTGACTGGTTCATTCAGTCAAGACGAAAACCGAACTCTGGTTTTCCAGCTCAAGGTATTTCCTAGAACTTCCTTTACACAAGAACACAGCTAGTTTGGCATTAAATATGTATTCTGTCCACAAGTCCTCCTAGGAGTTTCTTATCAAGGCGATCCTGCTCTCATATCACTGCACACTGTCACTCTCCTCACAGTTTCAAAAGATCCAACAAAATATTTTTTAATTCTGGCGGTTTGTTAGGATATGCTGATTTCAAGGTGGCATTCATCACAGACTTTCAATAAGTAGTCATGACCGGTGGGCTCAATCAAGTGGTGCTCGTGTCAACCATCAAACACCTAGTCCAGTTTTTTTTTAAACTTGAGCATCAATTCCAATAAACACAGAAGGCAGTTAGTAAAAACTTGTACTAATTATATGATGCATAAAACCCGTTACATTTGTAAGCAAATGACCAACATAAAATCCGGAAACTGAGATAAAAGGTCAACCAATGGTGTGTATGTGACCTTGGTCTGTCCATCGGTCATTATATTATAGTCTATTTGGTGGCTGGCAGGGGAATCCAGGACGCGCATTCTCTCCTATTCGGGACTCGTCAGCTGGATATACCTACACTGCAGTGAGCGGTGTTTCCGGCGACCTCATTGGCCTAGTGGATAATATTTTCACGTTTCAAGCAGTAAGAATTGGGTTAGGTCTCAGTGGGAACATAATCACTCCTTAGGAGGCAGGTACGCCGAGCTGACGAGTTCCGAATGAGATGAAACGCTCATCAGGTTGGATTCTATTATTAGCCACCAACTAGACCATAATAGGCTTCCTTATTTCATAAATATATCCCTTTCCAACCAAAATTAGAAGACCTAGTTGACCATTTGAGTAACTGATAGAATGGCTTTTGGAGTCACTCATTATTTTGGGTGACCGTTATGGAACTGACCAATTAGACATCTATATTTTGATGGGATTGCCCGTTTTCTATAAAATACAGAAACTTAATTGGCTAACTCAGTGGTTGCTCAGGTCATGTCACCAAGACTCCTTGGTCAATAATTCCTTCCATCTAGGCGACTCTAACAAAGTAGTCTGCATCGCTCCAAACAATTCAGATCAACAGTCAGAAACTTCGATAACTAGTGCCAAGTTTTGATCTGGTCAACCTGAACCATCTTCCGAATTAATCCAACTCCCTCCAGCCTTGTACGTAGAAGTAGGTGGCAGTTCAGTATGCTCAGCTTATGTCTGAGCCATCTCAGTCGACTAAAGTTTGTAGCCTCATGAATCGATTCACCTTTCTTGCCTAGTACTCCTCGCGTAACTTTTACATTGCTCACACTGTTATTCCACCAAACACGAGAAACGCTATGAAGACATCTATGATCAAAACCGTGTAATCACTTGATGTCTTCTTTGAACGCCCATACCTCACAGTCGTACAACAGGCAGGACGGACTACAATGCAGTATGCTTGTCGTTTGATAAGATAGTCATTTATCTCACGAGTTGGCGCTTCAGATGACTCACATTTGCAAGTGTCGAAAGAGCCTTCTGTTTCTGAGCTGAGATTTCTTTAGCAACCATCCCATTCGCGCTGATGCAATTGCACAAGAAAGCAAAGTGGTTGGCACACTCCACTATTTTATTTCCTATCATTAAGCTGAGAGTAGTTGCAGACTGGTTAGGGAGTATCGTTGTACATTTGACAGAGTGAAATGTATGCTAGCCAAATATATCCATGTTTCTTCTTAAGGCGTCCAAAAGACCCTGCATTTGTCAGCATCTTCACCTAGAAACACAATATCATCTGAGTGCAGGGAGTCAACCAGATGACCTCCAGGGAGTAGATCAATCTAAGTTTAGTCAGACGTGTCCAAGTTTTTATGCATTAGTATATCTATAATGAATTTAAGTAGGAACGGTGATAGCAGCCATCCCTGAAGGATAGAACTAGTTCTAGTCGATTCACATGACAACCCTATAAAAGCTTTTAGACGGTTATGTGAGTTCAAGTAGACAGTATTGATAAGATTATATACTTCACTAGTTGAGTGGTTCCGATAGAAATTTTCAGTCAAAAAAACAAACAGTACTTTACACATCTTGTTCGAGAGTCTTATTGTTAAAAATATCTTTTAAACCTACAGAAGTTTATGTCCAAAACTTGCTAGATGAATTCAAATATCTTACAATATACATGACATTCAGTTGTTATTATACTAAAAGAATTATTTCTATTTAGAAAAATTATTGAATTTTGTAAAAACTACTTATACTTTCATTTTGATTTAGGATGGTCCATTTTGTAGAGCCAATTGTCCACCTAATAAATATGCAGATCCATTGACTAAAAGTGTTTAGACTGTTCAACAGCATGTACACCACCTGTAGATATGGGAGAGGATAGTACAATATCAAACATTAAACTGTTTGATCAAAAAATCGGTTTATTGCTTCAACCATATTGTATAGGAAATGGTGATTGGCCAGGAGTTGGTGGATGCTATTTTTGTAAGCGAACAGTTTTATACTTGGAGCCAAAAAATTCAAATCATCATTTGAAATGTGTAAATGTAAGCTAAATATTTCATATTAAATGTTTTCAATTGTTTGCATGCAATTAGTGATGGTGAAGGGGTTGAACTGGAGACAGTTTTGCAGTCAGTTGGATGACTATTAAAACTTGAAACTACTAGACAAAACTAAACAGTTATACATTGAAAATTTTCAACATCACTGATCTTTTCTAAACTTCTATAGGAATTTAATCACAATATTTAGATCATACGGTTAACACTGTAGCGTTTAGTCACCTTTCATTTTGTGCCTTGACGAAGTTTAATTAACTGCCATACCGTTGTTGTATGGTGGTATTAGTAAATTCAAGGTGTTTATATCCATGTCGGTCACCGATATACAATCACATATTATCCCAGCCTCATTAGATGGTGTCAAAATGAATGTAATTACATTTCAAGAAAGCATCAATTACAGTCCGTCAGTGTTAGCCAAGATCCTTGGCTAAATGTATAACACTCCAATTTCCCACACTTCAAATCACTATATTAATACCATGCTGGGCAACAAGATGAAACATAGAGAGAGAAGGGCGTCAATGTACAGCTGTTGCAGTGCAAGTGTTAGATCTCAAAAGATATAGACGCTCCCATTAACTCAACTTATCTGTCACACAGAATCTACAAAGGTAGGAAAATGTTAAAATGAATTGAAGGGATATAAACGAGGGAGAGAGAGAGAAATGCACACACATACAGAGCAGCGTATTAGATACTGTTAACACCTTCAGTATTTTTAAAGTGAATCAGAGTGAGCGTTATTCCATAATTAGGAGGGATTTTCAGACACATCTCCCATGGTTTTCAGCCTTGGTTTCTAACACCCCAGGTAGTCTATGACTATGTACACTGGTCCGACACCTTGATCCGGCAGTTGCTAGCTTTCTTTCAGTTCCTCCATTTGTTATGGCGTCTTGAGACAGACAGTTAATTAGCACATAGGTAGGTATTCGTACTAGAAAGAATGACAGCCACAAGCAATCAGTTATCAATGTCCTTCATGTATCTATGTTTGTCCTCATTCTCTGACATTCTGATAAGGCTGCATACACTTCAAGGTCTTGTACACTCACCCACCTATTTTGCTGAATACATATAACTGTGCATTTGTGAGTAAGCCCTTTAAAGAAGTGCCTTTAAATGCCCCTTACCAACTACTAAAATAACCAGTCAGGTTTTGGTATTTCGGCTGGGAACGCAATTTGTTCCCTAAATTACAGCGTTTCGATTGGCTACTTCATTAGTCGATGGGTTACTTTTAGGCCACTCAATCATCCCATATCATTTTCTCTTTAACTCAGCTTGTGGGATGTCAGTGGCTATAGTATCAACTTACACGTAGTAAACGGGGGAAATAATAATAGATGGGATTGCAATGACCTTCTACCTCAGTCCCTTAATCATGGGATCCAGTATGAAATCTAAACCAGAACAATCGGTTAAACCGTCAGTGCAGAGATATAACAATAGGATACACATTCTACCATTGACCGACTCGCCTCCTTTTTTGAAAACATTAGGCCTAAACTCAATACTACTTGACTCAGTGACCCCATTACTCAACGATATGCTACGAAAGCCTTGATCATCAAATACATGTAAGCTAACAAGAACATGAATCATCTCTGACCACACACATACAGTGACACTAAATTGTTACTGAGTCAATACTTCGTTACCAGAGTTGACATTTTAACCCAGTAATGTCTTCTAATAGGTTAAGGTGATTTTGGATATGAAAGTATATTTTTACTAAACTAATCGATCCATGCGACCCCTCATCTTATGCAACTGGTATCATTTATCAGACAGTGAAGTTTATCATTTTCTCTTGATTACGGTCTTAGTGATTTAGTGGTTCAGTGAACAATACTTTGTTGTTTCAAGCATGAAGCAAAGGGTTAGTGACTCATCACGGATACTTTGAACCCACTGTGATACAGGTACATCTAGATGACGAGTCTCAGGTGGGATGAAATATGCTTCATGGGTTTCACTGGTAATCACCACAAAACTAATAACATCATATTGAATCTCCAGGCAATGCCAAGGCAGTCACATCGGAGCGCATATCTCAAAGGAACCGACCACTTCTGTTCATGAGGAAATTACAAGTACAAATTAGTAAAAAAAAAAAGCGACATCTTCACTTACATGAGTCGAACGTGAAGTCCGGTACTCAGCGACGACAATGAATAAAGGCTGCATTGCATCGCAAATTGATAGAAGTAGGAGAATGTGGGTCGACAGATTCCAACCCAATGACTCAGTGGTAATGTGCTAGCCACGAAACCCGAAGGTCCTGTGTTGTATTCTTCTCTGCGAAAAGTCTTGGGTGTGTAGTGATGATACGTCTCAGCACTGAACAAAAAATTCGAATGAAAGAGATTTTTGGCTATCAGTAGTGTTTGCTTTGATCATAGGTGCTATATACACCCCACGGTAACGTTGACAGTAACACTGGCATCTAAATTTTATTTGGAAAGGAATAGAAACAGATCAAGAAATCTTTCACTATTTTGATATCCTACAAAACCTTATGTTTATCAGGCCACTGTATAATGGAAAACTAATTTCCTGCTAGATAAAGTGTTAACCGAACTCTGCTGGGGATTTTGAAATATGGTTAGTAAGCCTGGAGATTTATCATTGCAATGGACTTTTCACTACTGTTAAGATGTTAGAGGTGACTGATAAGAAGCCTTGCTTGCCCTTATCCAGGTTAGGTTACTTAGAAAAATTTGTAGTATTGTAGAAACTGATTTGTTCTCTCCTGACAAATCTCTCCCAGCTGGCGTCATCTGATCCTGTAGTCGGAGACGTTACCGAATCCCTTCAACCACTACACAATGTGATCACCAAGCTAGGGGAATAATTGACTACAGCGTTATGTGATGTGAATCTGGATCTTTAAGAAGACATCATTTCTCTCAAGGTGTTGCAGCTGGAACTTGATGATGAGTGTCAACAAGCCAAACACTTGGCTTACCGACTCCCTCCAACTGCTTTACACTAGTCCTATGAATTTTCGTTAGCACAATGTCTCACTGCATGTAACGTAAGAAAGTGATCTAATTTATCAACTACTAAGCATCTGATTATATCATGCCTTAGCCATTTCTGAAGAAGAGTCAGAAATTTGCTGCATTTCATCCCCCTCCCCTATGAACTAAGAGTGAATACGCGAATGTTCAGGTTGCTTAGTAACAATTATGGAATGGGAACCAATAAGAGCTGATTTACTGGTCACTGTGTTGTATTTGGACTCGCATTTATAGTGTCTGCTGACTAATACTGATTCTAAATGTATCAGTCACCTAGGCAACCGGTAAATATTTTTAAAAAATACAAAATATAAGAAGAATCAAAGTTGTACTCGATCGATCAGCATTATCGTTTCTTTTGTCTAGCCGTTGGTGTTTAATTGACTGGATTATCGGTAAGAAGTTCACAAAGTAGCCAGTGAAGTGAATACCTAAGACATATGTCATACTGTTTTTGATTTTAAGTGGATCCAGATGGTCAACTGGATGTTTTGGTAAATTTTTAACTTTTATTATCTATTGAAAGTGATGCAACCAAATGGATTTGTATTAAGGCAGCAGAATACGCGAATATGCTTGAACTGTTAGTACTCTATTACCTTGCGTTTTATTGAATCATAGAAGCAATAAAAAGATGAAGGTCAGTGTGTGGCTACAAGGACGGTTTTCATTGGGTGATATTCACACAATGCATATAACATACTATACGTTGATTGGCCCATGAAATACCAAACTGTTGAATAAAGTTATCATGACTACGCAGTAACATACTTCAAAACTTGAAGCCAAGTTGCGCCTAACCCAGTGGTCAGTCACTCAATGCGTTGACTTCTTTTCAGACCATTTCCTATCAGCTACTTAGTAATAGACAAACAGACAAAATCAACGTAGAACCTCGCATGTACGTGAATCGGTTCAATGTACCTGATGTCTGAGCATGCACAACACGTCTGAGCCACTTCAGTCGGTGGGTTTTGAAACTTTATCGACTGACTTGCATTCCTTGCTATCACTTCTCGTTAACCTAGCCATTACTGTCATGTTTATTCTACCACACGGTAGTGATGCTAGAAGACAACAATGGTGAAAATTTTACATTTGCCTCCATTCTGAGACTTTATGAGTCTTGGCAGTATTTGTATTCTTTGATAGGTAGTCGGATTTCTCACTAGTACCGTAACTGTTTCATGTTTGCAAGCGCTCAATTAGCCCTTTGAATCCGATCAGAGATTTTGTTAACATCCAACCCATTAAACTTAGTAGGATTTCTCAACTAACCGTTATGACTGACACGTTACACCACTTCGCTAGCTTTAATAAACCGAGAAGTCAGTGTAGATTGATTCATACGCGTCATCTTACGCTTGAGGAGGGCAAAAAGCATACCAAACGTACTCAAACTTCTGCTCAATGAGTTCAGCGTCTTTACCTAATACAACAATATCAAATGTGATTAAAATCCTGCAATGGATCAAGTTTGTCTTCAATTTATTTGTCACCAGGGTATATAAATCACTGCCTCTTTATTATGTATCAGAACTAGTCACCAGAACGTAACCTGTTTGGGTGAGTAGCCTTCAGTGGTCAGCGTTACACAAATTCCATCGACCAGGTTTCCAGCATGGCTACTAAGCGAAGTGATGCGACATTGTGCTGCACTAGATTGTGATTTTAGATGTTTAAAGTCAATCCGTAGGAAGCCTGGAACTTGAGTTTCGTGTTAACATCAGTTAGCCATAGGCGATCATTTCTGCACATCTGCCAGTCGCACAGGGGGTCAGTCACTGTCTAAGTTGCTAATTGGTACAGTTCTTGACTCCAACACTGACCGATATGTGTGAATCCTCATGGTTATAGATACAACTTGCTGAAGTGTTCCAACAATCACGAAACCTAGATTGAACATAGCTGCCTTCTGAGTGCCTCCCAACATATAACACTTTTGACTATACAATTTTTGAGATTTTAAAGGGGTTTGATTGATTGTATTCATCACAGACTGACACCAGCTGGAGAACCATGGAAACTTGGGAGCAATGAACAGATGTCTCGTCCTACTATGGACTCCTTAGCATTGCGCGCCCATGACTCCGCCCGACAGTGCTTGAACCCATGGCTTTCAAATTCTGTGACCAGCACGGTACTGTTGAGCCAGTGAGTTAGAATCTAGTGGCCCCACTAACTACTTCTGTCAGTTCACAATATAGCGCGATTTCCATCGAATGCCATAGTTGACTGTCTTCATATCCACTTAGTATACCCCACTAGTCCTTAAGTTTTATAAAGTTTTATGGGTTTTCATTTGCCTTCCTTTCAGAGTTGCCCATTCGGTACTTATCTTCACGTTATCAACTTGCATCATCGAGGAGGGTCAAGTGTGCATCGATCATCATCATTTTATTTCAGCATGAAGGATCAAGACCTACTTAAATCAATAAAAAGTGATTTATTCACTCGATCCCCATGGAGTCAAACTGATGCAAGTCTTTTTCACAACTTACCTTCAAAAGTCACACAAGAAATTGCCGATTGGTTATCGAATCATACCCAACCAAAGTTATATGGTTTAGCACAAATCTGTCTACCGTGTAATGAACAATGCCATTCAGAAATTACTGCAGCTAGACAGTCAAGTGAAGGGAGTCCATCTACTTCTGTTGCATGTTATGGGCCAAGTCCAGAACAGTGTGTACGTTGTGTGAATGCAAGTTATCAAGGTCGTTGTGTTTCTGCTTGCCCGACAGGTGAGATGTTCACTACTCAAGCTGTTTCTTTCTTTACACTCATTATCTTAGATTTTAAACAAAATGTAATGCAACTTGATGTGTAAAGGTTTATGATGCAACTTTGTTGCCAAGACTTAAGTGGGTTACACCAGGCACGAACACGAGACCAAACGATCGAAAGTCAAGTTCGTAAACTGGCAAGCCACATCTTTAATTACTACAATAAGAATCGATGCTGTTTCTAAAGGTTTCATCCCTAATATGCTACTGACCAGTATGAGTAGTAAGAAACCAGTCACCTGAAATGTAGATTTCATTAATCAGATCAAATTGATCGAAACATCTGACATTCGCTTCGCTTGTTTGCGGCTAAACTCATCATCAGTCAAAGTATTCAGATCAAGTGAATCTGTTGACTTAACCTCGACAGACAGGCACACTACAAATTAAATTATCAATTCACAAATTTGTTACATTATCCACCTTGACACCTCTCTCACTCAGAGAGGAGATTATTGGTGTGAATCCTGCAGCAAAACATGTTCGCATTTCACCTTCATACCAGCCTACCAAATCACATCTATCTCAGATAATCTGAAATCTAGAGGTATGATGATTGTTACTGAATAACTATCGATTTTGGACTACTTTAATAATTCCTATTGTAACATCAAGAACAAGATATTCAGCGAAGAGACTCTTTTCAAAGGATTTATTTTCAAGTTGTGCATTTGTATATATATATATATATATATATATATATATATATATATATATATATATATATATTTGAAAAATTATATCCCATGAAGGAAACTAAACACTATATGATGATGATAATAATAATAATAAAATGAATGATGATATAGGCATTTGTGATTATGATAACAGTTGAAGTAAGAATGATAACAAAGCAGATTAGATATTGAGGACACCGTTGAAATAAAACAACAAATACTTCGACGAACTCTAGCGAAAAACGGTTTCCTGCTCAAATTCGTAGATAAGAACGTAAAGTCAAAGAACTAACTGAACGAATATATTTGGTGCCGTAAAAGACTCTTTTGTTGAATCTTGAATTCAAATATAATATTGTTGCAGACACCCTCAAAAAAAGACTATCAAAACGTTTAAATAAGACATTCCACGTCGTCAACCTCTAAATTATTTTCTCCTGTAAGGAACGTTTTGGTCAGTGTGTGAAAGACAAGCCAACGCATTGGGCCACATCACTTTGTATATACCAGTTTACTTGCTCTCGTGAGTTGAGTACATCAGCCGTAACATGCGTCTGATTGTAAAAAGTACCCATGAACACTATCCAGCCTGAATGGAAAGGGGTGAACAGAAAGAAATAGATTTCAGTTCACTGACAAAACACCTCACAACTAAGGTCACTTACCTTCTTTTAAGAGTTCATTCGAAGTCCTCTGTACGGTTCGATCAAACCACTTGAAGGGAGTAACATCAAAGCATTTATCTATAGTTCAAGCACTAACCATTCAGAAGTTTTAACCAGTGTTATGCGTCCAAGAAAGATATATCTAATCTTTATCTTTGTTATGGACATCATAAAGCCTTGACTGTCACGGATCCATCCTTTATTACGTAATATACGTAACATATTACAAAATATAGAAAATGGTTCATAGAAGGTAAATATAACTGAAAGGGGTGAAAAAATTCATGAAAGTGGTAAATCATTTAAATACTATGTAATAAGACTAGATAAGTTGATCAAGATGAAATCAATGTTTTGTGAAAAGATTAAGACAATTCAGTGAAATAACACCGGAAACTAAAGGCGATTATAATAACAATAATAGTGATAAAAGAAGGATAAAAGGTTAAATTAACAAAGCTGGAAGTGAAACTAATAGGGGGGGGAATGTCAAGGCCATTGTAAAAACAGTGACTGTACATACTTCTTTTCTACACACAGATCAGGTTAAAGTTCATGAATAGCTAAAGCCTCTGATGTTTTATGGAAATGAAAATGAAGAAAACGTTGGAGGTTTAGTCGAGTTTGATAAACAATTTTAAAGTCATAGTCTGGGTTTGTTGAGTGATGGAAATCAATCAAATGTTCTCCAATAGAACTTCTAACACCCTTTCTTTCACCTTTATAAGAACTAAGATGGAATATGTTCTCGTATATATCTAGAAAGGATTCTCAGAATACGGCCAATGTACTTTGCTCCATAAGAGCAGGTGAACTGGTAGGTGCACATTATTATTATTATATGTGCCTCGGGTTCCTAATGGAATATAGGACTTCAGTAGCACGTCTCCAATGCTCTCTATCCTCTGAAATCTCTTGAACATGGCTCCACGACAGCTCACAAACTCTCATTCCCTCCTCACACCATCTCCTCCATATCGCCCTCGCCTCAGACGCCAAACTTGTCGCTTCCCATCAGGGTTACACTCGAGTACCTGGCCTGACGCGTGATGTCCCCAGTCGGCCTTCTCACTGTATGCTCAATCCATACCCACTTCATTCCACTGCATATTTGTTCAGCAATAGTTTCTTGCTTCGTTGGTTGGTTGGTTGGTTGGTGGGTTGCCAGCGAACCAGAGTTCCTCGTTGCTTATTCTCATTATTCTGGCCATCTGAGCTTCAGTAACGAGTGAGCGTAGACAGCAGTTGTTGATGAATATCTGAAGTTTGTTGGAAATGCCTTTCGTAACGTGTCAAGTCTCTGAGCCATATAGAATCACTGACTTGACTGACGTTGGTGTTGAAAATCCGGATCTTGTTCACGCTGTATGCTGAGTGGAGTGTAGAAGATCTCCACACTGGTTTCAGGTTAATGAATGCTTGTATTGCTTTTGGGATGCTGCCTGACTTTGACGTCCTCGTGCGTGCCGCCTGTAGTTGAGACGATGCTTCCTAGATAGGCGAAGGAGGCTACTTTCTTCAAGTTTCTCCCGTTGATGGTGATTGGAGTTTGTTGTTGTTTGTGGTCGGGTATATTCATTACCTCTTTCTTCTCTACGTTCACTTGAAGTCCCGTCTTCGCTGACTCGCCTCTTCTGTCAACTTGTTAGTTTTCGTCTGTAGATCTTCAAGTTTGTGCAACATTAGGCACAAGTCATAGGCGAAATCCAAATCTTCTTCTGTAGTCTTTTCATCGGTCCAGCCAGAGTATCCCCATCTTCTCGCTCCCTATTGTTTGTTGCATGATCCAGTCGACCACAATCGGAGATATCATGGGTGATAGTAGACAGTCTTGTTTTACTCTTGTCTTCACTTCAAAGGCATCACTGAGCTTCCCATTGTGAATTACTTGGCATGTTGCATCTTCATATAGTTGTTGAATGAGGCTGATAAAGGTTTGCGGTATTCCGTAGTATTGAAGCAGCTTCCAAATTACCTCTCGGTAGACGCTATTGAAGGCCTTTTCAAAGTCGATGAAGTTGAGGTAGAGAGTTGACTGCAATTCTATACTAGATGCACATAGGTGCGGTCAAACAACAGAGCTTATCTTTAACATAAACGAAGAATAGTTGAAGTCTGGTAAAAGTCAATTGAAGTCTTGTTGTAAAAAAAAGTTCTATATTGATTGATTTGAGTACATCTGATGCTAGGTCACCTGTAAATTCTAGGCTCATGAACAATTATTTTTTTGAGACCGAATTGATAACGGGTTTGATATTTCTTTCTCTTATATTTTTATCAATAAAACGATATGAGTAACCATTTTCGATAAGTGTGCTTTTAAAAAATGACAGCTATTCATCAATACAATCTTCACTACACATATTTCTTATTCGATAGCAGAGAGAGTAGATATGATTCCTTTTTCTATTGATAGGCAACCAACTATAAAAATTAGTTAATTGTCCGTTCTACATTGATTTTCTGTAGATGGATCTTTTCAGGTATCCATTCTTATGTCAGGTGAAAAGCATATCAAGAAACAGAATAGTTGATTCTGATTCCTTCTCTATGGTAAACTTAAGGGCTAGGTGACATTCCTTTGAACGAACGAAGAATGCAGTCGAAATCAACATTTTTGTAACAGATAACAAAAGTATCGTCCATATGTTTTCTATAAAAGTTAAAGTGATTAATCGTTCGACAAAGTTGAGTATTCTGTAGTCTCGACATGAAAAAGTCTTAATCGTGACTACAGTGCAATTCTATTTTTCTGTCTAAAGATTTTAGTGCATCTCAATAAAAGCTTTTTCAAGGTAATTGGTTGTCAATCCTACGTCTAAATTATGTCCATCAATATAGTCATATATATATAATGGACAGTCTCGGTGAGTAGCACACTTGTGAAGAATGAAGTAACATCTAGTGAAAGCATCATCTTGTTTAAAGCATTACAATCCTTAATACCTTCAACAAACTTAAGTATATGATATCGTTATTCATATTTTAACTGTAATCATAATTACTAATACCTATATCATCATCCACTTTATTATTATTATCATCGTATAGTTATTATTATTTATTGATATGCTTGTAATTCTGCGTTGTTATACTGAATCAAATTGTTCGGCTTCAGTTGGCATATGGGCTCCTATGCAGATCCCTCAATATTGGCTGAATACTAATTATGATAATTTACTTAATTGTGGTTAGCAGAGGAATCCAGGATGGGCGTTTTGTCCTATCTAGGATTCGTCAGCTGCATATACCTGCACCTGAGTGAGTGATTTTGTTCCCACTGAGACTGGAACCTCATATCCATCGTTTCAAATGCCAAGGCGTTATCCATTATACCACGGAGGAACGATAGCCACTTCTTGTACAACGGGTAATACTTATTACTACTTATTGATATGGTTGTGATTCTCCGTTGTTTTACTGGATCGAACTGTTTACCTCTATTGGAATAAGGGCATAAGGGCTCCTATGCAGATGCCTCGATATTGCCTAAATATTAATCATGGTAATATACTTGGTTGTTGAGTAGCCTCCTTCGCCTATCTAGGAAGCATCGTCTCAACTACAGGCGGCACGCACGAGGACGTCAAAGTCAGGCAGCATCCCAAAAGCAATACAAGCATTCATTAACCTGAAACCAGTGTGGAGATCTTCTACACTCCACTCAGCATACAGCGTGAACAAGATCCGGATTTTCAACACCAACGTCAGTCAAGTCAGTGATTCTATATGGCTCAGAGACTTGACACGTTACGAAAGGCATTTCCAACAAACTTCAGATATTCATCAACAACTGCTGTCTACGCTCACTCGTTACTGAAGCTCAGATGGCCAGAATAATGAGAATAAGCAACGAGGAACTCTGGTTCGCTGGCAACCCACCAACCAACCAACCAACCAACGAAGCAAGAAACTATTGCTGAACAAATATGCAGTGGAATGAAGTGGGTATGGATTGAGCATACAGTGAGAAGGCCGACTGGGGACATCACGCGTCAGGCCAGGTACTCGAGTGTAACCCTGATGGGAAGCGACAAGTTTGGCGTCTGAGGCGAGGGCGATATGGAGGAGATGGTGTGAGGAGGGAATGAGAGTTTGTGAGCTGTCGTGGAGCCATGTTCAAGAGATTTCAGAGGATAGAGAGCATTGGAGACGTGCTACTGAAGTCCTATATTTCTTTAGGAACCCGAGGCACAAATAATAATAATAGTAATAATAATTGGTTGTTGAAATTCGAGTCTCCGTGGGAACAACTTCACTCACTGGGGTGCAAATTCATTCATCTGACGAGTTGGAAATAGGACGAGATTTGCATCCTGAATTCCTCCTCTAGTCACTAGCATATAAATTGCTATCATCTAGTATTTAGTTTTCCTCGTGAGATATAATTTTTCAAATATCATGTATGTATATATGAATGTACAACTTGAAAGTAAATTCGTTGAAAAGAATCTTTTGATTTGACAAGTTCTATGCTTTCTTCAATTGTATTATATTTCAGATCAGTTGAATGGTTAGAATCGATTTAATATTCAAGGATACCACTTTGCATACATTTCCTTTCATCCTTTATAAAACCAGGCTGAAATATGCTCTTGTATACATGTAGACAGCAATCCTGAAAAATTGACTTTCAAGATAGATTGAAAAGACATTTTTCAAGGCCAAACTTCACTTGACCTTTTCTACTCATAAATTATTCTTTGAATGGATAAACGATAATATACTTTTATAGGCCACCTCCATTTGGATCTACCAGTTGACCTGGTCCTGTTTTTGTTTCTTTAAGGTATAAAAAAAGTTTAATTCTTAGAAAGCGTCCATTATAATCTGATGATAATCGATAATAGCTGACAGTTAATCAACTTGTAGGTTTTGTCACAGTAGGCATTCATCAGTCAAATATGCCTATATCTCACTGAAGTATCCCCCAAACAAACCCGAAACCTCGGAGCTTATAGACTTAGTCACCAAAGAGTTTTTCACTATACTACTGAACTATGCCTGTCAGTGTTTGTTTGTTATTTCGATAATACTGTCGAGTGAAACCTGAGGTTTTCTATAGGTGACTTGGTATTTGGTGATTGAAGATAATTGATAAGAAGTTCCATTTCATCCCTTCTCACCACTGTTCCTGAAGTCATAGAGGTTACCATTGACGTGTTTCGAGTAAGATTCACTTCTCATTGAACTGGATTAAACAGATTGATTGGTTGTTGTCACGTCCATAGTGGTGATATTTGAGTCATCTTCCTCCATTATATTTATGTTTATAAACAAAACATTCATCTACTTTTTGTCGCATTATCTACCCAGCAAGATTTCACATCCAACTCTCTACAAATAAATAACAACGTAATCTTCGTCTTAATCTAACAACAGCTTATGCAGCATTAACATGTTAAAAGGACGTGAACGATTGACCTTGAATACAAGGTCTGCAACCTGTTAATAAGTGTGAAACTTGGGGACTGTGGTAGATTCGATAAATAGCGCAGAGTGATAGTGTTATTCACTGGATGTCACTGTTTGAGTGTATTTTATAGCCACTTTCAATGTGAGTGCCCCTGAAGGTCACTGTATTAACCAATAGAGTTTCAGTATTGCATGAAAAACAGCCCTTCTAACAGAAATAAATAAATATGGTTGGTTATTATAGAAGTTGCTAGAGTGACCTTTGTCATTGAAGGCCACTGAAAGTATGATAATATTTAAGGAAATAATATGGGACCACCATGATTACGACTGATTTTCAGAAGAATATCGAGCTTTACAGAAAAGTCAAACAGCTTGCTTCTTCGGGATTAGAGAAGGTTTTGGTGAGGTTGCCGTAAATTCATGTTCTTATCACTTTAATATTTTGAACCGTTATTATGTAGTCGTTTCTACAGAATCTCTACCAGTCGATTAATGTCACCTCTTAGTTTTCTCAACATAATCATGGATAATACTTATCAATAGTTTCCAGCAATTTAAGTATACATAACTGTAAATAAATGTATTCTACCTCTTATTCCCATTAAGGAACTTATCCTAAGAAAAAATCATTCCGTAATCTTGATTCCAGTGCAACAAATTATTCTTATCAATATCAGCGCCAAGAAAATCAGATGAGATCATCAATGGACTGGACTGAGTGTTTACTATGTCATAAAGAATGTGAAACTGGATGTACTGGGCCAACACCTACAGAGTGTACACATTGTCGACATGTTAAAATCTACCTTGATTCAGAAAAGAAGTCAGTAAGTCTACTAGAAAACACTTTTAGATGTTGTGATGAAATTACAATGTATTATAAAGAATAAATAAGCAATAATTCAGTGGGGAAAATTTTCTTCCTCGATGACATTTTCTAAAGCTGTACAATCATAAAGGTATAACAGCATATAACCAAACAATAGTATGTAAATGCATCATTAAGGTAGTGCTAAAACCTGAAGTCAAGGCTGGAAAGCCGTTACGCAATAATCCTATGGACAATAGATATAATAAGAAAGGTGAAGAGTTGGACAAAGTAGAAATTTGATACTGGGCAATGATTGAAGGTGAAGTGAAAATTTTAACGGCGACTAGATTCAAATCAGCTACCACCAGGTTCCTGACACGATGCTCTACTAACTGAGCTACAAAGTCTAACTAATGATCAGATTTTTATTCCATTTCAATTACTAAGGTGGGTTTTGCCCGTCTACTATGTGAATTTGTGTTGTGATCATACTTACACTGGCTACCTAGTCAGAACTTCTCATCCCAATCCAAATCTAAGTGAATTAGACAAGGTGAGCATCAAACTGATTATCATTTTGACTATTTGAGATGGCTATGGCTTGGCAGATCAATATTTCATTTTCTATCATCATGCAATATCAATAGTAGCCTGTGAAACCATGCCTATCTCAGTCAAAATGATAAGGTAAAAATGTTTGGTAGGTGTGAATACCAAAGACTGAGTGTCCACTGGATAGATATAATGTAGGTAAATAATAATAGTAATGACGACTTTATTCCAAACAACACGTGTGGTACAGTATAGAATTTTTAGCGTGTCATAGTTCAACAAATTCATTCCCTGTACAAAATCTTTAAGCGAAATAATCGTTACATTTGAATAATGTTAGTAATAACAGTAATAAAAGGTACAATGTGAAACATGCACCTGGTATTACATTAGCATCTGGTTTGAACTGGTAAACGAATAGAAAATCCACGATCATTTTGATGGTGATAGTTAATTCAGCCAGTACCAAATTCTGCAATTTGACATATTTATCCAAAAAATAGTGATGTAATGCATTTCTGTGTTCATAATTCAATCTCTTACTGGTGTATAGTCTTTTTTTGTTTCCTGGAAAAGCTACAGAAGTAGATGATACGTTTAAGAGATTTATTGAAAAGAAAAGAAGGAATTCATGTAGTGTATTCAATAGAAAAGGGTTATAATGAAGGTGATAATGGAAATGAAAAAATTGTAAGTGATAAGACCATGGTAAATAGGAGCATTGAATATACTTCTTCTGTACGCATAGATCAGTCTTGAGTTGGGGAATTGCTAGTGGTTCTATTGTGCACAACTGTTGAAAGCGTACTCCTTTGGAATGATTCTCTTTGATTTTTGTAAATGACAAAGGAAGGTTGACTCTGGTGGAGTTATATTTCCAGAGTTGGCTTTTAACTCATATACACTCTCCCCTCAACAATCATGCATGATAGTGATGAGAAATATATTAGGTAAATGCAAGCATTATGTGACCTACATAACCAGCTCCATAGAGGTAAGTAAATTTGTAGACCTAAAGCGCCAACCTGTCCTTAATACACAGTGGAACCACTTGCTTATTAGAGAAGCTGATATTTAGCTTCGCAGAGAATGTTTTTTTTCTTCAGAGATTTAGATCATCAATTCTTTATAGTCTCTGCTGGTGTATCACCTTTGATTTCAACTTCCATAAACAAAGTTCTCTTTGGATCTGTGATTACTTGATCAGAATTCTATTTTTACTTCAAGTTTTTCTCTATAAATCTGGAGAAATATCCATTTTATCTGCAGGTTTGTGGAGATTTATCATTGATTTTTTTTAGTGTTGGAATTCATCATGGATTAACATCAATTAGAAGAACATTAGAAACCTTGAAGCACTACTCAGATGTTACATCTTGGTACAGGACTCCTCAGCAGTGCGTAACAAAGACCCTGCTCCCATGTTTCCAATGTTTCTCCAACTGATGTCAGCCCATAATGAATACCAAATTGAAAAATTACTAAACTACCATAAACCCCAAATTCAGTTGATCTGGTGCTCATTTGTAACTAGCTTCGAGAGGTGATTCCTGAAGTTCCAATGAGAAGTCGTGATCAGTGAGACAAATCTGGGGGCTATGAGGAAAAATACTCAACTATGACATTGGATGGCGGTCGTGCTATGCCATGAACTGATAGAAGTTGGAAATATGGACCATTTAATTTCAATCTAGTAGCGCGATGGTAACATGCTCACCACGCAACCTGAAAGTTGTGGCTTCGATCGCTGATAAGGTGATAGGTGAGGGCTGCTTAGGAATTCCATACTAGGACGAAATAGCTTTCCAGTGTCCACAGGTTTCCAGTGGTCTTCCAACTGATGCCAATCCATGATGAATTCCAACTTTAAAAAATACTCATTCTGTTTGAAAATTGTCAGTAGTTGGTCCAATTCGTCGTTGATAGTATCACTGGTGCAGATTCTTGTGATTCTTGAAGACAAACAATGAATAAGATTCCTTTTTTGATGAGAGCCACTCAGATACGGAAATCCAAATATTCTCCATTTCATGTTGGCTCCCTATAAATCAATCTCTGAAGGGAACCATCCAGTCTCCGTTTCAGTAAGATACATAGAAAATGAAATTCTGAGTTCGCTTCAAATTCGAATGGGTGACAAACATTAAACACTTTGACTATAGTTCCAATATCTGTATTTTGGCCGTATATGATGAATGCATCACCCATCTGTCTTTCATATGGGTAAAAACGATCAATTGTTGAGTGCAGTACACTACTCTCTGAGTTTACCATAGAACAATTAGCCAGCAGCGGTCCAAGTAGTGACCCCATCCTTTTGGTTGTACAGCTCATTGTTCAATTTGAACTGCATATTAAAAGTAAATTGTAGGAGTAATCCTTTTCAATCATGCTTCGGGATATCCATGTGGAAATTATTATAAAATCACTATTAAAGTTGAATCACAACAGGATTCGAGCCGACAAACCCTGGGCTACTTGTCTAGCCCTAACTTGTGCATCACTGGGCCTGAATTTCCTTTGCCCTTATTTATCTGTGACTTAGTTGTAAAAGGTAAATCGCCGGACGGAGATTCCCTATAACTGTATGATTCATGGAAATTAGGTTGAATTTCTCTAAAAGAATGAGAAATCTTGCCGAGATTTGCTTCTATGAATAAGGATTACATAAGTATATCACGACTGTAAGTTCTTTTACAATTGTCTTGTGCTCTTTTTTGTGGGGATAGATATTTGATGCGTTAAAATGCGGTTCAATGAAACGGCCAAATGTGGTGTTGCAACAGAAGGAGTTACTGAAATGTTAGAAAACGTTGTAGCTCAAGAGGATAATGACAATTGTTTGGTGTTGTCTAAGCTTTAGCATTTCGTCGTGGATGTAGTGCCAACTTCAGGCAGAGTTAAACATGTTCAAATGTGGCACAAATGTTTATATAGTGTTTTTGGTGGCCTAAAGTGCTGTCCAGATGTTGGTTTGGGAAGAGATTTTTATCTCACCTCGACCTCTCTGACTATATATTTTACTCGACTACGCTGGTAGGGAATCATTTCTATGACAAAACTATGGTGCTTGCTACCATCACTATATGCTTTATTATTTCTACGTCTTATCGAATTTCAGTTTAATGCACTGACAACAATTTTCTTCCGAAGTAGGTTGGAGTGCCCGACGGTACTCGTCAGTAAGGTGTAACTACATCGACGAGGAAGCTGATGCTTCTCCTAAGCTTCGAACCCACCGAATGTAGTGTTGCAGTCAGTGACGCTACTATTCAGCTATTCAGCCCACGACTAACCTTCTTTGCTGCTGGATTTGCATTAAGTGCATGGGTTGGTCACTGGAGAACAACCCATTTCATGTTGTCTAGTCTTGAGTACTGAGTGAGTCCCATCGGTCATTTTATAATGTGGTCACCAGGCTAGGTAGCTCAGCTTCTCTGTGCACTTTGATGTTCCTTGCTGATGAGTGTAGAACTGTTGCTCATTGGTGACTAGCTTCCAGAGGTATTCCAGAAGTTCCAATGAGAAGTCGTGACCAGTAGGGGCAAAGCCTGATGGTGGTGAGAACAGTTACTCAACGATGATGTCGGGTGGCGGTTGCTCTATATCGTGAGCTAACAGAAGTTGAAAATATGGAGCATTGGATTCCGCCGACCCAATGGCTCAATGGTAACGTGCTGGCCTCTGGACCTGAAAGTCGTGGACGCGCACTGTTGAGGTGTCCCATACTAGGACGAAACAGCTGTCCAGTGCTTCCAGGTTTCCTTTATTCCTCCAACTGATGTCAGTCTACGATGAATAACAACTTGAAAATATAATTTCATTATGAGATTTTATTTTGGTGAAGATTTAGTGAAACGATATTATGTTTGTGAAGAAAAAGACATCAAACAGTAGATCTATGAGACAAATAGCTTCCCTTCTATACCTAATACTGCTTACTATTATTGAGTAGTATGAATAGTGTTTCCCTAGTATTTTATTTAATCTAAAACTGATTGTTTATACTGTTACAAGCATACCTAGTTCATCATTTTAACATCCTTATATATTACTATCTCCCTGAGTTCACAACTGTTTGGGATGGCTTCCAATGTTCTATGTTCCCCTACTTTAAGTTGAACATTTGTTTATCTTCTGTCTTTTATTTCATCTTGGAAATCTCCAAGTTTTTCATATTTTCCACTGGTTAGCTTTGGACAAAGTGTATGTTGAAGATTTTGAAGTGTAAAAGTTGTAATTTTAGCTTCTTTCTTATAGAATCATTTGATCATTTCGGTTTCTAATTTCTTGGAAAGAAATTAGCAAAACATATCCTCATTTAAGAAGTTAATTAGTACGACTCAGTTTATTGTTTCATTATATAGTCTCTTTCTATGTAATGTATAGTCATAATTCATTGTTATTTACTATGTGAACCTACTCATATCAAAGTTATTATATACTTCAAAATGATAATGTACTCACTTCTAGAACCAAGATGACAATTCAGGACATCATTCTAAGAGTTCAGTTATGTTTCATCCCTATAATTTTCAAATTTCAAGATATAGTATACAAAAAAAAGCTAGTAATAGCTATGGGATCATCAATATCTCAAGTTGTAACAGAAAATTTTATAGACAACCTGGAACGTATAGTTCCTGGGAAATTTAATCTTACGTTGAAAGTATAGTGGAGATATATGGATGACATATTTACTGTATCGAAATTCAAACATATCCATAGCTTCTTCAGACATATAAAGTCAGTTTGTAGATAGGATACAATCTACTTTCAAGTTAGAAAACGAACAGGGAAAATTAGCTATAGGATTTTGAAAATAGGGTCTACAAAATACTTTCATATACCTATGTATATCTAGAGATTAGGATATCTCATCCTACATAATTAATATATTCCCCTAATTTTCCATATCGTTTGCCTGCTGTTTTGCCCATGACATTAAAATAACCTACATGGCTGTTCTCATACCGTTACTAGTTTTTCTTCCCTCTCCTCTCAACACTGAACTCTCATTGGTTGTTAACTATATGTGGATTTAATGTTCCCAAGGTCATTTAGAAATGTATATATTCAGCATTGCTGTTAACCGTATTGACTGTTATTTGAGATATACTTGAAGACCCTCTTTCAACAGTCTGTCTTCTTTTCTTGTCTTTGCATTCTGTGGTGGTGGTTGACGTTCTTATTTGCGTTAGGGTCGGTTCGATGCACGTTAGGTTGGTATTGTTCGTAATCTGCTAAGCTGGTATCGCTCATAGAGTGTAAGGTCGTACTACCGATCATAACAACAGATGAAAGCAAGCTTAGTCAGACGTCTAAGTAACCAAGTAAAGAATCTATCTCGTAAGTCGGAAAGTTTATATCAAGCAAATGAAGCACTATAGACTGCTCTACTAAATTTGCTTATTCAGAAATTTATAAGGTTACATGAAAAAAGGAAAAGTAGTGATGTGTACGATGACTATTACACAATTAAGAAGGAACTGAAGTCATCTATAATGTCGCCATATAAAAAAGGGATATCACAAATCCTAAGTAGGACTCTCAAACCTAAAAATTCACTCATAGAATAACTTTATCGAACCATACTAATGTCATTCTAGACAGCACAATCAGTAGCACTGTAAACCGATAAAAGCGATAAAGACACTTTGAAAGGAAGATTAAACACATGTTCTGTCTAAGAATGTCAATGTTTTGTTACATAATACCAATCAGGGTTATGTATATCGAGGCATTTTAAATAGGAGTCCTTCAAACAGTGCTTAGAGTTCACCATTCAATCGTACAAGTAATCAAAGTAGGGGTTTCAATAACAAGACCATTTTTGCAGTCTATCAGCCTTGTGGAAGGAGTAATTCAAGAATTGATGAAGTTTCTGTGGTAAATAGCTACGCTAATCGTAAACACTTGTTCAAAGGCCTCTTCATTTTCTATGCAAGCAAAATATTTATTTAGTCAAATCACTTCACTACGAAAATACACAATCTTTAGAGAGAATGACGTAATCAAGTTTAATCTGTAGTTTCACCTGGAAATCAAAATGTTCAGCGCATATAATGGGATTTGCTCTACACTGGAAATAGTGTCAAGAAAACAAAACGGAGGAATTATATGACATATACTATTTACAGTCAATCTAGTCAACCAGAAGTATGCACTAACCCGGTCGAGTAGGTACAAACACTGTATAGACATAATCGTTCCACTTATTTGAAAGATTGAACTAATGAACAACGTACCCTAGTTCTGGTTAGCTTTTTCAGTGAATTGTTATATAAGATTTCAATTTATGAAATGAATCGATTTCAGTACATTGTTGATTAACTCAACAAGTGGAATAGCTGACTGAGGCTTAGATTACTCTGATGTGACTAGCAAGTCCCCTCTATTATTTTTGATTGGTCTGAAACTCTGCATTGTAAAACGTAAGTGCACTTGTTCAATTCTTTAAGAATATAACATTCTCTGACAGGATTTATTCAAGATAACCGGCATTACTAAAATCTACAGAGGGTCTCAGTATCTTAAACAGTTAAGGTTATATATCAAAAAAACATTTTTAATTCAGTCTCTCCATTTTATCTTTATTAACCATTTTTGTAGATTTAAGTGATTATATACTTTTTGTCATTTCAGTGGTTATGCAATAATACCTGCCCTACCTTCAGTCCATTCAAGATACCAGAAACTAGAAGTGGAGAAATTGTGTGTTCAAGTGATAGTAATATGATCCATATAATACCATATAATGTATCGAATTTTGGCAAAGAATATCAGATCATTACAGAAAATGTTTCAATAGTTGTAAATAACTTGAATAGAACTAAAGATCTTGATATGATCAGTGATTTATTGTTAAATAATCAATATTTATCAAGTGAAACTGTTGGTTTATTGTCTGCTCTATCAGCTCTATTCATCATGTTAATCCTCTTCAGTTTTATTATATGCTGGACAGTTCATACACGATCAAAGTATATAAAAATCGATTTAAAGAGTGAATACGGGGATGAGTTTAACAATGATGTCGATAAAACTGATTCACATTTACTTCCATTGTCATGCAGTAAGATATGCAAAGATATTTGGACTCAAGGTAAACCTCAGCCAATGATCAAGAAAACCAAGAAAAAGACGGAGAAGTTAAAGGTTGATCAATCAGTTTCCAGGAAGGTCTCTACAGAAAAATATAAATGTTTAAAAGACAAACTATTGAATTCCTTAGAGTGGAGTGGATCACAGACACCAGCTAGTGACACAACATCACCGGATAAAGAAGAGAAAAGAACCAATTTTTCGAGTGAGGAAATATCAGTAAGTGCTAACTTCCATCATTACATTTTAACGATAAAAATGTTTAACAGTAGTTTCTCAGTAAAAGGTTGACTAATTTACCATAAGATTCGCGTCAGATTCTACACTTGAACGGTGACGAAACATACTGTTGTGGAGTTCCGTACAAGGACAAAACGTCTGTGCATTAGGTTAAGGTTTTCAATGGTTCTTCTACTGATGTCAGTCTAGAATGAATAGTAGTTTGAAAAGCACTTTCTGTTTACGACGAATATTTCCTTCGCGGTGGTTCTTTTCTATAATTAAAGCAACAAACAGTTAATCTCTGCATTAAGTGTACAGTTTTGCACAGTGCATAAGGCTATGGACCTGTACTGATCGAGGTGACTGGAGTATGTGTTGTATATACCAGGTTTGAAAAATACTTATTGATTTTCACTCGAAAAGTTAAGAAGACTGTACATCTTGCTAGGGAATTCTTCCAACAGGAAAATGCATCTTCATAGACGAAATCGCTCACTAGACTCACAGGTAGTAGATGGAACCCTAAAATCCCATTATCATCTTGACCAGTATATTCGAAGCAAAGTTAAATTCGAATGATAGCAGTGAAGTGTATGTTGAGAACATCAGTGATTGTCATTACCGTGACTGTGACTTTCAGTAAACCTTCTTGTCTGACAAAGAGTTCGGAGCAACACATTCCTACAAAGATGTTGAACCAATGAGGAGAAGTGCTGTAGCCAGGTAAAGCATGATGAACCACTTTGGTTGCTATCAGTAATACTTGTTTTTCAACACAGTTTAAAAGACTGACGTTTTTATCTCAATCTGAGATGGAAAACAGTTTTATGCAAATCGTAGAGTTTGGTGCATTGTATCTGTTTGATTGGCTTCTCTGAGTTCATTGGTAGGCAGATTATAATAGTAAGAGTTTGCAGCCATCGGCTTGAGTTGCTATGCAAACGTTAATGAGGAAGCATATATTTCCTTCACACAACTCAGATCCATATAGTCAAAACAGCCACATCTGAATCTGACTGACTTCAACCTTTTCCAGTCTAATCCTATTTCAGTTGACATCGTGAGTGCGGGTGGATACTGACAAAGGATGCACAACATATGTCTTATCCACCTTAATTGCTGAGTGTTCACAATCTGCCCGAATGACTTATCTCGTTTGCCTGAGAGGCTACACCTCACCCGCACGTTACCAGCGTGATAGTTCCACGACATACGGAGTGGTACGACAAAGGAGGAAATAGTCGAACACCCAATCTTTCCGACAATTTTATTGAAGAGCATTAAAAGTGATCCACTGAGGTAGATAAACAAAACTTTAAATATCTAATACCGACTAATGTCCACATTTTTCTCTCCATTGCTATAAGTTATCCAACCGACTTGTTCTAGAGGTATCTATGTGTTTCAAGGCACTTTTGTTCACCATTGAAGTAAATAGAACAACAACAGCTGCTTGCCAATTTACAACTACTCAGTAGTATATATTCGTAGTTCCAAGACGAAATCCCCGGAAATTATCTTCATTTTTCGTAAAGAAATACTGTTCTACAACTTGGCTGCAATTTCAGTAAACCCGTGACATTGTGGAACAACAACTGTCCAACTTCATCAGCCCATTTAAATTCTCACTGGTCAACTACTTGACCATAGGACAGTAAACTGAGCTACACATCTATCCTCATAAAAAACGAGTTGTCAATCGCAGTAGTAGTAGTGTGAGTAGTAGTAGTAGTAGTGTGAGTAGTAGTAGTGTGAGTAGTAGTAGTAGTAGTAGTAGTAGTGTGAGTAGTAGTAGTAGTAGTAGTAGTAGTAGTAGTAGTAGTAGTAGTAGTAGTAGTAGTAGTAGTAGTAGTAGTAGTAGTAGTAGTAGTAGTAGTAGTAGTAGTAGTAGTAGTAGTAGTAGTAGTAGTAGTAGTAAGAGCATGAGGAGGAAGAGAAGGAAAAGAAGTGGGAGTAGGAATAGGTGTATTGTATGGTGCAACTTTAGTGAGGAAATTAGTTTCAGTTGACATCCAACTAGTGGAGATTCTGAAGCATAAGGTGAAAGACAAAAACAAGCGAAGTAGCAGTAGGATAAACTGGAAATTATTTCGTTTTGGATGTGGGATAAAAACATCACTTTGACAAACTGAATTGGACCCAAGATTTCAAAATTTTGTCGACTTTTAGTATGATTTCTCCGAAGACAGTCCATTCAGCCTTCACTTCAACTCATCACCGATAGAACCTAGATGGAGCAGTATTCTTGACTTCAGTACTACATGGAATAAGTTCAGATATTCTGGAGGCCATATTTCCGTCTAAAATTCAAGCAAACAAGTCTATCTAGTGATCGCTTCCAAGTGTGTAACATCATAAATAGGTTATTCAGCCTCCAATCGTTTGGTGGTTGACAGAATAACTGATACATCTGTCTTCATACTTTAGAAGAAAGATTCCAGTTGGTATTTTTGCTTACATAACGTGTAACTCAAAGCTAAGTGACACATATTGATATTAAGTGGTGAGAGTGAGTCGATGAGAAATCCTGGTCTAACTGGGTTTCCTGTCTGCTGGCTAGCATTCATCAACGAGAAGCATTTGCAAACATGAAGGGACAGTCACTCCTTCGATGGTTTGAATCCTATTCATTTAGTGCTGAACTTAGAGACTTTATCAAAAAGTTTTACTGGACACGACAAACACCCTGCAAGACTGGATCAAGAGCAGGAATAGGTCACCAGTGGGTGTCTATTCATTACCGCTTAGCACTGGTCGAAGTCTGAGGATCATTTTTAACAGTGTGGCCATTGAGGTTAGCGATGAGACATTGATTTCAGTGTTGGAGGTCAGTCGGTGGGAACCACTGCTCGGTCTATGTTTTGTGCTTAGTGGCACTCGTCAGGGATAACTTACACGAAAATATAGGGTGCAACAGTGTCGCATCGGTGGCCACCTTGCAAACTGAGTCAAAAGAATTCAGTTATGATTAAAGTATGAGCACCGTGACGCTATTTAGTATCCAGTTACCAGTCAGTATACCACCTTACTGATATGAGGTGATGAATAAAGGTGAAAGAAAAACGTAACTTGCAGCAGGTTTCAAACCACTTGCCTCCGGATATCAGATAGATGCCGTACTAAATGACCTACTGGGACCAACTGGTGGCCAGATCTTGGCTCCACTTCAATGACTGTCGGTTCCACCCTGGTGTCATCCGCGTATCAACAATCAAATCCTACAGAACCACAGCTGTTTCAGATAGTAGTTTCACTAATTATCCATCTCACTGTATTTTTTAGCTAGTTAACAAAGATAAAAGTGTTTCACAACGCAACTTTTTAGCATTTCGTACCTTCTAAATAATTTTTTATCTTTGTAATTGCAAAACAGCCAACGCATTCAAATAGCTTTAAGCCAAACATGGCAACACTGCGTATAATCACTGAGTCAGAATTGATTCGAGGCCCATTAATTGGTTCTGGCGCATTCGGTACAGTTTATTGTGGTGTATGGTGTCCGAAGTTGATTAAAACAAAAATTGACACATTGAACAATACATTGTGCAGTACATTAACTAATGCAACCACCACCACCACCACTACAACTACTAATACTACAGCAGCAACAACTCCATGTGCATTGAATCCAATGAAATTTGACTGGGATAAACAGACAAATGATATAGAGTCGATTACAACATCAATTGAGGAAAATTATTTCAATCTAAACATTCCAGTAGCTATTAAAGTCTTATCAGACTCAGCTGATCCACAGACCAATAAGGAATTACTAGAAGAAGCGAAGGTAATGTTCAATCTCTCCTTTTGTATCTATTTTTCTGTTCTACTTTTATGTTATTAAATGAACATTTGTTAGTCATGACGACTGACAGCACAATTATAATGTTGTTATTTTGACTGCTGCTTAATATAACTCTTCGTTTCAGAAATCACAACATTAAGTGAAAAAAACTGTGTACCAGTCAATAATTTTGCATTGATTTGCTATAATTATGAAGAAATCACTTCATTATGGATGGGCGCAGAACACAGAAGGTTCCATGAAAACTTGGAAGCGTTAGACACCTGCCTCATAGTAGTTAGGAATTGTTAAACAGGATGTTAAACTTACAATACTATGTGAAATCAAGGCAATAGGCTATAGGTCTCGTGGAAAGCGTTTTACCACCCTAGTTACTTCGACAGAATCCTGATACTGAAATTTCCCATCTTTAATCAGTACATTTTACTTTGTGAAGGTCTTCTAATGTCAGTTTCATAATGATCACGTAGACAATACTGATATATGATGAAAACGTTTTCCAAAATCAGTCAATCCCATATACTTGTTAGTGACCTGCTTCAAGATGAACTTCCCGTTGGTTTGTGAATGCCTTATGTGGATGTTTCGACTACCGTTAGTTAAGTACCAGTGATTTGGATTATGTAGGGCAGTAGTAGTCTACTGCGAATTACGTCTCTTACGAAGCTCAACAGTTGGGTGTGGCTTCATTATTATCGCAGAAATGTAGTTTAAACAGTATTTGTGTTCAAATTGCAGACCGTGATTTCTGACACGGAGTTATAAAGAAATAATGAAATATACTACTGAATAATAATACAGTATGCTCAAGAAACTCTAAACATACGTGATACCATCCACATGGTTCTTAATCAAAGCACTGTTGAAAGGCTACTTAACTGTGAGTCACTTCGGTGGGAAAGGTGAGACTTATGAATAAACTCTTAATTGCTTGTTGGTCCATCTATGTCAGTTGAATAGATTCCTTTCATGGATATATTTCAGTTGTGCTAAGTTGGTTTCTCAAGTTATACTGATAACTAAACATTGACCCACTAGGTGAGGAAAATGACGAAATGCAGAGTCTTCTGAACGAGTACAGCAGAAATTTGAGTATGTTTGCCGTGAGTTTCACTGGTACCCGTCAAATGTAAGATGATGTGCCAAGACTAGTCTGTTGCAAGTAATCCCAGTTTGATAATAAGTATTGAACTACTACTACACTTACTTGGGGAGTTGCATTACCCGAACTGGTTGCTGATTACTGACGAAATCCCAGCTGGGATGCAGAAGGCCCGTTTGGCATTTGACAATTTTCGTCATCTTTGGCGCCGACTGGAGAGATATACGATTATCTATCAAAGGAAGAGCATACTATGCTGCAGCCCATTCTGTTGTATTATACGACTGTGACATATCGCCGTTGAAAGTAGAAGATTTGAAACGTTTAGATGCTTTTGATGACAAATATCTTCATAAAATTTCCCGAGTTTGGTAGGATCATTTTATTAGCAATGTAGAAGTTAAACGAAGGGTGCGCGGCAAGATAGACACGTTGGTTGATGCGGTTGCCAGTCCTCATCAACTGAGGTGGTTTGAATATGTGTTGCGCATGCTCAGCCACGCCTACCTAGATGTGCTATGCCTGGGGGAGCTGGATTAAGTTACGAGAGGGTTGATGGTGGCGAGACCAAGACGTGACACCAGTTAACGAAGTCCTTGACTGATGGTCACATCTGTGTAGGGGGTTGTTGACTATCTCCTTGGGGTCTCCAAGATGATAGGAGTTAGTGATTGACTACTCTTCGCGAAATATCTGAACACCAATCACAATGATGCAAGCGTATTCACTTTTCGATGTCCTAAAAAGCTTGAATGTTATGACTAAATTTAATTTCCAAATTACCTTACCTTTGTCTACTGTAATATCAGTCTTTTTCTATCCACCTATTCTTTGTATACTACTGTAAAGTGTAGCATCCTGAAGTGATGCACCTGTGTGCGAGATTCTACGTTGATTTTGTCTTTTAGATCCCTACGATATGCCTAACACAGTGTAAAGATCTATGTTGTTGGTGCCCTAATATTACTCTCGTTTACCATTATATTTTATTGTCTTTCCATTGTTTAGAAACGTAGTTATGTGTGTAGACCACACAATCTAACAAACTGATGTACGCTTGTGAATGCTTGAACAATAACCTTCATATTTTATCCTAGGGAATTCTGAAAGGCGATGAACATAGACAAATCGGTGTAAAACTTTCCACAGAAATACACAAGTTCAAGTTGAAATAATTCACAGCAACCAGTAGGTAGAGAAAGAATCGTTTCAAATTGGACGAAATTGTGTGGTTCGAGGAAAAACAGACAGATGAAAGTTGATGATAACATTCAAGACTTTGAATATATCGGCGCACTTGTAACTGATTTTGAACGCAATCGTAAGTGACGTCTAACCAGTGATTTCTGTTATGTCGAGGATCTCAACTAGGCAGTCTACATCTCTCTATACAAGGCTTAAACCAACAGTCAGATACTTCATTAATTCATACAATGTCATGGTCTAGCCATCCTTAGCCTTCTTCCAGTCCAATCGTGTTTCTTCCACACGTTCACGCCATCTCAGTCGGCGAAGGTTCACAACCTCATTGAAGAGCTTACTTTCCTTGCCTAGGAATCTATGCCTAGTCTCTACATTTCTCACACCATGGTTCCACTATACGTGAGCATTGCTACGAAGATACCTATATTCAGATAATTTAATTAGAAGAAGTAGATTATCTGAAAAATGTGATGTATTTGAGGTCTGAGCTGCCTAATCTGTATGGATTGCCTAAAATTCATAAAACAGATAATCCTTTACGTCTTATACTCTCCATGTTCCGTTCACCTACACATAAAGTGGAGAAATGGTTAGCAAAAACTCTAATTCCTATTCGAAATGAAGTATATACGTTTTCTTTAAAAGATACTCTTCAACTTGTTGATTATGTCAGTGATATTAATATCAAAGATAAGAGATTGTATTCATTTGATGTCAACTCCTTATTTACTAATGTATCCCTAATTAAAACCATTGACATTCTTTGTGACCACATATCTTCCAGTAATCCTTCTTTCCCTATCTCCTCAACGTGTTCGAGAAAGTTGTTATTGTCTACTGATAAAGTTCATTTCACATTTAAAGGTGAACATTTTCGACAAATGGATGATGTGGTCATGGAAAGTCCCTTAGGACCATTGCTAACTGATATTTATATGGTACACATTGGAGGCTTGACTAGCTATCTCATCCGTAAAGTTACTCTCTATAAGAGATATGTTGACGATATAATAGTGATATGTGACAAGCATGAAGATGCGACATGTTTGTTAGAAAGACATAACATCGTACAAAACAACAAAAGCCTAAAATGTGGAGAAGAGAAAGAAAACCGTCTGCCATTCTTGGATATACTCCCAAGTCGTAGAAGTGATGGTTCATTAAAACTATCGATTTACAGGGAACCCACTTGGACAGGCCAGTACTTAAGTTTTCCATAGCTTTTGTTCAACCCAATACAAGTGAGGTTTGATAACTTGCCTATTTAAAAGGATCCAACGTATTTGTATGGAAGATTCAATGGATGATGATAACGGAAGCATTAGTGAAAAATGGATATCCATTGAAGTTCATAAACCGCTGCAAAAATCAGCAAGGATTCAAACCTGACGTGTACTCTGTTTCGAATAAATGCGTTTACATCGCGCTACCATACACAGGAGAGTCTAATAGCATAATATTAAAACGAAGGTTAAGGTCTGCTGTTAGCAAAACGTATTATGCAGCTAAGCTTATCATAGTTGAGAAGACCAAACACCTTCTGCAACATAGACCTCAACGCTGTATAAGAGATTGCGTCATATCCCCTTGCGTTTATACACAGGGAGGACTGATCGTGATATGCACTTGAAGGTAAGGGGAACATGTACCAAAACGTCTACAAAAGCAGTTGTTCCTCCAACTGATGTCAGTCTACGATGAATAACAACTTGAAATATTTCCAAATCTCCACAACTACCTCAAAAATTTAATTGAACTGATGCTCATTGGTGACTAGCTTCGAGAAGTATTCCCGAAGTTCCAATGACAAGTCGTGACCGGTGGAGTCAAAGCCTGATGGCCGTGAGGACAGATACTCAACGATGACATTGGGTGGCGGTTTGCGCTATATCGTGAGCTAACAGAAGTTGGAAATATGGAGCATTGGATTCCGCCGACCCAGTGGCTCAATGGTAACCCGCTGGCCGCGGAACCTGAAGGTCGCGGGTTCGATCCCTGCTGGTGAGGTCGTGGGTGCGCACTGCTGAGGAGTCCCATACTAGGACGAAACAGCTGTCCAGTGCTCCCAGGTTTCCTTTGTTCCTCCAACTGATGTCAGTCTTCGATGAATAACAACTTGAAATATTCCCAAATCTCCACAACCCCTCAAAAATTTAAAAGCAGTTGAATTCATAAACATCGATACGTGCAGATGGTGGACAACCAATGAAACGGTCGGAACGGTTGTCATTACATATGGTACACCCCGCACTAAACCCATCATTTGCAAAATGTGCTTCGTTTCCTCTTCTGTTTCTCTCTTGGTTTACTCTTCATACATTCTTATCGGCAGCATCCATTGTAATACGCCTGCGTTACCTCTTGCTTTGCTCTTGGCAGAATACTTACCCAATGCTGGTAATTCCCTATGATTTGTGCCACCCTCTCAATATATACTACTTATATCCATTCTTATCAGCAACGCCCACTACACCATCATAATCCAATGCAAAACATATCATTGATAAGGATCACAGGATTGATATTAAAACAGTCTTTACAATTTTGTATAGAAACTGTCAGGGGCGCATACTTACGTTTGTTTGGGAGATAGCCATAAAGAAATTAAACCCCCTTATTGAATGTGCTAAAAGCTTACCTTGGTAATGCTTATTTTATCGTATTACCTTATCTTTTTTCTTTTCATTATCTTTCTTATTATTGAATTCCTTTATGTCATACTTTTCCTTCCCCAACTTCCAGTTTTCATAGACAATGTCTTGATAAGTCAATGTGTGATCAGATTGTTCGAAATGATGTATAGCATTAATACATCACATTTTTCAGATAATCTACATCTTCTAATTACATGACTCAAATATATAAAAGGGATTAATTATTTCAAATACCTATATTCAAAAGCCTGTAATCTCTCCACTTCTAATTCCTACAGTCATATCTCACGACCTTATGACAGAGCGTAAATGCCTCCAGTATGGTATAGCCGTCGTTTAATACGTATTCTTGTATCTCCTTGGTACCGAAGATGACAATAAAGTGTGTATTGCAGGATTAAAATATATATGAAGTCTTTTTTTATCAATATACTCATAATCGTCATTGTTATTCCTAGACATTTCTAGATGGATATTCCTTGTTGATCCCACCTCTTGAACTAATTTGTTATTTCGCATTCTTTCTAGACAACAATAACAATATGATTGTTACTCATTGACCCAATAACTCAACTTTTAAACATTTGCGTCATAGATTCTTAGCCCTGCTCTACGTACAAAGGTTTAAGCAGACATATAGTGTTGTTAGCATTCACTGCTTACTATGCAAACGTTTGTATAGTTACTGAGTTGTGCTTTAATCTCTGATTCAAATCACCTTAGTATTTAACGTTTAATTGTGGTTAATTAAAATAATGAAATAATGTAAAATGATAAACAAATCTTTTTTTTTCTTGTCAGGTAATGGCAACAGTGGATCATCCATGTTGTGTACGCTTTTTAGCTTTATGTTTAACATCAAAACTTCAGTTGATAACACAATTTTTACCATTAGGAAGTCTTTTAGAATTTGTAAAAACACAATGGGATACAGTTGAAGTAAGCTCATTATTTCAATGGTCTGAACAAATCGCCTCTGGTATGGCATATTTATCAACTCGTGGAATTATACACCGAGATTTAGCTGCTAGAAATGTTCTTGTTCAATCAAAAGGACAAGTAAATTCGAGTTTTTATCTAATAATTGAGTATAATTGGTAATAATCTTTACTTGATCTAGATTTGGTGATTTTTAAAGCTCATTAATAACGTATACCTATAACTTAAAAGAATGTTCTAACCCCAGGAACTTAACACCACAATCTCAAATTCTCCACCAAGTATTTGGGTTTCAGATGATCTCCAGTAGTGTTTCAAACAGACTTAATGGAAGTGAGTATCTCTATCTGTTTGTCAACAGATCGTATTCCCTCCGTTTAAACCCCAGACTGTAGTCACAATAGCTTCATGCAGTGTTAAATCGCTCTTCAAATCTGTTTATTGTTTACTGTTCTGACAGTCAAAAGGCTTAATCAAACCTGGTTGACTTAAACAAGTAATTACGCACAATTTTAAATTTCATTTCAATGTTCACGCAACAGTTAGAATGTTTAAACACAAAATATCCTCAAGTCCAATTAGATCGAAATGTTGAAAGTTTGAAACATACTACAATGAAAAAAAAAGTTTTCTACACTTTTATTTTTTAACAGGGGTGTATTACTGGATGTGAATAAAAGCAACCAAGCTAACATTTGTCATCTACAGTGTAGGCGAAACCTTCAAATTTTTACTAAATGGGGGAAGACATAGTGTATTCATCTGTCTTGCCTTACATTACAGCCTTTGGGATATAATTGTTAGAAATAGAGATTTTATAAAGAATTTCAATGTCAAATTCTACGTGTCCACCATGCATTAATCCATTGTCATGAAACTATCGGCTGAGCATTGTTAAGGCTTGAACGCATAGTATGTAACAAATTTCCAACCTACACTGAGTGAGACCCAAGTTTGTCCTTCATGTTTAGTTAGTCGTGGTCTGAATGACTTAAAGATTAAGTTTCGAACTTAAACATAGAATGATGCAGTTTATAATTACCAAGAGAACATCAGTTTCCTTATCATCATATGTACGCCTTACTTAAGAGTGCTAACGGTTGCGCACAATTGGTTACCCTAGTGACCCAGTGAGTGACGTTTTGGTGTTTCGAGCGGGAGATGTTGGGTTTGAGTCTCAGTGGGAACAACACCACTTACTGGGGGGAGATACACCCACCTGAAGAGTCGCAGATGGAACGAAAAGCATGTTGCGGATTTGACATCTAGTCGCCAAGATGAATGCAAGGAAAGAGTAAAGCTGGTGGGAAAATACAAATAAAAAAAATCAATAAACGGTCTAATGTTTGGATTCTCTTGTTCGATCATGAAGCATTCATTGCTAAAATGAGGCTTAGACACTTGATTTGTAAGTGATAGGTGGACAGTTCGAGTCCCATCTCACCCAATATAGGATAATCAATTTGCAAATGATTTACAAATTTCACGATCCCCCTTGATATTTCTCACAGCTGAACAGTTTTTCAACTGCTTAACAGTTAATAGGCTTCTTGATGGAAACTACCCCGCAGCCAAGACCAAAGAATGTGTTATTTCCAAATCAAAAGTTTCATAAACTAACAAAATATACTACTATTGAACAAGTTGAGTAGTTAGAAACCATTCAGACTGGTCATTAGATTATCACCAAACATCCAGATAAAAAGTGTCCCGACCGATAGCTGCTACCTTGACGTGGTGGTCGGGCTTGCATATCACAATGACCCAACGAGCTATGCTGGTGGAACGCTTGTTCCCTCGAGGTCCTACCATACCAGAAAGGTCTGTTGGGTAGTGGTTAGACGAAAAGCAGTTACCGTCATAGTGTAAATTGCTATACTATGATGGGGGTCTGAGGGCGAAGTCGTACTGCTGCTAGCTGGATGGGGTGTGACAGCAGTAAGGTGTTTCCCTTGGATGACCAGCAGTGCCAAGCTGATGCTGCCTTCTCAGTGGAAGGGGGGGTTAGAAAAGGTCGGCCCCAAAAATAACACACTCCACCACGCCCCACGGTCTGCCGGGCCGGCGGTGTTGGTTCACTTGTCGTTTCCTTTCGCTCATCCGGCCCCAAAAATACAAAAAGACTCTAGCAACTCGAGGCATGGATGTGTGCTGTGTTTGTGAGACACGCATACAGGACCCAAGTGTGGTTATTCACCTGACCTCTCCTGACCAATCTGGTGAATCTGCAAAATTCACCCTTCGAGTTTCTGGAGATTCGATAGCTAGCTCTCGTGGTCTTGCAGGTGTAGGTATAGCATTAAGCACCAGGGCAGAAAACTCACTACTAGACTGGATCCCAGTTGATAGTCGCCTCTGCGCTATGAGGCTGAACGGCACAGTGAGAACTAAAAGGAATAGTGAGACTCGCCGTTGTCTCTTTGTAATCTCTGCTTACGCACCCACTGACTGTAGTTCGGATGAAGTGAAGGACGAGTTCTACCATAAACTGTCTAACCTCCTCTCGAAAGCCAAACGTTCGGACGTAGTGGTTGTTGCAGGTGACCTCAACGCACAGGTGGGTAGACTGAGTGAGGCAGAAAGGCACTTAGGTGGCACTTTCGGAATCCCAGCTGAACGTACAGATAACGGTGATCGCCTATTACAACTATGCTCAGATAACCGCCTATTTTTAGCCAGCACAAATTTCAGACATAAAGAAAGGCACTGTCTGACCTGGCGTCCACCGAGCTCGACTCAGCGATGGACACAGATAGACCACATTGCTATTAGTCATCGCTGGAGAGGATCGGTGGAAGACTGCCGCTCCTTCTGGAGTACGTGTTTGGACAGCGATCATGCGTTGGTCCGAGCACGTATATGCCTGCGTCTCAATGGACGTAGAAAAAATTTGGCAACAAAACCACTACGAGTTCTGCTGGACAACGAAAACACCAAAGCCGTGTTCAGTGAGAAGTTGGCTAGGCAGTTATCGGAACAAAAGACTGTCACTCATCCAGAAGAAGCTTGGTGCCATCTTCAGTCTACTGTAAAAGCAGCACTGGAGACTGTAGCCGACTCCAAGATAATGGCTAAAAAGAGCCAGTGGATATCAGCAGCTTCTTCCAAACTAATGGATGCACGTGAATGCATCCCTGCAGGCTCTGAGTACAATGAAGAGCGAGCGCAACTTAAAAATAAACTGACGAAAAGTCTGCGCAACGATCGTGAACAGTGGTGGGCAGCAAAGGCTAAAGAGATGGAAAAGGCAGCGGCGATCGGTAACAGTAGACAGTTATTTAGACTTATTAAGGAGACTGGGGGGAAATGGTCAACAACAGTTAGTGAGGTTATAGCGGAGAAGGACGGATCGGCGATTCACTCGCAGGGAAGGCGACTGGGACGATGGGCAGAACACTTTGAGGAACAGTTTAACTGGCCTCCAGCCACCATTGCGCTGCCCGCTATCCAGTCGGACCCTGAATGGGACATAGAGACAGGTCCCCCAACACTAGAAGAAGTTGAGAAAGCGGTAGGTAGCCTGAAACGGGAAGGGCAGCAGGACCAGACGGACTACCTGCTGAGGTATACAAGAATGGTGGTAGAGTTCTCTTAGTCAGGCTAACGGAAGTGTTAGCCAGTATATGGGAATCAAATACGATCCCCTCCGACTGGTCTAAGTCACTGATCATCCCAGTCTTCAAGAAAGGCGAGAAGTCCTCTTGTGATAACCACAGAGGAATCAGCCTGACAAACATAGTGTCTAAGATCCTAAGTTCTATAATTCTCCGACGCCTGAGTGGAGCTCGGGAACAGCAAGCCCGAGAAAACCAGGCAGGCTTTAGACCTGGCCGTGGATGTATCGACCAAATATTCACACTGCGCCAGGTCCTGGAACATAGGCATGCTTACAGACGCCCGACAATAGCTGTATTTCTCGACCTGAAGGCGGCATTTGACTCCGTTGATCGAGAAGTCTTATGGCAGTGTCTGTCACTGAAAGGCGTGCCTAGTAAGTACATCACCTTATTGAAAGCTCTCTACTCGAACACTTGTGGGCATGTTAGAGCCTATGGTGAGTTGTCCAGGGAGCTATACTCATCAAGTGGTGTCCGTCAAGGATGCCCACTATCCCCATTCTTATTTAATTTTATCATAGATATTCTTATGGAGGTTTCCCTCTCGTCACCTAATTACAAAGACGTTGACCGGATCACAGGTGAATTTTCCTTAGATCTAGAATATGCAGATGACATAGTCCTGTTAGGTGAAGACGCTGACAAGATGCAGAGTCTTCTGAACACTTTGAGTGGGAATTTGAGAATGTTTGGGATGCGATTTTCACCACCCAAATGCAAATTTTTGCTCCAGGACTGGTCTTCAGCGGTACCGCGGTTAACAATAGAGAGTGAAGTGGTTGAGTGTGTTGACCACTTCACTTACCTGGGAAGTAGGATCAACTCCGGTGGGTTAGTTGCCGATGAGATTTCTGCACGGATACAAAAGGCTCGATTGGCTTTTGCCAATTTGCGCCACCTATGGCGCCGCCGTGATATTCGTTTGTCTATTAAGGGTCGCGTGTACTGCACAGCAGTCCGCTCTGTTCTACTGTATGGCTGTGAAACATGGCCATTGAAAGTGGAAGACATGAGAAGGTTACAGGTATTTGACCACCGTTGCCTTCGTAGTATAGGACGTATTCCGTGGTGTCACCATGTGAGTAATGCAGAAGTTAGGTGTAGAGTTTTAGGGAGAAGAGGTAAGTCAGTCGACGAGGTTGTGAACCTTCATCGACTGAGATGGTTGGGACACGTACTACGTATGCCTAGTCACCGATTGCCTCGTCACACAATGTTGGCTGAGGTGGGTTCAGGCTGGAAAAAGGCCCGAGGTGGCCAGACTAAAACATGGCACCAATGTATGAAGTCTCTGACTGTTGGTTTAAGCCATGTAGGACGATGCAGACTAGGTGGTTGGGGTCCACGGGACAAGAGGAACCAGTGGTTGGAGACCCTAGGTGATATGGCTCAGAACCGAAGTCAGTGGCGCAGATGTATACACACATTATCCTCATCTTAACAACGCTATACCGAATCTCACTATTTTGTCACTCCTCTTTCCTTTCTTCTCATACTTTATATTTCTTTTGACTGCATTCACTTATCTTCATCCTTCACCTCACTACCTTTTTACTTGATGTGCTGATATGAGGTGTGGCAACTCGGACCGTTACGCAGTAATGCCTGGTCCTATGTTGATAATGATGATGATGAGATAAAAAGTGACGGCAGTTTTACTCGATTTGAGCAGAACACATCAGTACTGTACCCTGTCAAAATCAGTTCATAGAATGAAATTAGTTTAGACAACCTAAATCTGACAAGTTCCACGGGTCAACTTGAATGGCTTCTAATTATTCAAGTTGCTCATTAGTATTATATCCTTCCTTACTTATTTTCATCTAGGTAAGCAGGCCATATTATACGCTTTCACACAATAATTAGTTTAGATCGCAGTCCATAAGCGTATTTTCTAGGTTGGGTTACATTTTCTTTATCACTTCACTGTTATTATCCGTATGAAAATGATTGGCACCAAACCTTTAAATGGATATACACTTGTCATTAATTCACCGGTGATTAGTTTCAGAATTCTTCTCAAAAAGCTTAGCAAATAATAAAAACACCTGAGGTATCTATATGAGCTAGATGAATTCTCCGCTTTCAGTTGATAATCATGCAAAACAGGATCAATAACTTTGATGGTTTTTTACCAATATAAACTCCTCAATAGCCTTAAGTCTTTGGGTGCAAGTTATTAAGAGAAATAATTATTTATTTTCAGATATATATATATAGAAATATGCATAAATACCCAGTGAGATGTTAGTTGGATGGAGGTAATTGGCTAGAAGTCCAGGAGCATCTAAGCTTCCTGCTTGTTGGCATTCTTCAGTAGGGCATATCTGCAACCTTTACGGAACTCATGTACTTCCTGAGGCTCGAACGTGGGCCTTCCAGGGTTACAGTCAAAAACGTTGCTACTGAGCTATTCGGGCAGCGACTGGCCTTCTGTAAAACCGGACTAGGCACATTGATCGGTCACTATAGGTTAACCAACTTCAAGATGTCCAGTCTAGGAGGTCAACTGGCTTCCTGTCGATTGGCTGGAACCAACTAACACTTACACTGAAATGAGTTTCCAGTGATGGACAATTTTGACTGGTTGTTTCAGTGTCAAATTTTGTTGGTTTGGGTCACTACCCTTTATCTCAACACTCAATATATATCCTTTTATCATTTATATTCCGTGTTGACTGGGACAAGAACAATAATCTTAACGGGATATCGAAGCAGCTACACTTTAGATATGAAGTTATACCTAACACTTCTACAGGAAAATAGACTTATCTCAGCCTTTTTTCATAACAAAGTAATCATAAGGTGTGTACACTATTTGTATGTTTTCTTCTGAAGGTACAAATAACTGATTTTGGACTGGCAAAATGTTTGGATACCACGAATAGTGAATATCATGCTAGTGGTGGAAGAATGCCAATTAAATGGTTGGCGATTGAATGCATACAAGACAGAATATTCTCGAGCAAATCGGATGTTTGGGCTTATGGTAAGTCATACGAAATACACAAGGTAGAACTATACCTGTTACATTACGCCGGTTTTCTTTAAACCATATTCGTATTTCTCTTTCCTCCAGGTAATGTAAAAAAAACTGATTATCTTGAAGTAGGCTGAACGTGTTGACCCAACTGATATGTCAGTGGTTACATTATTTAAGGTTATTAATAGGGCCATGAGCGAAATTAACCAATCAGAGAATAGGATGGCAATTTGTTGACCAGTTAGTTAGATAGATAGACATGTAAGTCAATGTGTCTGCACTATAACCTTTATAAGGCTTAGTTATGGAGTGCACATTTTAAAACTCAGCATCAAAATATCTATCCGAAATCGCTTATGGTCAAGTCATCTGATAGTTCCAACCGATCTGTAAGTAAACCGTTTCAGCTACAAGAACTTTTTGAGACAACGAATTCATAAAGCCACCCGTAATCTGTAAATGCTTCATTTTCGCATTAAAAACCATGGTGATATATTATACCCGCTTATTCTAGTAGAACTGAAACCAACTGTAGATTCTTTTATTAACTTTAAAGACCAGTATTATCTTCAAATATCCAGAAATCGACAAATTAGAAAGTTCGAATGAATAATAGAAGTTGGAAATATGGAGCATTGGGTTCCGCCGACCCAGTGGCTCAATAGTAACGTGCTGACTACGGAACCTGAAGCTCGCGGGTTCGATCCCTGGCGGGGTCGTGGGTGCTCACTGCTGGGCAGTCCCATACTAGGACGAAACAGCTGTCCATTGCTCCCAGGTTTCCTTTGTTCCTCCAACTGATGTCAGTCTACTATGATTAACAACTTGGAGTTCGTTAGTAACCAAGTCTTAAAAGCCATAATAATGGAAATAAATTCAATTATCTCGACATGAAAAAGGTGGTAGTGAGGCTTTCTGACAGAAATTTGTCTGAATATAAACTATCTTTCCTTCAGAAGGGTTTGAATTTAAATTTGAATAAACTATATCTGTCAGCTTTCGAAATTGTGCCTGTAATTGAACCAGTCGTATAAGAAGTATATCAAGTAAGGCAGAAAATGAATTTCGGCACAAAAATATCGAGCACATTACTAAATGAGAAGCCTAATAAGTCAGACATAAATAAGAATGAACGCTCTACTAAGAAGCAGTTATGCAAAGACAAGACTATTATTATCACGAGCACAGATAAAGGTAACACTACAATGAAAATGAACGCAAGTGTTTAGGAGTATAAAGCCAGGGAACACGCTAAGACTGATCCTTACCAAAAGATAAATGTTACAACATCACAAGCCACACCGAATAAGCTGAAAGTGGAAACTAGTAGCACCCCTCCATTGCACTCTGTTCTCTGCAGTCTTTTAAACCTCGCTCCATGACTGCCCACAACCCTTCGTTTCTTCCTTACATGATCTACCCTACGTTACATTCAGATACATGGTGCGGACATTCCATGTCCCCATTCTTACATTTGCTTTCATCGAGGGAAGCGAAGACACATCGGCCAATTGGCTTCCCGAAAGCTTTTACCAACCGGCGTCATTTCGTCTCTCCGATTCCAGAGAGGAATAAGATGGTTTTTATTTTTTATACTTTCTTTGTGCTTTGAAGCTTCTTTAACAATTGTATTGGTTTTCTGGGGTAGGGTTGCTAGCCGTATGGCCAACCTTCCTTGTTTATCTGGGCTTAGGACTGGCTAGTAACTAGTGTACTAGTTAACCGTACTTCTTTACCGTTGTAACCTGTGTAGTTTCTAAGGTCTGCAAAAAAATTCATAAGACAAACATACCTCTCAGATCAGCTGTGGATTTTACTAACCCACTGATATATAATTTCGTAAGATACACATCACGAATCCTAAAACCATACGTAAAGGAATTAAAATATGTGATAAATAACTCGTCTGAATTGAGAGGAGATCTGTGGCGACAGATAGATGGTATAGCGATGGGATCTTCAGTATCCTTAACAGTAACTAATAGCAATAGCAAAATGTTTTACACCTCCAAGAGTTTGGTTAAGGCACATAAACAATATATTTTTCATTATTAAATGCGATGATCTGGATGAAATCTTTCGTCATCTAAATAATCGGTGTAGAAATATTACTTTCATTAAGGAAGGTGAATTCAACTTATCGAAATTAACCTTTATAGACTATATGATGGGAAAACAGCATTGAAATAAATTAAAGATTAAGATTTTTAGAAAAACAATACATTCAGACAGATGAGTCGATTATCAGTCAGCAAATCCTATGACCACAAAAGTACTAGTCTTGACGAATCTAATCAACAGGGATAAACATCTTGTAACAATAAAAAAAATGACAAAGATGAAGAGTTAAAGTAAGTTTGCCACACACTAGAAAATAACAATATTCCCAAGATATCAAAATAAAGTTTTTAAAAAAGAAATAAAGGATATGCCGAAACTCTTCCCTGAGGATTGGATAAACATGGTCATAATCTCATATTGTAAAGTGGCCTAGGAAGAAATAAAAAGGATCCTTAAAAAACATGATATAAAAGTTTACTTTTATACAACAAATACCCTACACTCTAACTTAATGAAAGTTAACGATGTAGTACCTAAAGAAAATCAGCAGAAAACCAACTGTTCATTCTAATTCACCAAAGGAGCTGACATATGTATCTCTCTCATATACTTTGTTGTACTGACAAAACTGCTGAATGACTGCAATGTCACCTGTGACCTTATTGTCCCGTACTTTCTGGGAGGGAAGAAATCAACGAAGATGAAACCGATAAAAGATGGTGAAGGAAACCTAGTTACCAAAAGGAGAAACGAAGGAAACAATGGGCTGACCACTTCAAAAAACTCTTGAGTCGTCCAACACCACCACCACCACCTGCAACTCATCCAGAAATACCACCAGAAGCCCAGCCACACAATTACCAGTGAACACAAGCCCTCTCACGAAAGTAGAAGTTCTGAACACCATAAAGTCGCTGAAATCCGGGAAAGCAGCAGGACCAGATGGGATTCCACCAGAGGCACTGAAAACGAGACTCAGAAGCAACAGAGGACATGCTCACACCACTACTGCAGAAGGTTTGGAATAAAAGAAGGAAGGAAAGGTACCTGTCGATTGATTGAGAGAAGGGCTGCCTTATCAAACTCCCAAAGAAGTGTGGGTGACCAAAGTGTTTGCAGGAACTGGCGCATAATCATGCTCCTGTACCTGTCCACCCCCCCACCCCCAAGCAAAATATTAAGCCGCATCATCCTGGAGATAGTAAAGGATGCGCTGGATTCAAAATTACGACTGGAGCAGACTGACTGGCTGGTTTCAGGAAGAATGAATTATGTGCAGATCAAATTGCAACGCTACGCTACGTATCATCATAGAACAGAGCATAGAATGACAATCAACTCTCTATCTCAACTTCATCAATTTTGAAAAGGCATTCCACTGCATCGACCGACAAGTAATTTGGTAGGCTGCTGCTTCAACACTACTGTTTTGGGGTCACAAATCTTTATCAACTTCATTTAACAGTAGCCACATGCTGTGTTATATGATGTTACGTGCCAAGTGATTCACAATGGAAAGCTCAGTGACGCCTTTTGAAGTGAGGGCAGGAGTAACATAAGGCTGCCTACTACCACCCATGATCTTCCTGATTGTGGTTGACTGGATCATGCAACAGACAACTGTGAGTAGAGATAAGAGGGGTGTAGGCTAGCTGGACCAAAGAAAAGACCACAGAAGAAGGTTTGGAATTCGTTGATGATGATTTATGTCTGATGTTGCACAAACTCGAAGATCTACAGGCAAAAACCAACAAGTTGACAGAGGAGGCAGAACAGTGAAGACAGGACTTCAAGTGAATGTATAGGAGATGGAGGTGATGAAGATAACCAACTAACCAACTAACCAACAACAACAATAATAACAACAAGCACCAATCACCGTGAACAGGAGAAACCCGTAGAAGCAGTCTCTTCCACCCACCTACATAGGCAGAGCAGCATCGTTCCAACTACAGGTGGTGGCGGCGGTACAGATGAGAACATCAAGGCCACGATCAGAAAGACAGCAAGACAAGCCTTCCTTCATTAATCTGAAACAGCAATGTGGAGATCTACTGCACTACACTACACTGCACTGCACTCAGCATAAAGCGTGAACAACATCCGAATTTTCAACACTAATATCAGTCATGCCGGTGCTTCCACATGATTGAGAGACTTGGTGTGCCACGAAAAGCATTTCCAACAAACTACAGACACGCATCAAGAGCTGCCATCTACGCCTACTCGATAATGAAGATGAGATGGCCAGAATAATAAGAATAAGCAAGAAGAAACTCACTCTAACTTGACAACGAACTAACCAAGAACCTATCATCCAACAAATATGCAGAAGAAAGTGGAGATGGCTTGGATTGGATTGGATTGGACATACACTGAGAAGGCCGATTGGGACATCTCGAGCCAGGCCAGGTGGTTGAGTGTAATCCAAAGGAGAAACGACGAGTTGGGCGTGCATAGCGAGGGTGAAATCGAGGAGATCATATGAGGAAGAAATGAAAGGCTGTGGGTAGTCGTGGAGCCAGGTTTAAATGACTGCAGAGAAGAGAGTGGAATGGAGACGTGCTACTGAGGCCTTATGTTCCACCAGGAACCCAAGGAATAAAATAATAATAATAATAATAATAATAATAATAATAATAATAATAATAATAATAACAGTTAGGAACTGATGACTTAAAATGTTGATTTCCATTCAGTCCACTTCTTATCAAGACCATATCTCTTAAGGATTTCATTTTTTTCTAGAGGAGGTTAGGTTCAGGGCTAAAACTCTAGTATATCAAAGAAGAAATCCACTTCTGCTTAAAAAGGTTCAAACATCTACTTTTTCTTTTTCTTCCTGTCTCTAGGTATAACCTTGTGGGAGATGTGTACATTTGGACAGAGGCCATATGAAAATATACACGCTAAAGACCTATTGGATTTCTTGGAAAAAGGCAATCGTCTACCTCAACCTGAGACAACAAGCCTCGATTTTTATTGTTTAATGCTGCAGTGTATGTTCATGAAAAACTGACTTTCTTTTGTCTCTTTTTAATTTTAATAATTGTATCATGATCTCTCTGATTTCGTACTTTAGGTAACTGAGTTTGACGTACAACTTTAAGCTACTGAGTCACAGGTTCTGACTTCAGTCCACTTATAAAGGTTTGGACGAATAGTAATCTTATGATTGGTATTTCTTGTTATTCATGAGTTCGTTCAGGCACTTTTTATATACAATCTGCTGTTTGAAACGATAGGAATTGGGTTTGAGTCTCAGGAGCAATAAAACACTCATTGGAGTGCAGGTATACCCGGCTGACGAGCCCTAAGCAGGGCATCCTGGATTCCTCTGCTAGTATTGAGATATTTGCATAGGAGCTCATCTGCCAAGAGAGGTTGAGCGATTTGGCTTTGTACAGCAACAGGAAATTACAAGTAAGAAAACAAGGAAAGTTTTACTTGATATATTTTTTTCATAGCCATGACTTGGAGACTTCATTGATTGTCTACTGACGGCAAACGGGAAGGGAAAGAACTAGTTTAACCATACTGAAAATCAATAGGTAACGTGCTACCTGGCTACTTGGGCTGTAGGCACTCCACTTGGTAATGGTCCTATGATAAGTCACTGAGTTTCAATCTATGCACAACGTGTGTTTACATGTATACAGAAATGTTGGCTAGTTAGAGATAAGTAGCATGGTATGCTGTATGAATAAAGTTTTCTAAGTGTTGAAATTAGTTGGGGAAGTATTACTGAAACATTAACTCATGTCAGTCAATACCTCTTTAGAGAAAACACCACTGAGCTCGGCTGCTTCATCCTTAGACTTATTAGAAATGTATGCGCCAGACAACCAGACAGATAAAATCAACGTAGAATCTCACACGCAAGTGTACCGCCTCAAGTTGTCACACTTCACTGCAGCAGCATGTAAAGAACCAGTGGATAACAAAAACAGAGAGATATTAAAGTTGTATGGAAGAATAAACAATTTGACGATGAAGGTAAGTGTGAATATTCAAGCTTTAGAAAGCTCAAGGAACGAATACATTTTGCCACTGTGACCAATTTTCAGCCATATCACCAAGAGTTCTCAACCACTGATTCTATTGTCTTGGAGAACCTAGTGAAATGGTCTACACGACCTTATACGCCTCAGGTCAAGAGTCGGAGACTTCATCGACTGGTGGCACATCATGGTGCTACCACCCCGGACCCTCTTTCAACCCTACCCAACTTCCTCCACCACTTAACGTTGAAGTAAGCAGTGGCTAAGTATGCGCAACTAATCGCCCAGTCACTTCAGTGGATGAAGGTTCTCATCCTCATCAATCGACCTTCCTATCTTCTTTAGTGCATTACCTAGTGTGTATGCGCACGCATGCGTACACACAAATTAACACCTTAAAATATCTTCAAATGAAAGAGTTATTGAAGCAATGTGACAACTGTGATTAGAAAACGGACCAATAGTTAGGGCTTTATCAGTATACAATACTGTTTCTTAAGCAATAAAGTCGAGCGACTCAGTTAAGTGATTTCTTTCAAGGTGAAATAACTTTATGGAGAACAAGTAGATGACATCAGTCGATGAAGTCGTTGACTGTTGATATCATCTGCTCAAGAAGATGTAGACTGTCTGGTTGGGTTTGTCAAGTTTTCAAATGCCAGTATTTGAAGACTCTTGAGGATATGACTCAAAATCGACCATAGTGGTAATGATGTATACACTCTTTTTTATGAATTTTCCTTTACCCATTTATTCACTCTCCTTTTTGAAACACTGTTGATATTATACTTTTCCTCTTCATTCTGTTGTGAATAAGGCAAGTTAAACTGATTTTTAGGTTTTACTTCAGCTTGTCCGTGTGTCTTTTTCTCTATATATTCTTTGTAGTTGACACATCTGATGACCTCTTCCAAGTATAATTTTGAAACAAATGCGTATGTAATTCTAGTGGAATTTTATGTCAATCTTATTTGCCTAATGCAGCACGTAGTGTGTAACAGTATGACTTTCCATGTATAACTCATTGGTATATTAGAGTATTCACACAACTTTTCTGGGCGGTAAGATTTGGCAAATTCTTTCAGAATTAGGTGTTACGTCGTTCCAATAACATGTATCACACTGGATTAGAAAGGCATGTCAGTTTATGAGGTTATGTATATTCAGCGAGTGAGGTGATTTGAAAATGCGTTGTGCATTCTGAGCTACATCCCAGCTTTACATGCAATGTTAGCTAATGTAGGATTGGGCTGGAAAAATGCTACGCGTGACCAGATCAAGATGTCGTACCGGTCCATGAAGTCGCTGACTGGCTGGTTTGAATCATGTATGGCGGTGTAGACTATCTGGATGCATTCCCTGAGATGATAGAAATAAGTGGTTGGCGATTTAGTGTGATATAGCTGAAAATTGTTCACAATCATGAAGATACATTCACTCCTTTACGTCTTCCAAAGCTTCAAATTGTTTATTCTCTCACACGACTTTATCTACTTTGATACGAGTCTTTCTATATCCACGGTTAGGCGTGTCAACTTGAAGTGATACACTTTTGTTCGGGGATCTAGGTTAATTTCGTCTGTCTTTCTACCTTATTGTGTGTAACTGGTGTGCTGGATGAGTTTTCTGCTGAATTTTTCATCTTGATGATAATTTAATCATTTCGAAATTGGCGAATTCGATACAAATTAGCAGTCTGGCTGACTCTAGTCAGTCACATCGCTTGATATACATAAGTTCCAGTTGCAATATGATATATGATTGTTGATTTTGCTGAACCAGATCAACGGAAACTTCAAGTTAACAAATCTCATCTCTGCATCAACTTTTATCATTGAGTATATTACATCGAAGAAGTAATTTTCTCAAAGTGCTTAAGTCCTACTCTTGCATTTATATTGGAGATATCAATTTTTGGGTTTGAATTTTTCCTCTTAACAGAATTAAACATTCATCTGACAAAAGAATACAGCTTGAAATGTTACCAGACTGAAAGATAATTCATACTTGGACTTTTGTAACACGGGGACCAGTGTGTAATCCGTACAAATTATTTATTGCTGAGTAGATTTTTATTACCTTCTTCTGGGTCTGTTTCTCACCTTCAGTGTTTATCAACTTCGTGGTTTTTCACTAGCGTTCATCTCTTCTTATCTTCTCCTCTATCGTACAATTTTTCTAGTCAGCTTTAATACCATGAGTTTTTTATCCACCTTTTTTCTATATTGCTATGATGTAAGTGGCAACGTGGACTGGTGTACCTCTGTGCAAGCTTCTGCGGTGATTTGCTTGCTTGGCTTATTCTTTACTTGGCTATAACTGTTAGCATTAATCTAGATCCCATATATCATGTGACTTCACAAGAAGGTTGCTAAGTTGTAAAGGTACGTAGATGACATATCCAGAGAATGAACGAGTAGAATTAGCTATGGAAGACTGGAAAGTATAACGAAGACAAGACAGTGGTTTAGATCTGACTGTTTAATAGAAATCACCACGTTCTAATAGATCATCTCATGTCATATCGTTGAGGACAGATAATCGAACAAAGAGTCCAATTAGCAAGTTGAAATAAATAAATAAAGGTAACACTTCTACTCAATAATTATTCTTAATATTTCATTTATGAATGCATAGGATGTTTAAAAAAGTTATATGAACAACGGTTAAACACAACTAATAGGGAACGCAAGACGTCAACAGCATTACCATATAAGGAAAGAACTTTAGAATCTCTGCATACGGTTGTCAAAAGAGTCAGGATTATGATGGTGTTTAAAACTAAAAGGTCACTTCAAGACAAACTTTATCATCTTACAGATTCTACATGTATATTGAAATGAAGCAATTCAATTTGGTAAATAAAACAGTTAGTAGCTGTGAGGTCAAGCGCATAGGTCAATCCAGCTGATCGATGGCACTAAGGTAGTTAACAAAGCAAGGGAAACTGAAGTGAATATAAAATGAATGACCTGACAAGGTTAATTAATGCATGAATATAAAATCGCAAACTAGGTTTAGATAAATTTACAGACTTACAGACTAATACAGGCTCCGTTCATCAAATCATCATGTAACACGTACACTAGGAACACTTCGATGTAAATTCCAGATTCGGGGATAACTTCAATACCAAACCAGGAAGTTAAATAATGAATAAATCAGACTGGAAAACATCATCTGGTAAATAATCCTGTTTTATCGTGTGGTATATACGGTAAACTAGTTTCATATGCTTTAAATTCGCTTCATGCTACAAAATTAAAATAAATCAGTCATTCTCGGATCAGGTAATAAGTGGAACTAGATGGTCAATAACTGATTGGGGGAACATCAAAGATAAAAATGTGTTATTCACCTTAGTGGATAATGAAGAAGTGATTGACTTCAGATTGGTTTTGGTCTTAAATCGATGTCAGTCTGAGGACCATCGTAACCTGGGAGCATTGGATTGGTCTTCTAGCCTATTTTGGAAGTCCTGTGCAACTCACACCCATAACCCCGGTTAAGGATCAAGTCCAAGTTTCTTAACGAGCAAACAATCAGTCACTCCGTAAAAGTTCCCAAATAAATCAGTTACCAGTGGTCATTAGTGAATTCTGCTGAGATGAATTCGCCGATGTTCTAATGCGAAGGAGAGACCCGTGAGCTCCAATATACATGTAGAGGGGATGAAGACGAATGCTTATCATTGACATTCCACGATAGTAGCACTACATCATGAATTGACAGGAAGTGGAAGACCTGAACCATTGAACCATTTAAACCCAATATGTAAGTGCTCACATGATTGCCAAGGGGAACTGATGACTTCAAGCTCAATCTCTCGTTAGGTCATGAGTGTCTACAACTCAGGAGTACAAATTTTAGACAAAACAGCTGTCCGGTGCTGCTTGGTTTCAAATGGTTCTCTAAATGGTGCCACTCTATGAAGAATACCATCTTGATATCAACTGATCCCGGCAAATCAGTATATGAAATTCATTTTAGACAGACAAGAGGTAGCTATTTAGACCGTATTAATATACAGTTATTACTAAACAGTAAATCATGTAACAATGAATGAAGAGACAAAACAAAGACCGGCGCTTATGAGTGAGCTATGCAGGTATGTTATACATGCTGAATACCATTGGTCAAAGTTACAGATACCATGTTGGTCAAATCTACTCTCCAGAGCTTTATCTTCGTTTTCCTTCAATCCTATATCATGAAGGTAATCAACATGTTGGATTAAAGGTTATCTTTTTTTTCTGACGAAACTTTGAACATGATGTTTTAATGAGAAACAGCTCTTTGGTAACATGTTGTGTATTAAATTAGATTCAGGACCGATTTCGAGTAGTTGGTGAAAAAGAATAAGTTTCCTTCAAATTATGTCTTAGTGTGGAATAAAAATTGAAAACGTACTACCTTCGACAGTGTAACACCAGTGTTTAGTTCTAGAAAAGAATCTTACTGGTTGTTAACAGTTTTCTGATGAAGTGTTTGATCGTTTCTGTAAAGAATTAGCAGACACTAATAACTCCAAACTTTATTACTATGCTCACTTAAAAACGAACACCACTACCCTCCTCCTTCATCACCAATAAAATTAAGTCAGACAGATTGTTCAATATACATGAGATAATATACGAACTCATAGGAAAACCTGGTTTGAGAATAGACTCAATCATCGTACCAACGAGTTTTGACGTTGATGTTGTACTGCTTACACTAGATGGATTTTCTGTGAACCAGATTTCAAGTTAAGTTTAGTTACAGAGTCTGTATATACTGCTAGATCGATTAACCAGGGGTTACAGACCCGAATTCTTCTATGAATTCAACGATTACTTCAAATTCAGCTGTTATCAGTATGAGTGGGCATTTTTATTCAACAGCTATATCTATTTCAAACAAACATTTTATTTTAATTTACTTGGTTGTGTTTAACAAAGGAATCCAGGACCTGCGTTTCGTCCTATCTAGGTCTCGGCAACAAGATGTACCTGCACCCCAGTAAGTTATGTTGTTCCCACTGAGACTCGCGCATCCTGGATTACTGTGCTAGCCCTAACCAAGTAAATTACCATGATAAATATTCAAGTAATATCCAGGCATCCTCATAGGAGCTCATACGCTAATATAGGTCGGACAACTCGATCCAGTATAACCAAGCATATCAACAAATAATAATTTTTTTTGATGAAAGTATGAAGAAAATAGTTTTTCTGTTGTTTAGTTCTCACTTTCTCTTGTTTCCAATCAACAGGTTGGGATGTAGATCCAAATTTCCGACCAACATTCAAGGAAATATGTACTGTTTTATGCGAAATGAAGACAACACCAAGTCGGTATTTATTCATCGTGGTGAGTAGAAGTAGAGTTCAACTTTTTATTAGGGAAATCACATTTCTTTGCTATTTATACGTTTCTAGAGTTTTTTTCTGATGAAGTGTACCTAGCAGTATTGTTATGCTGTTGCTTGTATTATCCCATCGTTGGTTGGACCGAATTGATCGGTCGATATTGGCATATGAGCTTCTAAGAGAATGCCTTGATACAGCCTGTTGTTATATTTTCTTAATAATGCCGGCTGGTTGCTAGCAGTAAGATCCACGAGGCCAGTTTCGTCCTATATGAGACTCGTCAGTTGGGCATACCTGCATCCCAGTGAGTGATGTTGTTCCCACAAATACTCGAACCCAGAACTGATAGTTTCAAACGCCTGGTCCTTATCCACTGGGCCATCCAGTCACGATATAAGTGAGTTTCATGACCCTATGGCCTAGTGGACAACACCAGTTTCTAAACCAGTACTCGTCACGAGGTCTGAAGGCCATTGGCTCGGTCCTTCACAGGATCGTAAGTGTACGCTGTTGAGAAGTTGAAAAATGGAACGAAACAGCTATCTAATGCCCCCAGGTTTTGATTACTTCTCGAATCGATGTCAAGCGGTAAAAAACTTCCCTGAAATCGATAAATCCCCACAAGCCTTCATTTAGATAGGAATAATATTTATATACGAGGAAAGGATAAACGACAATTGAAATTCATCTGATTATTACTCAATTAGTGTTTTCTTAAGCGTGTAAGTGTCACCCACTTACAACTTGTTACAACACGGACTCATCCTTGCATCATAACCACATAAAGTTGATAAAGAGGGAATTTGTAACTGTGAATTGTGCAGTCATCCATAGTTTGGAGTATGTGTTAACAGCATAACTCCTCAGGCTAACCGTCTTGAGGAAGTGAAGATCCCACCTCCCCTTAATTCAATGATAATATTGAACAACCGTATACATATTGCATACACATAACTACATGTAAGTGTTTCCATCCGCTTTACGTCACAAGCAGACCAAATTAACACCGTCAGGTTACTACAAAGTAAGTAACCGACACCAATTTGTTCAGTAGAAGGTGGCAACCAATTAATGTCTATCAAGTTTACAAGCTAAGCACTAATCATCTTGATGAAAGTCTTTCATCAAGATAGTTGGTTTTCTACAACTTCTGGGAAACCGATGTTCCTTCAGAGGGTAGAGTCCACTTCTCCAATTACTGCAGTCAGGGAAAATATCAGTGAGCTATCAGCACAGCAAGTTTCACTCTCTTTGCGTGTCTGTGATAGACATCATTTCTTTAAATGTTGTGGATACGCCTTACTAATGAGTACCGAAAACACAAGACCTAGACTGACTTGCCGACAACCAATATACAAAAGGAAACTAGATAACTTACCATCTATCTAACCAAATTTTTGTATTTGACAGTTGTTTACATACACCTCCAACGAAATATTTGACATGGACTAACCAAATTTCATATCATTTCAGAAATCTCCTGATTTAGTAGAACACTGGTCATATTTGACAGAATATGTTTGCCAGCAGTCCGACTTCTATCCATCAAACTGAGATTTTGGATAAAATCAAGTTTATAAAAAGCAACAATCTAAACGAAGAATATTCTTTTCAATAAGTATTCTCTTCACATTCCACAATTATAAAGTACACTTGTACAGCTTAAGAACAAACCATGTTAACGGGTAGGCACGTTTTCAAAATGGAGTGAGATTTAGGGATTGTAAGCAAACGATTTGTCCTTTTTTAAATTAGTCAATATTGGGATGATAAATATACAGAAGAATGATATGATAGTGAAACAAAGAGATAATGAATAAGATGACAAGAGTCGTCTTTAGTTAGCTCAGCGAGAAGCCAAGGGAGAAGTAACTCTTGGAAGTGTTCTTTCTGAATGAAGAATGCAAGTTTGGTCGATCTTATTGCGAAAGCATTCACTGTGTTGAGAAGGCGTTGGCAAGCCACATGTGGTGTCATTTTTGGAACACGATGAATGACACTGAAAGCTTTATTACCATCTATATGGTGCCCTGTGTCGACTAGATGGGCTAGAACTGAACTTTTCACCACTTTCACTCCGTTCTTTCCAAACTAAGCTGGCAAATACTCTCGTATGCGGGGACGCGGCTGTCTAATGGTACGCCCTATGTAATTAGTTCCATAGAACAATTAAACTGATATATGCAGGATGAAGAGCTAAGTTTAGGTAGGCTATCTTTTAGTCTCAGAATGAGCATTGTCCGACTACTGAATGATATGCAAAGATGACCTTAATAAGATATCGTATTGACTGGTCTAGCTGAACGTTGTGTTAGAATGTCACTTGCAACATCTCCATTGAACTGTAAGCGGAGAAACACAGCCTTCTTCCCAACTGTCATTAGTTCTTGCTTAGGACTAATATAATTGATGTTAGCCTTAATGAACTTATCCGGATATACGTTTTCACTCAGGATATCTAGGATGAAAAGTAGTTCTTTTCCCATACACTTCTTGGAACAAATCAATCTTACTCTGAATGTCAGGCACATGAATATATTACTTTTGTACTTCATGGGTACGAAGCTGAGAAAGTTCGTATACTGTGCCTTAGACGTTAGTTTTCTATATATGCTTCTCAGTATACAGCTATCTTTGTTTCTTGTCATTAGCACATCGAGAAAATGTATCAAATCATTGATTTTATTATCAAATGTTAAACTGATGGATGAGCATCTGTGTCATGCGTTATGTTGACTAGATGCGCAAGGACTAAACTTTTCACCACTTTCACTTTCGCCTTTCCCAACCAAGCTAGTAAATGGTCTCGTATCCGAAGATGTACACCCTATGTAACTAGTTCCACAGAAACAGTAAAATTGATGTGCACAAGATGAGAAGCATATATATAGAAAACTAACATCTAAAGGACTGTATACGCGCTTTCTCAGCTTCGTACTCGTCAAGTACAAAGGCAATTTAGTCAGGTGCCAGGCTATTAAAATAAGATTGATTTGTTTCAAGGTCTGTGCAATAAGAACTACTGGGTATCCGTGATATTCTAAGTGAAAACGGATATTCAGACAAGTTCATTAAAACTAACATCAACTACATTTGTCCTAAACGAGGACTGATGAGAGTGGAGAAAAAGCCTTCATTTCTGCGCTTACGATTCAAGGGAGATGTTGCAGGTGATATTCTATCACAACGCCAGGCTAGAGCAGTCAACAGGATGCTTTATGCGAGTCAGCAATTTATATCATTCAATAGTCGGGCAACGCTCAGTCGAAGACTAAAGAATAACCTACCTAATCTCAGCGCTTCATCTTGCGTAAAATCAGGTTTATAAGTTCAATTCGTCTCAGGAGGGAATTATCCACGATCAACAACGTATCCATCCAATTTGACATTCAATAATCAATTTCATTTAGGAAAGAAGAAACGGAAAAAAGCATCAGTGGCTGTAATTTTTGTCGAAACGCAATAACCAACATGACTGTCCAACAGTGAAGGTCATGACCTTCAGATAACCTTAGTTCTACCAATCACAGTTATTGCTAAAGTAGCCACGACAAAACCAAACATAGTTGAATTGAAGCAGCTGAATAGACTGTCTGGAGAAGCCTTGACTGGGTGACTAGTTAAAATGTGCAGAGAAGACTTTAGAAGTTATCTAAAGATAAGTGCTAAGGCAGAAATAGAACCAGTTTCCTACGGAAATGATGGAATCTATGGACGAACTATGGTTATAATTACAACTACGAAGAGTTCAAGGAAATGTTATAGAGTGAGGGTTTTTCATATACTGATACTTGTATTCTTCAGTTTTTGTCCTGGATCGAATTAATCGGCTTCTGTTAGGATTTTGGCTTGCATGTGCATGCCTTGATATTTCCTGACTATTCACTATGCTATAATTTCTTTGGTAGTGGTTAGTAGTGGAACTCAGATACGTGTTTTGTCCTACTTGGGACTCTATAGGTGGATGTACTTTCACTCTAGTACATCCAGTTTCTGAGTCCCTAAATTAGGTGAAACGAACATCATGGACTCTTCTACTGACTACTACAAAGAAAATTATGAAGCTTTTTCACTTCAAGAAGCTCATTTTGTCTATCGTGGTAAAATTAATTTTAGTAATTAAGGTTTTCTGTTTCATACAACCGTTTTTATGAAAGAAAATGTTTGAAAACATTGATTCTCCCATAAAATTAGTCTTGTCATTTTGATTAGTAGGATTGAACTGTTTGTAAAACTCTAAGATATCTGACAGCCAATATAGCTGAGAAAAAAATGCAAATAACAGCACTTCAAGCTTGTGTGATTTCCAAAAATTCCTTTACTACAACAGTGAATTATTGGCATTACACATTATTATGTAGATATCTAGATGTCACCTTGAGGTATTGTAATGATCTAGGATAATTTATGTTCCCCGGAGTTTATTTCAGAAATAATCGGTTCAGTGGTGCAGAGGGAACATAAATACTTTAACTCACGATAATGAATAACTGACTGGAAAAAACTACCCCGAATCGACTGAAACCTACCTCAAAATGCAAGATTTATTACTCATGAAAAGGTATAGAATATTATAAAGAACCCTACTGTTTATATGCTTATTTTAAATATCCAGTAGTTGTCAGGTTCCTTTACACTGACTAATGATGAAAAAAAGCAAGGTTAGTTGCATAACTGTTGACGTAGGCGAGGGATGTATATTGAGACCAAATGTCATAGATGAGGCTTAGGTCAACAGGATGTACCTTCTGTTCATCCTTTACTGGGATAATTCCACCTCAAAGCAGATATGTTTCACCCCTCCTGAGATTCTTCAACACCAATACTGTCACTTTAATCGTGAGTACCTGATGCATTCAACTGAACGTCAGAGTTCCCACAGGGAAGTTAAACAGTACTGACATAAGACCTGGGATTGCTGTAGTCCAACTTGTCATACTTCACACCAGTCAACCTATCAAGGAAGAACGCGACAATAACAAACGACAGAGGAAAGAAGTAATCGGAATTTGCTGCCTGGTATCTTGGTGTGATATTGTGAATTGTAGCAACATGGAATATCACACAGTATTTTAAGGCTTATGTTAGTGTTTACTAACCGACTGCGATCCTGAATAGCGTTCTGCGCCATTTCGTCCTTCGATCTACATGGTTACCTTTACTCTCCTCTCCTAACTGCTCATCACTCTCCTATCGTGCTTATCAGTGACTACCATCTCGTCTTAGTGAAAAGTAATGTGGAATGTAGAGCACAAACACATTGGATGAGTTCTGCATTACAGTCATCTGTTTCTCTATTTTTGGTACTAAGCCTACTGTTGAACTGATAAATCTAACTGTAAACCAGACGATCTAATTGGCTAGAAAGTAAGTTAATTGATTTTCAAGTCTAGCTGGAGTTATAAGAGTGATCTAACCAGTGGACGGTTATTGAACTCTTTCGCAGTCAAGAACTCAGCTGAGCATGTCTAGCAAGTATGGAGTTACCGCTCACCATTTTGATCATTTTCATATGACTAATGAGAACCTCAGTTTGACTTGTATCATTTCTCACCGCTCACACCGGTCAGCGAGTATATTTTGCTATTCTATAACTCCTCTTTGACGCTAGTCCACACTTTTGATCTTGACTTGTTGTTTTTTTACAAATGAAGCTTTCTCGTTTACATAACTGAGTGGTCGAGGGACTATAGAACAGTGAGAAACATCTACATGGACTAAAGGATTTTTTTGATAAAAGCTTACAAACTTTCAATTCGATAATTAATATTTATAGTTCAGTTTTGTTCGTTGATAAGAAAATAATTACTAGGTGATGATTGAAGGTGAAATGAGAATCCGAGCCACGTTAGGATTCGAACCAGTGACCTCTGGGTTACCGTACCGATGCTCTCCCAAATGAGTTATGAGAACTGACCAGATTTTATTTCACCACTAGGGTTTTGCCCAACTGCGACGTAAATTTGTGATGCATTACTATCGTTTGATAGTACCCAGTCAAAACTTCTCATCGTAATCTAAATCTACTAAAATTGGAGAGGGAAAATATTACATTGAATATCAGCTTGACGGTGTGAGATAGCTGTGGTCTGACAGACTTGTATTATTACTGGGTGATGACTGAAGGCAGAGCACTGGGCTGGTAACCCGGAAGTCACTGGTTCGAATGCCACTGCAGTGTAAATTTTCATTTTGCTTTCAATCATCACCTGATATCTATACTAGTGTACCAAATCATGGCTATTAAAGATAGTGAGACTGATAATAAAATAAATGTACATTTTCATCTCTTCCAGCCGGAACTCCGTCTTCATAATTCTGCAACCAGTCAACAAACATCATCATCACAAAGTGCATTTGAATTTTTGAGTGATTGTCTGACTGACACAACAATACCGCCACTACCACCACCAAAACAATCTATTCCAAATCACAATTATGAACAAGCCAATCAAATTGTAGGACAGAATTCAGATTTTATCGATTATATTGAATACACACAAATGCATTATGATTGGTTAAAAAATTTATATGTAAATAGTAAAACAAATTTATTTCCAGAATGTGTTAAAACACTTCTAGATAATTACAATAATTATTTAATTGGAATAAATATTAATGATAGTAGTAATACTAATGGGAATAGTAAATATGAGGATAATTATATACGATTTCAAAATCAAGTATTTAGTAAGTATAGAAACAAAAGTATTCATGAAAACATTGAAACCAATGAAAATACCTGTTCAAATAAAGAATACGCTGATGTACACAGAAATTCATTGTCTAGACAAAAGGAACATACAAATATAAAAGATAACAAAGAAAGTTTAGAGTATTTGGAAGTTAAACCGGAATCCTTTGAAAGAAATCCAACATTATTCAATGTTAAACGTGGAATTTCAATTTTCGATAAAGACCAGGTGGGTTAGATTTCCTTTTAATAGTTCTACTGTCCACTGAGATTGACTTTCATTGATGAAAGCTTCTAGTATCGGTCAGCTTAGATGTCTACACCATTAGTTCACTTAAATGAACATGTTCATCTTCTGAACTCCTAAAAAGATGACAGTTTTCATTGGAAGTGATAATCAAGATACTGTTGATTTTAAATTCTTCCCTACTGATCGATTTGTTGGATAAAATATCTTTCCATCGGATTTGTAAGCGTTAATCCTCCTCAAAGAGTATGCTTTCAGAGGTTGATTACTTGCCTAATTTTTTTATTGAACGCAATTATTGAATACATTGAGTTAAATAACACATTATTATTATTATTATTTATTCCTTGGGTTCCTGGTGGAACATAAGGCCTCGGTAGCACGTCTCCATTCCACTCTCTACTCTGCAGTCATTTAAACCTGGCTCCACGATTACCCACAGCCTTTCATTTCTTCCTCACATAATCCCCTCCATCTCACCCTCGCCATACACACCCAACTCGTCGTTTCTCCTTTGGATTCCACTCAACCACCTGGCCTGGCTCGAGATGTCCCCAATCGGCCTTCTCAGTGTATGTCCAATCCAATCCAATCCAAGCCATCTCCACTTTCTTCTGCATATTTGTTGGATGATAGGTTCTTGGTTAGTTTGTTGTCAAGTTAGAGTGAGTTTCTTCTTGCTTATTCTTATTATTCTGGCCATCTCATCTTCATTATCGAGTAGGCGTAGGTGGCAGCTCTTGATGCGTGTCTGTAGTTTGTTGGAAATGCTTTTCGTGACACACCAAGTCTCTCAATCATGTGGAAGCAAAGACTTGACTTGACTTGACATTGATGTTGAAAATTCCGATCTTGTTCACGCTTTATGCTGAGTGCAGTGCAGTGCAGTGTAGTGCAGTAGATGTCCACATTGCTTGTTTCAGATTAATGAAGGAAGGCTTGTCTTGCTGTCTTTCTGATCGTGACCTTGATGTTCTCATCTGTACCGCCGCCACCACCTGTAGTTGGAACGATGCTGCTCTGCCTATGTAGGTGGGTGGAAGAGACTGCTTCCTACGGGTTTCTCCTGATCACGGTGATTGGTGCTTGTTGTTATTGTTGTTGTTGGTTGGTTGTTTGGTTATCTTCATCACCTCCGTCTTCTCTACATTCACTTGAAGTCCCGTCTTCGCTGCCCCACCCCACCTCGTTTGATAATTTGTTGGTTTTCACCTATAGATCTTCAAGCTTCCGCGACATTAGACACAAAACATCGGTGAAATGCAAATCTTTTTCTGTGGTCTTTTCATTGGTCCAGCCAGCGTATACCCCTCTTATCTCTACTCACAGTTGTCTGTTGCATGATCCAGTCGACCATAATCAGGAAGATCATGGATGATAGTAGGCAGCCTTGTCTTACTTCTATCTTCACTTCAAAAGGCGTCACTGAGCTTTCCATTGTGAATTACTTGGCATGTGGCGTTTTCATATAGCTGTTGAATGAAGTTGATAAAGATTTGTGGCACTAAAACTGTAGTGTTGAATCAACTGCCAAATTACTTCTCAATCGATGCTGTCGAATGCCTTTTCAAGGTCGATAAGGTTGAGGTAGATGGTTGACTTTTGCAGACTAAAGGTCATAGATAAATGGATGGAGAAGGAATCAATTGAAACCTCTTGAACCAAGCTATAGATTAATATCACCAATTAAGTCTTAAGTGAAATAATTTTTAAAATAAATAAAGTAATACTACTAGCAACACTTATCTGAGATTTTAGTACATTGAAAATTCCCATTTAAACATTTTATCATGAAAGATGGATTGAATGAAGAAGTATTCCTTTTCAGTTAGGTCTTCGTCATCGCCTCCACACTAATATGTATAGATTTTACGTTTAATAACACAATACCATTTAGTAGTGGTGGGTTAATCATCTAAAAAGATTATAAATTAACAGTAATTTATGAGGTTAACAATTAGAGAAATGAAGATTTACTGGTTATGTATAACAATTTATATGTAACTTACTTGGTTACGTCTAGCAGAGAAACGCATGAAGCGCGTTTCTTCCTAATTAGGACTCATCAACTGGATGTAGACCACTTAGTTATGTACTCGCCACTTAGACTGGAATGAACTCAAATTCAAGTTGAAGAAATAGCACAACTTTTTGGATGAACCGATACATGTCATCAAAATTGCGTAATAATAGGAAGACAGATAGTATGAGATGAAGAATGGGTAAAGTTCTTCGCTTCCAACTAACTAACATCCATCAAAATGCACCACGGTGGTGAGCTTCCTAGCTCAGTGACCACATTATAGAATGGTCAACAGAATCCGGACAGCACTCAGGACTGAAAGCATGAAATTCATTGCTGTTCCTAGTGACCCATCAATCCAGTCCTATTGGAGGTCAGGCGTAGCCCAAACACCTCAGTGGTAATGTCCCTGACTATAACAGTAGGTGACACAGATTTGAATCTCACAAAGGATATCAGTTCCACCGAGGTTGTAGGTATGCCCTGCTGACAAGTGCTGACAGCCAACACGGAACCTAGGCGGAGCAAGGCTTTCTGTTGATCACCTCCAACCAACTAACAATTATAGTCCACTAGACAAACACTGAAACAAATCGGAGTTAGACTTTAACTTACCCTGACACGGTCAATGCAATGACAGAGTTTGTGCAAGTTTTTCTTCTGAATACAAAGATTCGGTTTGTAGAAGTGTGTGGGTATAACAAGCGAATACATAGACTACCCTGAAGACTGTATGGTATGGGATAACTAATTGTAAAAGCCTTGCTTGTATTCAATTTATCACCAACGTCTATCAAACGTGTAAGTATTGAGCTTTTATTTGATCCTTTACTAAGCCATGCTGTATGGTGTTCAGACATTCTACAACGACACTGCCTAATTGTACACCCTATGTGACTAGTACCACAGAAGCAGTTGAAACTGATAAATTCACATAGAACAGGCAGAATCAGAAAGTCTATCTTAATACACTCAACTTATAATTGATCGATTTTAGGAGATAAGATACAACTTCGCAGTACTGAATGTTCTCTGAAAAGCTTTTCTCAATCCTACATTGCATTATAATCTCGCTGATAGCATCGCCTTTCAGTTTAGGTTATGAAACAGAAACAGTTTTCTTAGAGACTATGATCACCTTCAGTGGTTTAATTAGTATAAGTGTAAAGCTTGACCACTATATTAGAATGTAATTCCATATTGGATTTGTTTATTTGATATATAGCACACACTAATACAGTATTATTTACTTTATGATCACGTTTCGACTATTATCATATCAAACTAAGTAATCACACTAATTTCAATATCTCATTTTTATAATCTTTTCACCCACCTCATATTTCTTCTTTTATTAATAGTAAAAGTTTTCATATCTCTGGCAATAATCCTGCATCACTATTCCCTTACATGTGTCAGGTTGGGTGTAGAATCGATGAACAAAGTGATTCAGTAATCCCTCTCTCTCCTTCTCCACCTAATTACATTGGATTTGAGTACAATGGTTCTATCCCACCCATCATATTGTGTGGTTGTATGTATGTATGTATGTATGTATGTATGCATGCAATGTAATAGCCGAAATTTGTTCTAGATTATTGATCGTTTGGGGTCTGTCATTTTATATTTAGCTAAATTCATATGTTCCTCTAATCTAGCTGATTGAACCTGCCTCAAGTAACATCTCATCCAATGTCAGTTAAGGCAGGCTTAGTTAAATGTCTAAATAACAGAGCTGCAAAACTGACTGATCAGTCCAAGGACTGAAACGGGGAACTGAAGGACATAAAAGGAGTGTTAATAATTAATAATTATCCTCTGTCGTTTAATAAGAAATTCGTACGAATATATCAGAATTAAAATAATAACAGTAACACAAGTACGAATAATAACGACAACATGAGTAGAAAGGAGTTCACAACCTCCATTGTGTTACTCTATAAAGAAGGTACATCAGTAACTTTATGTAGGATTCTCAACAAAGTTGAAATTAGGATAGCATTTAAACCTCAGTCAACCAATCAATCAACATCAACATAGGACCAGGCATTACTGCGTAACGTCCGAGTTGCCACACCTCATATCAGTCAGTACATCAAGTAAAAAGGCAGTGAACTGCAAGATAAAGAAAATAAAAATCAGTCAAAAGAAATATAGAGCACGAGAAGAGAGAAACGAAGAATGAGAAAATGGTGAGATTCGGTATAGTGTCGTTAAGATGAGGACAATGTATGTATACATCTGCGCCACTGACTTCGGTTCTCAGCCATGCCATCACCTACAGTCTCCAACCACTGGTTCCTCTTGTCCCACCGACCCCAACCACCCAGTCTGCATCGCCCCACATAGCTCAAACCAACAGTCAAACACTTCATACATTGGTGCCATGTTCTAGTCTGGTCACCTCGGGCCTTTTTCCAGACGGAACCTACTTCAGCCAACATTATGTGACGAGGCAATCAGCGACTAGGCATATGTAACACATGTCCCAACCATCTCAGTCGATGGAGGTTCATAACCTTGTCAACTGATTTACCTCTTCTCCCTGAAACTCTACACCTGACTTCTGCATTACTCACATGGTGACACCACGGAATACGTCCTATACTACGAAGGCAACGGTGGTCAAACACCTGAAGCCTTTTGATATCCTCCACTTTCAATGGTCATGTTTCACAGCCATACAGTAGAACAGAGCAGACTGCTGTGCAGTACACGCGACCCTTAATAGACAAACGCATATCATGGTGGCGTCTTAGGTGGTGTAAATTGGTAAAAGCCAATCGAGCCTTTTGTATCGGTGCAGAGATTCCATCGGCAGCTAACCCACCAGGGTTGATCCTACTTCCCAGGTACGTGAAGTGGTCGACACACTCAACCACTACACTGTCCATTGTTAGCCGCGGCACCGCTGAAGACGAATCCTGCAGCAAAAATTTGCATTTGGGTGGTGATAACCGCATCCCAAACATTCTCAAATAGCCGCTCAAAGTGTTCAGCAGACTCTGCATCATGTCAGCGTGTTCACCTAACAGGACTATGTCATCTGCATATTCTAGATCTGAAGAAAATTCACCTGTGATTAGGTCATATTTAAACCTACGAACTCACTCAGAGATAAGCTTTGTCAGTTTAACGATACGACAGTACCACTTAAGCAAAATCATCTCACCCATCAAACTCCATGTAATGACTTTGAGGTCAAGTGCATAGATTAAACTAACAGGTCAGGGTCAGTTAGAATAGCCGGACATATGAATTTAGCTAAATATAAAATGACAGACCCCAAACGATCAATAATCTAGAACAAATTTCGGCTATTACATTGCATGCATACATACATACATACATACATACATACAACCACACAATATGATGGGTGGGATAGAACCATTGTACTCAAATCCAATGTAATTAGGTGGAGAAGGAGAGAGAGGGATTACTGAATCACTTTGTTCATCGATTCTACACCCAACCTGACACATGTAAGGGAATAGTGATGCAGGATTATTGCCAGAGATATGAAAACTTTTACTATTAATAAAAGAAGAAATATGAGGTGGGTGAAAAGATTATAAAAATGAGATATTGAAATTAGTGTGATTACTTAGTTTGATATGATTATAAGTGATGATGATGGATGGTTGAAACGTGATCATCAAGTAAATAATATTGTATCCCTGTGTTTTATAAATCGTATGCATAAATGTAATATGAAATTTTTGTGGTTTAACTTTTGTTTCCTTGTATATCCTTGATCATGAATTTGGCAAGATATTCATTCTCATTAAATAGGCTACATATAATGTCAAGCTTGTATTCTATATTGTTGTCAGAACAATTGAACGTTTATACGATGTGCAAAGTATTTAATCAGGTTACGTTTATATGTGTAGAGTACAAAGTCTAAAGTTTCACATCACTGATTTCAATTGTTACTTAGACATTTCGCTTTATACCACTGAGACCAAAAGTTTCAGGCTAGTTCCATGAACTGATGTAATGTTTTAATCTGATTACTTTTAGCATTTTTCCAGACTTTTCCTACTTAAGCTAACATTATACGTCGAAGCAGACATCAACAAAGTAAGGCTTTACACATGTCCTAATCTTATGAGTAGATATAATTAAACAATCACTCTAATGAACATAACATAATATACAATCACTAGTTTCACTCAACTTACATTTATTTCCTAACCATATGTTATACAGAAATGAGTTAGGGGTCAATTGAAACCTCTCAAATTGATTTAATGTAATAACACTAAAACACATCATTAGATATCACTAATTTTTTTGAAATGTTTTACACTTTTTCTTCTTAAGGTTCAAGATAGTGACAATAGGTAAATATATCATAGTAGACTCGTTTTTATCCATCAATATCATCTTATTGAGTCTGGAGACGATAGTTCCTTTCTATCCACACACACACACACACACACACGTACATTCATACTTTGTTAGTTTAGAAAAAGGCACTGAAGAAAAATGATATCACCAGTCGAAAAACCGCCTTTTCTTTAATAACCAGAAAACTAACAAACTATCATATACATTGAACACTGTTAAATATTGCCCTTTTTCATACATGTAATTTCTTTAAAAATGTATTTATAAAATTATCTATTACAAGACGATTTAACAATGTTTTAGTGAATTTGACGGAAAAAAATTTACTCGATAATGTAATTTTTGTTTGTTTCTTATACATATTGAAAAATTCACTTTTTTAACATATACAGAAACTTATATATCTATCATTTTATGTATACTATGTACATGCATAGGAAACAAATTTTTAATCGTTTACTTCGCTACTCTTTAACACTGGGATATCATTGATCCATTGATTATTTTGTTTGAAAATGTTGATAGGTCCCTAGATAAATCAAGTCGTTGGGTGATGTTAACATCATATGTTCCATTCGATCATTGAGCATCACTGATGGTTGAAATCAGTAGTCTGTCTATACAAGTAATGATGTTTATCAGTAGTATGTTTAGTAGTGATAACAAATGGGTGAAATGTATTCAGTAACCCTATAGACATTCACACAGTAGACAATGATCCACATCTATTGTGTGAGGGCTAATGATGCTACCCTGTTGCCCAAACTGCGGTAGGTGGAGAGAGATTTGAACCAGAAACCCATCAGCTGACAGTCAACTGGGTAATACGAAGCACTGTTTAGAGATTTACACCATATTGACCAAAAGATCTGATTTCCTTCACATACTCCTCAAGTTTTACACTTGAGGAAGAGGATTTTTTATGCGTATAAATAGCATACAATAACAACAAGTTCTACCTCTGTTGGTAGATGGGTTCCTACGCGGATGCCTCAATACCGCCAGATGTTCATGATGTTCTATTTATCCTGATGAGTAGCAGTGGAGTCCCAGATGCGTGTCTCCTCTAGCAATTTGACCTTATGTAGCAACGGGAAATTAAAAGTAACAAACAACGACAACTGATACCCGTTGCACAATAGGTGGGTTTCATGTCCCAAATGGGACAAAACGTGCGTTCTGTATCCCACTGCCAGTCACCAAAAGGAAAAAAATAACAACGAGCATTTTGTCGCCGTCTTTTCCTGCAAGATATACGTACAGAGAAATGCAATCTACATACCTTTTGATACCTTTAGGTTGAAGGTCTGACCGATCGTTCTGGCCTTAATCTCAGTTTAGAGTTTCCTATTGGGGCGTATCGATAACGGACTTAGGGGAATGGCCAACGCTGGTCTTAATTATTATTATTACTCGAGTCAGTATGTGAGAGTTGGTTCTACAGCCACTTACATCACATTAACTGACTCAGAGAGAAGAAGAAGTTGGAGTGTTAGCTCACACAATGTAGAACTGTATGTTGTGTATAGCCTTAAAGAGTAGGCGGTCTAATCAAAATATCAACAAATGAGAAATAAGACACATGAAACATATTCATAAGTGATTGGTTGTTGCTCTCATTGCTGAACGAAGGAAAGGCACGCAGCTATCTTGTGCACATGTGTGAAGTAGGCAATGAACTAAACCTATTGTGTGAGGGCTAATGATACTACCTCGCTATTCAAACCTTAGTAGTGGGTCTAGAACCATTAACATCTCCCTGGACCATTGAGTCACCACCTCATTCCTTCTGGTTACAAATACAACAATAATGATAAAGATTGTGAAAATTTAAATGAAATACTTAATTTTTTCAAGATTCTTATCCAAGTATATTTTGAGTAACCGGGAAATGGAATCGAAGGGATTACTCTTAAGTGTATGTACACTGGATTATATAAGGTTAAGTCAATTTTCTGGTTAAATGGTGAGAAAACTGAAAATTAAATGGTGATTGATTGTCAAGTCTTGGGTAGAAAGAGATGAAATTTTAAAACGACAAGGGGATGGTTTTATGCTGAATAACCAAAATAAATTGATGGCTACAATGAAGGTTGAAGACTAACAAACAACTGTTTCTTTTCTCAGTGCATAAATTCAGTTTAATTCTTCTGATAGCATTTGACTCTTTCAAATCTAAGTGGACTCGAGGTCTCAACCTTATGTTCTGAAGCTATTAAATATCCATCAATGGAACTTTCAAGCTTATTCAACCTCTTTATCATGGAATGAATGATAAGGCGTTTGCCACAAAACTTGATTGTCACAAATTCCCTCCCCATGGGGTTGTTAGTATTCAAGTGCTGAAGCGTCTCAAATAAAAACAAATCAATAGTTCAGATCTCTTAAGTTTTCACTGTTTCACCAATTGATATCATTCTACTGCTTGGAATATGTCAACGAAATCAACTCAAAACCTACCTGCCTTTCCTTCTAATATACATGCTTCGTCAGGGTATACATGAAGTGGAAGATACAGTTTGCAGTGATATAATCACTTTGTTTTCTATAAGGACATGAACTTAGCTGATGGAAATATGAATGAGGAATGCTTCGCATGTTATGTATTTTTTTTAAATAACATATAAGCATTTGAAAAGAAGAGGAAAAAATACCATGAATTCACTGCATTTTGCAAACCTTGTTGGTAATAGTATTATTGCTTGTATTATACCGTCGTTGATTGGACCGAATTGAACGCTGTCTATTGATAAATAGGCTCCTGTGCGGATGCTTAGATATTGCCTGTGTTCTTAATTATATAGTAATGATGGATAGTAGCTAGTAGTGGAATCCAGGACGAAATGCACCTCATGAATTCCACTGCTAGCCAATATCCATCATTACTATATAATTAAGAACACAGGCAATATCTAGGCCACCACGCAGCAGCCCATATGCCAATAGAGAGTGTTCAGTTCGGTCCAATCAACGACGGTGTAATACAAGCAATAATACTAAAATTAAACTCGTCACACAAGAATTGGTTATCTTGGCTCAATGGTATGTTAGATAACGTTTTGGCGTTTGGAGCGATAGGTTCCGAGTTCAAATCCTGGTAGGAACAACACTCACTGGGAGACAGGTACATCCAGCTGATGAGTACCAAATAGGACGAAATGCACATCCCGGATTCCACTGCTAGCCACTATTCATCATTACTTGTTGGTAATACTTTAATAAGATTTCTCAACGAAGCCAACTACATGAAAAATAGCATTATCTGCCTGCCTCGTTTCCTATCTGTTGATTCTACTTGACTGACTTATAGAAAACATCAAAGTAGAACTTTGCACACAGACAAGTTATCTCAAGTTGCCACACTCAACAGTAGTTTAAAAAGTGCAAGTAGACAGAAAAAGACTGATATCATAAAACAGACAAATTTGAGTGAGAGAATGCAAATATTCAAGCTTTGAGTATGTCTGCGCTATTGTGACCGATTTCCAGGCATATCACTAACAGTCAGTCCTGACGGTAGGAAACTTCATCGACTCTTGTCACATCATGGTTTAGCCACTCTAAACCCTCTTCTAATCTAATCCAGCTTTACCCAGTATGGTACGTCGAGGTAGACGGTACTGTCCAGGCAGTACATGTCCAAATCATCTCAGTCAACTAAGGTTCACCACCTCATCAATCGACTTCTCTGTCTTGACCAGTACGCTTCACCTGATCTCAGCATTTCTCATACAGTGATTCTATCAAACGCTAGCAATGTTACGACGATAACTGTGACCGAAACCCAGAAATCTCTTCATCTATTCTACGTTTGAGGGACATATCCCACAGCCGTACAATTGGACAGAATGGATTGCAGTGACATAATTACTCTTAATTTGATAGATAGTTGAATATCTCACCAGTCGGCGCCACAGATGATGCACGTTCGTTGACATATGCCGGACGGCTCTCTGTATTCAAACTGACATTTCGTCAACAACCAGTTCGGGCTGATGCTACTCCCCAAGTAAGTGAGGTGATCGGCAAACTCCACCACTTCACTCCCTATACTAAAAATAAAAGTAGTTGCAAACCAGTTGTGGAGCATCATTCCACATTTGACAGGTGACAGCCAAATGCATATCAAACATACTCAGATTTCTGCTGAACACGTTTACAAGACTCTGTATTGTGTCAGCGTCCTCACCTAGGTCAATATTGTCTGCATACTCCAAGTCAACCAGATGACCTGCTGGGAGTCGATCAATTTCTGTGAAGTCATACACACCTATGGTGATGTCCATTAGTACGTGTATGACGAAGTTAAATAGGAACTGTGACACTGGACATTCGCAGTAGGCACCACTGTTATTATTATTATTTGTCCCTTGGGATCTTAGTGGAACATAGGGTTTCAGTAGCACGTCTCCATTTCACTTTATTTTCTGCAGTCTTTTCAACCTCGCTCCACGACTGCCCACAAGCTCTCATTTCTTCCCCACATGATCTGCTCCCTATCACCATCGCCACGGGCGCCCAAATCGTCGTTTTCCCCTTTGGATTCTACTCAAGGGCCTGGCGCAAGATGTTTCCGAATGGCTTTCTCAGTGTATGACCAATCAATCACAACTTCCTTCTGTATATTTTTTGGACGACAGGTTCTTGGTTGGTTCGTTCCCAGAGTTCTTTGTTGCTTATTCTTTCTCACTACCTGATCTTCACTATCGACTGTAGGCAGCGCAGGATCGGACAACGTCCTAATTCATCACCAGGTGGATAAAATTTACATACTGCATGTATGATGATGGGATATATATATATATATATATATATATATATATATATACGCATACATATACACTATTGCATGTACTTGCACATATGTATCATACCAACAATATATGTAAAGCAATAATGTCTGTAGTTTGTTGGAAATGCTTTTCGTAAAGCGCTAAGTTTCTGAACCATCACATAGAAGCACCGGCATGACTGATATTAGTGTTGAAAATTAGGAT